CAAATTGCAGTGTATTGACACTTTAGTTGAGTAACTTGAACCCATCTCCTGGTCTACTTAGACATGTAAATTCAAGCTACTGAGAAACTATGCATGAACTCAAGACTCTTATCTAGACTAAACATTCTGAATTGACCAGGACACATGAAGCCCTCTGGGCTATCAAAAGATTATTGTAAACTGAATTCCAACAATGACTATTTACAATGCATATTTGGACTAAATGGCCTGTCTACTGTAGCTTACAACTAAAGGTGAGAGAAAGGAGCGGGGGAATGCCATTTTAAACAGTGACAGCTTGGTTTTGAGAAGGAAAACAGGATTTGATCCCACAATGCAACAGCACAAAGAAGTAATGTTTTTCTGACAGGACTTATCCAGATTTTCCCAACATAACCCTGGAGAGCCTGTATTAGAACCCATGTGGTCTCATGGTTACCCTGTTGGACTGAATCTAGGAAGACTTTATTTCCAGTCCCCCACTGGGTCATGAAGCTTCCTGCATGACTTTGGGCCTGTCACTGACTTTTAGTCTAACCTACCGCACAGGGTTGCTGGGAGGATGAAATGAAGAGGAGGAGGGCCTTGTAAACCACCTTGGGACCTTGTAAGAGGAAAATAGTGGGATCTAAATGTGATGCTGTTGTTGCTATTCCTAGGAAACTGTGCCGCTTCTCTGGGGGCAAATGAAATTTTCTGTTGAGCGGAAGCATAAAGACATACCCAGGAGATGCTGCACAAATGGAGTGGGAGGGGTTGGTGAAAGATTTACCGAGATTGCCAGCACATTAGTACCCACAGTCCCTGGAGGCCCTATTGTAATTAGCAGTAATCAATGGAGATGTAATGGTTTTGTTTTAGCTACTTGAAGAAAGCAAGTGCTCCCTTTGTCTGCTACAGTTTCCTCTGGACATGGAGGCCCTGAAAGTGTTTTGTTCAGCATTGTTTCATTTTCATGGGAGTCACGCACAGCTTGAAATTAGCCCTGCTAAAGGCTTCTTCACAGAGCCTGAAACAGTTTCGGAAGTAGTAGAGGTTGCTGCCCCAACATAAATTAGAAGACTAAAGCTGCAGTGCTATTATTCTAGCATGAAATCACCCCAAGTAAGTGGATGTTGTCAAAACTATCTCCATTATTGGCCTGAATAGGAGCATCAGATTGTAGGAAGAGGCTTTATACCAAATCAGATCACTGGTCCATCTTGTCCAGCATTGTCAGCATGTAGTGGCAGCTAATCTCCTGGCTTTCAGGCAGGATTCTTTCCTAATGCTTCCAGAGGATGCTGCAGCTTTCACCTGGGAGTTTCTGCAGGCAAAGCATTTGCGCAAACACTGAACTGTGGCCAGTTCCTACTAAATCTACAGTGGCATCCAAACTGTGATGGATGTGAAATATTTTATCCTAGAAAGGTTACTTAAACAGGCCATCTACTTAAACACAATCAGGGCAGATTGCAAGAAAATTCAAATGTGAACCCAGATCAGGCAAACATTCTCTCAATACCTGAAGCAGGAGAGAATGTACATCCTCACCACTGGTTAATGCCTTTTCCATCTGCTACCCACATCACCTTAGCTTTGCTGGCCTTATAGCTGGAAGCAATAGCCGTGGGGTTCCCACAGGCCCTGCTGCTCTGCTGTCTGATCCAGATGCCTCACACTGCTTCACGGAAGGGCTGGCCCTGCTTGAACTAATTGGAAACCTTCTGCTGGATCAATGCTTCTTCACACAGCCATTGCTGCCACGCAGGTCCCCTGACTTGAGTTGGAACCCTGGCATGGGATGGGAGGGATCTTGTGTGTACTCTAGAGGAAAAAGTAACCATCACTGTGAGACACCCGTTTAAAGTAATGTCTCTTTTGGCCCTGAGTATGCTCACTAATGGGTTGTTCCTAAGGTTTGGACAGACTTGAAAGAGCTTCACATCACTGGTGTTCCATGCTTTCTTCCTAAATGCTTCATTGCTCTCAGTTCTCCAGTGCACAAAGCAGCTCTGCTCAGCAGGCTGGTTTACAAAATACAAGACGGGCAGCCAGCTGAGTGGCTTTATTATCAATGCTGTTCCTCCTAATGTGAACTTTGAACACATTATGATGGAGATGACAGCAGAAATAGGTGACTGGCGGCAAGCTGAAATAGTGTGAAACTCAGCAAGCGCCAGTCAAGCTTATCATTTCCTATTAGTGATAATTCATCAAGCCAATACCAGACTAGCAATTAATGATGCTGTTCCTTCCTCACTGGGGGTGGGGGTGCGATGGCGTGGAGAGAAAGTTAATTAGGTACCCGGACATGAGGAGGCTTCTTCACAAAATGTTCATGCTTGATTATGATGAATAATTATAGTCATGCTGCAATCAAAATTATCTGGACTTTGAAAGCCATGCCTTTAGAAAACCAAAGTCTTAAAAAAGGGAGATCAAAACTACAAAAAGAAAAATATTCATGACCACCCTGAATATAGATTGGAACTGTTTCAACTGGTGCTATTATTTTCTATTTTGTTGCACATTGTTCAGCATTTTAGGGAACTATAGGGCAAAGTAAGATTTTTAAAAGGTGTCATGTGTTGACCTGTTCAGAAAACTTAGTCAATATGCAAATATGACAAAGAGTTACCTTTCTGGATTCTTGTAAGTTAAATGAAATTATGTGGGAATCAGTCACAGGGGAACTCACTCTTTCCGGCTTTTGCAAACTGTCTTCAGGCTTTGCATTTTGCATTGTTCTGTTCAAGTGAAAACCATTCTGTACTAAATATTTGTAATTTTGTACTAAATATCTGTCAAGAACAGAATCTGCTAGATGTCATCAGCACCTGTATCATACTCTGGCTGGATTCACATGACACAGCAAAGTGTTTGTACAGAATGTGGATTTTTGCCCAAACTTACCAGTCACAAGATCGCATGGTTACCCAGGTAGCACAATTTCTGCACTCCCCACTCAATCCTCCTGGCTTTACATGCCAGCAGCCCCAAAAACTCCTCATCCTTTTCCTACTCTTACCTATGGACAGCATCCTCCTGCTGATGGGTTTGCTGCAGTCCTAAGGCAGGTCCCCCGCCCCCCAAGTGCATCTGCATGTATGTGGCACCTCCCAGCTGTCCTAGGCCCCAGAAATGTATAAAATAAATAAAATAAATATCTCTGCCATGACGCTCCCCTTCTCATTCTGTGTATTTTCACATTGTCTCCGTGTTTAGATGGACACATCACTCAGCCAATGGGAACAAAGCAAGCAATGTTCTGTCTGTTGCTAAGGTGTTGAGGATAATAGAGATCAAATGCTAGAGGCACCCACTAATGTGGCCACTAATGGTGTTTCCATACTAGCTATGGTGAAATGGCTATATCTATTCCAGACAACTAGAGCAGCTGTGGTGAAGCATGGGAATCTTAGAATAGACCATTGATTTTCTCCATAGTTTCGGAAAACTAATCCTACCAAACAGGAACTCTGGAACTGGGTCTGGACAACACAACAGACCTACAAGAACAAGATTTCACCTCTCTGAGGACGCACTACTTAATTTCCCTCCTCCAGCTAGTTTTTTGTTCCAAATATTTTAGTTCCATTTTCCCCTGCAGGAAAAATATATGGCTTGTGTCTCTTGATGGCATCACATTCTAGTCCTGAAGCATCCTTTCTAGATATACAAAATTTTATAGGAAGGTGGCTAGCAAAGTGTGCTTGCTTCTGGGCTAGGGGCTATTAGACACATCCCATCTGCTTGGAACAGAGCTGAAGAACAGTTTGGCCATTTCAGTGCTAGGAAAAGTCTAGGTTTTTGCATTTACCTAAATGGTAGGAACCTTCATGGGTTTCAGAAGTTTGTTATCCAGATTTACTTAGAATAACCCTTTGAAATCAAGGGCCTTAAGTCAATCACAACTAACTTATTTTCATTGATTTGAATGGGTATGTTGCTCAATCTAGATTCAGTCCATTATATTTTACAATAAGCCTGCGGACATGAAGTGAGGCCTGCAATATCCCTGCCGTGTTCCATATGCTTATTCGACATTCTTCAGGACTGTTAAGTGATCCTTTCTCAGTAGAGATGATTTGCCAATGGCTACTCCTGTGTGTGTCATCATCAGTTTCAGTTACCATTTCCTTTAAAATAATAACAAGGGTGTCAGGGAGTGTGGGGGGTGTAGAATAATGGTGGGTACAGAAATGACAGAGCATGACAATCACAATCAGTCTCTGCTTGTAGCAAAAGAGGGGAATTGTAAGGTAGGCCACATGCTTTGCATACAGAAGGCTCTGGGTTCAGGTTTTGGCATTTCTAGTGAAAAGGTTCAAACAGAAGATGATGGCTAGTCAGCACTGGTCTCAACCAGCAACCAATCTCACCTAGCCTATGACAATCTCCTCTGTAAAATCAAGGCTGGTGGCAGAAATGAGCTTTGAATGAAATATGTTGATAGGTAGCATTAAGGAGGGGTAGGTAGCAAGCCAATTATTTTGGCTTGCAAGAGTGTTTTGAAGCAATCATCTGGGCAAATGTGGTTTAGAGCAGAGTTGGGAGCTGGAAACCTGGGGTGCTGCAGTGGTGTTGGATTTGGGGAGTTATGCAGCAATCTGGCACCCTGCACCTAAAGGTGGTAATAACTACACCTACCACAGTCTCACTTTTAAAACTGACATTGGTTTTCAATTTGGGCAATTGCTGGTTAGGCTTTCAATAGCATTTGGTATCCCTGTTCTATGGACTACCATGGTCTTTACTGTGTTGCCTCCCACAAGTCATTTGCATATTTGTAAATTTTTATTTTTTTTATTTATTTAGCAGACTTATATGCTGCCCCATTCGGCTCAGCCTCAGGGCGGCTTACAACCTATGTATTAGCATACATCTCCTGTCCCCTTCCCCTAGTGGGGAACTGACCCTATGAAAGCTTGTCCCAGAAATCTGGGAACATGAAGAAAACATGAAGAAATCTTTAGAGAAGAGGCTTCCCATGATAAACAACCCAGTACACTATGAAGTACTTTGTTTTTAAAACATGAAATTAAAACTGCCATTCTGTATGTGCTCACCAAGGAGTAACCTCCATTCAACCCATTAATACTTACTTCTGAGCACAGAGAGAACCCTGTAAGTTGATTTTTCCTGCTCATGAAAGCCCTTCAAAGGCTTTTTGCCTTCTGTACTTATGTGGTGTATTTCTGTGCACTCTTGGCAGCTGTGAGGAAAGCTGACCAAGGCCCTCCCTCCTGAGTCTCTCTGTGTCGTTGGAGATTTTCTGTGCTCATCCGCTGGCGCTGCAAGACCAGCACACACGGATTTCACAGCCACCAAAGGAAGACGGAGGCTGCGAGGAGAACATTGCAGACCAGAGTGGGAAAAGGGCCAGCGCGATCATCCGTGGCTCTGCTGCCCCCTCCCTTCTCCAGCTTTCCTATCTGCTGGTTCTTTGTTGTACCTTTTCATTAGGCGAACTGAACGTGTTGCCAATGAGATGGACTGAATGACAGCTGAAGAGCAGTGTTTACAGGAGGCGGTGGCGGTGGCTAGACAGCTGTCACTTGAAGAGGGCGACAGAGGTGTCCAGTGGGGTGTTGCTGCATTCGTGTAGTTGCTTTTGTTTTTCCTCGTTTCCTAAATCTCCCCTGATGGTTCCAACCGGCCGGAGGCTTCGGATGTCCCTGCCCAAGGATTTGCTTGTCTACTTTCTCATCTTCAGCTTTTCTGTCCCTCTGATGGTCCTGATGCTCGTGATCTAAAATGATTTTGGAGACTATTCTTCGCGATTGCGGACAGGCACTGGGAACGAGCTCAGTTTTCCAACCTCGGGTCTCGATGACAACTGCCGCAGCGGCGGCGGCGGCGGTGGCCTGATCTCTCGCTCGCTCTCGCCCTCGCTCTGTCTGGATCGTGGGAAAAGGAGACAAGATGAGCGTCGGAAAGGGAGCTTTGGAGATATCCTCAAGCCTCCGTGAATTTGTAATCCCTCTGCCCCGTTTTGCTGTTAAGAATTGATTAGAGGGAAGGGAGGGTGCGACACCCCCTCTTGGGTCTGCCTGTCCGATTTCTAGGAAACTGCCCCATCACTGGGTAGGGCGTGGTGCTTCTCTACCCTTTTAACCCGGGACGAGGAGTAACCTCGGGGAAAGGAGGAAGTAGTGGGTGGTTGGGAACCAGTTAGACACACTTACACACACGCGTCTATTGAAAGTCGGTTGATCGCATGACAGAAAGGGCGAAGGATAGCCACACATTTATCGTTATGCCATCTGAATGTTCCAGGTCTAGGGCGATGCGAAGATTTTAGCTCACGCTCCTGGTTCGCCTGCCTCTCTGCTACGAAGCAGGTCGCATTTCCCCACCCTTTTCTCTCTCGAGGATAACACCACCACCTGCTGAACACCGCTCAGTATTTTATTTTATTTACTGGTGGTGCAACAGCTGCCGCCTCTCCGGGCGCTGGTGGCAACTACCGCCGCTGCTCTGCAGCCTCCGGAGCGCGTTGCACTTATTATCATCACTGCCGGGGGAGTGTGTCCTCGCCGGCTCGCCGTGCCGCGGTGGGAGGGCAAGGGGGCAGGGCTGACATGGGAGAAGGCATGTCCAAAAGACTGAAGGTGCAACTGGGAGGCGAAGCGGAGATGGAGGAGAGGGCGTTCAACAACCCCTACCCGGATTATTCGCCCCATGGAGCCGCCGCCTCCGCGGCCAGCGTTGCTCCGTCTTCCCCCAGCGACGAGGAAGGCAAGCGATGCCGTTCGGCTTCGCCCCAGAGGGACGATTCTCTCCCTTTCGACAGCGACGGGAAGGTGAGTCCCGGGTCGAGAGGGCCGCCGCGTGGGTCGACAGTAGCAACGCCGGCGTTCCAGAACGCTTTTATTCCAGCCTTCTAGAGCGCGTGCCCAGACTGCGCCGTTCGCGGAGTCTGGATATTCGAACGTTGCTGACCTGCCCCTCCTCCGCCCTAAAGGGCCGGGCCGGGCCTAACCGCTTTCCGCCCAGCACAACGAGCGGGTTACTTTAGCCTAGCTTACGTTCCGTTCATTTTAGTGGGCCTGCTCTACGTAGGAATAATACTGGATAAAAGCTGCTGTCCGGAGACTGTTTCCCTGTAATGGCACAGGACATGTTCCCTCTATTCTCTAACTTTTCAGTTGCCACTTGAATCTGTCAGGGTCTCCCAGCAGGCCTAGGCTGCTCCTGCTCACCCGACAGCAAAGTAGAAGTTTACACCTTTCCGTGCTATCATTTAGAGTTACACCAGCAGGAATCTTTCACGCATCACCAATTTGTTCAATTCTGGATTGGGGCCTCTAGTTCTCAGTGAGGAGGTGCATCTGGATCTCACTTGGATATTGCTGGTAGTAGCTCACATGACTGAATGGTCCATACAAAAACAGCTTTCCTCACAAAGAAATTAGCATGCTAGCTTGGGGCTATGTCACTGCCCTTTCCACAAAGGCTCATTCTCTGAATGCAAAGATGTATTATTTTATAATGGCATGCTACAGCTCAGGCACAGGGTGCCTGTTTCTGTCCAAAATGGAGTGGGAATTCTGTTCTGGATTCTGTTTGTTCAGAATTTCCAGAAGTTGAGTATATTTAGGTCTTTTATTAAGAACTGGTCTTCCTAAATGGTGTTTTGTTTACAACAAAATATTGTAATATACTGGTCCAGAACAAGGGTGGGGAACTTCAGACCCTGGAGCAAATTCTGGGCCTCCTGCGGTCCCAGTCCTCCAGGTTTCTATGGATGGTGCTGCCCCCTTCCTCCAATCACCAACTATGGTGGTTTCCCTGCTTTTGAATCTTTCCAAATTCTAAAAGGTCAACATGCTTCTTCTAAGATTTAGTCACTGGCAACAAGCGTTGCAAGCTAAACTATGGTTTATTACTTTGGCTCCACCCATTTTGACTTTGGCTCTACCTACTCTGCCTTCAGCCCTATCCCATGGAATCTTCAGAGCATCTCCAAAATTGAATTAGCTAGATGTTTCCCACCTTGGGTATATGAAAGCTTCAATTTGAGAGTTTCTACCCATAATAAACCCTGCATCCTAACATGTGTATATTATATAAATAGTATATCCCAACTTGCTGATGTATCCTATTGGGAAATTATAGAGGTAGTGCTGAATTTAAAACAAAAATGATAAAGCATGCAATAAGTTAGAGAGAGATGATAAATAATATAATTATAATTGTGTACTGTTGACAAAGCAGTTAAAACAACAAAGTCAAAAAACCTCAATTCATAGCATAGAGAATAAAAACCTAATATGTGATAGACATCAGATAAGCCTCTTTAGGGTGGGGATGCCACAGAGAAAGCTGTTTATTGATTAGTTGTAGGTAGTTACCATGGGACTGAAATGTGAGGAGCAATTACCATGGGCCTCCCTTCACTACATATTTATATCTTTTATAGGTTCTTGAACTGTCATGGTTTCTCCCAATAAGGTAATGGAAAGTACTGAGGATTTTGTCTTAAAATATATATTTCTCCCATTCACCACATACCCGAAGAACTAAATTCCCCTGCTTGCCAATACAAGGGAAGGATTGTTAGTCTAAAGGACCTTAGTTTGAAATATATTTATGCCCAAGCACCCTGAGGAGTCCTTTTATTTAATGAAAGAGTACTTTGAGATACCTTAGGTGACAAGAGTAGTCCCATGTTTAGCAATACCAGTCCCTAAATAGGAACAACTGAAAAGAAAGGTTTGATTCTGGAGAATGTAGGTTGCAGAGTCATCATTGTCTGGAAACACACAGTTAAGCAATACAATCTATGGCATGTCTCCTCAGAAGTAAGTCTAAGTGGTTCTTGCTTCCAAGTAAGTGTATGACCCTGCATGTTTGGGGCAGGCTGAGCAATTTATGAAGGCCCCGCATTTGTTCTTCCTTTGCTCACCATCACACATATCTTCATAGTCATTGTAGGTTGTGTGCTTTTCCTTCCCCAAGCTGATGCTTGCCTTCTGATTAGTAAGTCAGTGCCAAAATGACACACATGAGAAGTGCTGCTCTTCCATTTTTTTCAAGTCATTACCTTGACTCCATTATGTCACTGGAGCATCATCAGCAACAGAATCCTAATATTTTGACAGCCTCAAATTCAGTACCAATGATAGGATAGATGACTGTGGAGCATAATCAAAAGCTGCTGTCGAACTTTTGTCTGCCTGTTTTGAAACCAAAAATCAGGGAATAGAAAGCACTTGAGTCATTAATATTAAGTACTAATGGGTTGTTTGGATTTGCCCTGACATATTTGTGGATTGCATTGCACGCACCATGTAATTAAGGTTTCTTTTCAACTCTCACTGATTCCCTGGGAGCCAATTGAAGCCTAATGATACTTAATGGTAAACATTTGCTGGTTAGTGGGAATAGTTAATTAGGACATCTTCAGATGATTTAGTGATGTTTGATTGCTTAGTGGTCACTTGGGAACTGCTCACACTTTATATTTATGGTAAAGATACATATGGTAATCTTTTTAGCAAATTGCATGATATGGTTAAAATAGCAACATGCTTCATCTTTGGCTTGTGGGGTGACATGTGAATGTCATTGATCAATAATTAGAGATGAGATCAATAATTTTTAGTTGTTATTCTGTATTATTTCCAATAGAATTTATGTATTGACTTTTGAATAGTGTCCTTGTGCCAAGGAATTCTGGAGGCTAAATATGGGATTATCCTACTTTATCCTTATAACAAGGCCACAGAATAGACTAAGAGAAAGTAACTGGTTCAAGGCCACAGAGCTTCATGGCTGAGCAGGGATCTGAATCATAGGCCCATTTCACTCACAATACCAGACTGAATAATCTGATGTAGTCAAGGCTGTCTATTAAAGGTTGGAAATGGATGCAAGTCACCTTGTTTAGTCACTAATGACAAGTAACAATTGCTTCTAGATGGCTTGGTAGGGAAGCTTGCACAAACTGGAAGACCGATGGTTCTTCCAACTATCTGCATAATAGAATGCAAGGAGAAGGCTATCAATGGCCACTAGCTATACGCCTGTTGCAGAGAAACTTGGGCCTGCAGAACGATTGTGCCCATCCTTCTTGAGTGATCCTGTGGGCAGCTGGTTTGCTACCTTGTGAACAGTGTTGGACCTGATGGACTATTGGTCTGATCCAGCATGGCTTTTCATATGTTATGTTCTCTTTTCTTGATGCCATACATTTGCCACAAATTATTAACAAATTTGTTAGCAAAACTTTTTGTGAGCTAGTAAACCTTTGCACTTATTTGGAAGGTCGAGGTAGCAAGATATTGCACACTGTTTACAATATGAATTAGTTTAATTTTCTGTTTTGGTTAAAATGGAAAGGGGCTGCCTTTAATTTTAAAAAGAATCCCCCTGGCATTACCTTCATGTAATTTCCCTATTATGTAGCATAGTTAAGTTCACACTAATGACCACTCCAGTTGTAAATAAAACAAAAGAATTCATACTCCAGTGGGAGTAGGTTTAGTTATGTATGAATCTAAGAGATGATTGTTCTAGTCTTGCAATTAAATTTCATGTTGCAATCCCACTGGTGCAGGAGGAAGTCTTATTGTACTCAGTGGGACTTACTTCTGAGTAGATAAGCATTTTGGCCAAACTGTAATTATCTAAATCCAAGGAGCGCTTAGCTTAATTTGATAAAATGTCAGGATTTAATATATATTTTATCTACAAGAACAGGGAAACATGACCAGTGATTGTCAATTCAGTTCAAGTGATTCTCATACATGTTTACTCAGAAATATGTCCCTATGCTCCACTGAGGCATCCTCCAGGTAAATGGGCATAGGATTGCAGCTCTGCTGATGTTTTAGGATTAGAGCCATATAAACTAGAACATTTCACCTTGTGTATAACTTTTATGCATGGCTGGCCCAGTCTAATAATGAGCAGAAGTAGTTGCTTAAGGCAGTTGCATTCCAGACATGCTAGGCTAATCAAAAGATCCTATAGGGATTACAACCCCTGCGTCGCGATCTCAGAAGCATGGGGGCCATTGTGCCCTCTCCAGTTCCTTTTATCTCACTGTATTCATTTGAATGGAGTCAAAAGTGTGTTCCGAATGTTTCAAGCAAAATGAACTCCAGTTAGGAGAACTCTTCAAAGAGGAAATACATCTCTTATATGCATGCGCGCACACACGCACAATGCACACAGCCTAGTAAAAGGCCGGGGACAGGGGTAGCCCTCCCATACGGTGACTGAAGCAAAATGCACTGCTTTGCCCACCCACCCCCTGGAAGGCCTGCTGCTACTATCACTTCAAGCCAATGCTCTAAAGCTGTGGTCCCCAACCTTTTTGGCACCAGGGACCAGTTTCATAGAAGACAATTTTTCCACGGACTGGGACGGGGGATGGTTTTGGGATGATTCAAGTGCATAACATTTATTGTGCACTTTATTTCTATTATTACATTGTAATATATAAGGAAATAATTATAACAACTCACCATAATGCAGAATCAGTGGGAGTCCTGAGCTTGTTTTCCTGCAACTAGGCACAGCTTATTTGTCACTTGCCACTTACTGATAGGGTTTTGACATGAGCCTGTAAGCAACTGATAGATTATGGTCTCTGGGCAGTCAAACCTCTCTGCTAATGATAATCTTCATTTGCAGCCACTCCCCAATGCTAGCATCACCGCCTCACCTCCAGCTCAGATCATCAGGCATTAGAATCTCATAAGGAGTGCGCAGCCTAGAGCCTTCATATGCACAGTTTACAGTAGGGTTTGCACTCCCATGAGAATCTAATGCCTGATGATCTGAGGTGGAGCTGAGGCAGCGATGTTAACACTGGGGAGCAGCTACAAGTACAGATGAAGCTTCACTCGCTACTCACCTCCTGCTGTGCTGCCCAGTTCCTAACGGGCCACAGACTTGTACTGGTCCATGGCCAAAGGTTGGGGTCCCCTGCTCTAGAGAACTCTGCCAGCTGCTTGCCTGCTCAGGCATTTGCTTCAGGGCTCTTTGGAGCAGCTGCCCAATAGATGATGCAAGCAGGTGCTCTGAAGAGCCCTACTAGAGCCATTCTTCTGTGGGACAAATGCATTAGAGAGAGAGCAGCCAGCCAGGCTCTCTACACAGCTGCCTTCCCTCTGTTTTGCTCCAAGGAGTGCAACATGCTTGGAGTGAAGCAGCCGCTCCCAGCCACCTGCCCTCTGGGTCGTACTGAGAGCCAGACAACCAGTGACTCAGCTCTCCAGAGAGCTGATGCCACAATGACCGCAAAGAGAAGGGGCAGTGAAGACAAAGGAAATGGGGTATGTGATAAGGCAAGGTGAAGGGGTATGCCACGAGGCAAGGGGAAGGAGGGGGACACCGGATGTGGCAAAGAGAAGGCGTGGGTCAGAAGGCTGCAGCATGAAGAAGGGAGTGCAACGTGGTGCCATCAGTGGCAACAGCATTATCTCCCATCACAGGCAGTGAAAGAACTTGCACCTAGCCTGGAAGGTTTTCTTCTGGGTGAACCAAATAGCCTGCAGTGACCCCCACTTTGCCACACACCAAATGTTTGATGTAGCAGCCTCAACTGAGCAATGGATTAGGTGCTTATAATCTAAATGTTTCCATTACCTAGTCCAATGGTAGACAGAAGATAGATCTTCAGATCTTTTCAACCATCTCCCAAAGCCTCTTTCAACAGGGTCAATGGGAACTGAGATCCAAAACATCTAGAGATCTATCTACTGTCCTCTCCTATTCTAATCTTTCCTTTCCTTGATTTTACAAGAGAAGGTCTGGTTGCATCATGCAGCATTGTGGAACAGGACATTTTCCTCTGCCAAAATTTGGTTTTCTGCTTGTTTCCTTGCAGTTCTCGTTATATTAGAAATGTGCACACAGCTTCTGGGGAAGAATAAACAGCTAAAAGGAGCACGGCGTTATTTTCCTCAATTGCAAATCAGTTTGACAGATTCTCAGGATCCTGATTACCTAAGTTGATTTTTCCCATTAATTGATTCATGAATTAGTTTAATGGCATTTGGATGCCCCCTATAACAGTGTTATCTCAGCAGCCCAAACTCAGTTGTCAGTTGGGTGGAAAGTCTACATTTAAAGCTTTAAAATCAGCTACTTTTGCCTGCTAAGGAAGACCAATCATTCCTGGAATTATTGAAGCCTGTTTCATTCTTGAAAACTGCTGCCATGGCTTCTGATCACAAAGAGGACACAGTGATGTGCGTTGCAATGGCAACCGTTCCTTATCTTGCTGTTCTATAGCTATGAACTTGACTCTGTGCAAGCCTGTAGTTATTCCCTTCCTTTGGTAAGACATGAATACAGATGAGGATGTTTAGAACAGGAGAAAATTGATGAGTGTCACTTACGATGTTGGATGTGGATTTTGGATCCGAATACACAAGAGTGAGGGCAGCTGAGAAACTCCATCTGAGAAATACTGGAACCACTGACTCTTCCCTACCTGAAGTCATTATAGACCACGTGAAATATCAATACACAGTAGCTTAAATTCAGTTTTTCCTATACTTTGATATGCCATCAAATGCTATGTAGTCTATGTGTGTGTTATATAATATCTCTCTTTAATTTCTGCAGATCAGCCCTTCTTTCAATAAAAGGATCACAACTAAAATTAAGGATCTGTTGCAACAAATGGAAGAAGGACTAAAGACTGCAGATCCACATGACTGCTCTGCGTATACTGGCTGGACAGGTGAGGTATCTAATCCATTCAGCAACACTCACAGAATTAATTTAGAGGTGAGGGTTTTAAGATCCTTTCAGAGGCTAGACTTTTTAGTGATTGAGAGCTGGATTTAGGGGCAGGACTTGTTTCTGTTGATACCCAGTTCATTTGGGTAGTGCCACTTTTCAATGAAGTGTTTGATACTACTAGAGGCGAGACATGCACCTCCGCCTACAGCCCAGGTGGCAACTGGATATAGAACAGGGGTCCTCAAACTTTTTAAACGGGGCCAGTTCACTGTCCCTCAGACTATTGCGGGGGAGCAACTATAGTTTGAAAAAAATATGAACAAATTCCTATGCACACTGCACATTAAAAATTAATTATAATTTAAAAAATTAATTAAAAATGTTTGCTCCACTCCCTCAGGCTGCAGCAGAAGCCAAAGATGAGGTGGGAAAGAGCATGTCCATATTCAAGGGTCATAGCAACAACACAACCAAGGCACTAAATATAGTATTTTGCATAATGCAGCTGTTGACTCCAACTGGCATTTACAAAGAAGGAAGCAAAAATACTAAGGATAAATACTGTTAATGCCACTCTTAGTATTTGAAGCACGTTAGCCAAGAACAATTCCCACAATACACAATGGCTGTATTTGGATGCAGAACTAATGACTACCATATTTTAGAAACATAGAAACAGAGCAAGTCAGAAGGGGCCTCCCGGGCCATCTAGTCTGACCCCCGGCTCCATCTAGACTCCATCTAGTCTACCAGCCATGTGCATGTCAACCTTGCAACTGAGTGCAACCTTGCCAAAACTGGTACTGTCCAGATGAGTTGGACTACAACTTCCACTGGCCATGCTGGTTGGGCATGATGGAAATTATAGTCCTCACCGCTGCCCCAGTTATGAGGGAGCAGGAACGGGAGGCTGGAGAGGTGAGCGTGGGGTGGCTCCCCTGGCCGGGAGAGGGCCGTGAGGAGGGAGGTAAGGGCTTCTTTCTGAGGTGAGGCAAGGTGAGGGACAGGGCTGCGGCCGGCCGAGTGGGGCACCTCCTGCCTCTCCCCGCTGTGGGGGGAAGCATGACAGCAGCTCGACTGCAGTGGGCTTGCCCACTGAAGGCTGCGGTGGAGGCGTGGGAGCCGCAGCCCACTCCATCGCAGTCTGTTCATCCCCAGGCTCAGCGAAGTAGCCGTGGCTTGGCTCACAGCCCAGGAACGTGGCTCACATACTTAAAAATGGATTTTAGAAGTTATATTTTTCTTACCTTCAATCCTTTTTTAGTGTCTTCATCTCTCTCTCTCTTCCGCCCTCCTCTCTTCTGTTTCCTGCTCCATATTCCTGCTCTGTATATGCATGCAAGGGGATGAGGGGGGAGAGCTGTTACAATTTGGCACATGCACCGGCTCTCCGCACAGTTTCAGAGAACGCCTGTGCCAGCTCATAGCTTTTGGACTTGCATAAGGCCCACCATTGCTTTCTCTGAGCTAGTCCTAAAGCTCTGAGGTGGGTCGGATAAGTGAGCATGGTGGGCCTTATGCAGCCCACAGGCCGTAGTTTGAGGACCCATGATGTAGAACATAGGGACCTGTTTAATTAGGCTCTTGTGGCTTTCTTTCTCCATTAAAGCAGTTAATGATTAAATTGAGAGGACAGTTCTTCCTTGGGCATCCAAGAAATGATGCAGCTGGTATTTCTCATTCAGAAAAAATACTCACTCTCTCTTTACTTCTCTTTGCCCTGATTATCTGAATAGTGTGGCCAATATTTGTAGCACAGGCAATCCCCGAGTTATGAATGAGTTTTGTTCCTGAGAAAATGGGAATTTGTCTCTAAGTCAAATTTGTATCATGTATAGTCAGCCCTCCAAATTGGGGGGGGGGGGCGGTTAGGGATACAGGACCCCCATGAAAGTGGAAAAACTGTGACTATTTCTGCCCCCCCCCCCCAACTCACCAGTGCCTCCTCTTTGCAGCAAGGAAATGCCAGGGGGATTTCCCTTTCCAGATGGGTGAGGCAGGAAGGCATGCTTTGGAGGCCTCCCTCTCTATCCTTTCACTTCCTCTCTCTATGATAAAGATGGTTTTCTGCAGTGATTTTTTTAAAAATAATAGGTTTATGGACGTTTTTTAACAGGTACGGGCTTTTTGTAACTTGGGGATTACCTGTATTAAAAAGAAGCTGAAAACTCACACATGGGAAAAAACCTCTCCCGTTACTTGTTTATGGATGGGTTGACTGACTGGTGGATTGAACTGGCTGGATTTGGGGCAGGGGAAAGAATCTGTTGTGTACACCCGTGTGTGCCCATGCATGTGCATGCATAATCATATCATCTGACAACAGGAAAAGCATCAGATGTTGTCTTGGGCATAGCAATTAACTTCCTGAGAATTGCTTCACAACCATACTTGAAGGTGTGTGGACAATGCCTCCTCAAGGCTCTGAAGCTTGAGAAGTGGCTGAATAAAATTTAGGCTGTAATCCTGTGAACTGTGTGTCCTCACTGCTTGGATGCCCACTGACAGGATTTTAGACTAAAGCTGTCATGGCAGGAGTTGCAGCAAAGGTGATCTTTGTCTCTCCATTCTCCAATCCCGTATATTTTGGTGCTTTGGGTGGGCAAGGAAACAGGCAAGAGGAGGCTCAGGATAAATCATATCCCTTCTCCAAGGTTAGTTTTCCTAGTGTGGGGGGTGGGGGGGGTGGGCAGCCAGCACTATCCTTTCCACACTGGTAGTGAGAGATCAGTGCCTGGATCTTTGACCCTGGAAGGGGTTTTCCGAGCCATCCTGCAGTGCCTGTGACATTTGTCCAGGAACCATATGATTACTTTCTGAGTGCACAATCCTATGCATTGTGCTGGCTGGGGAAAACTGGGAGTTGTTGAAACTTCCTTCCATCTAAACTTGCATTGGATTGCACCCTTAAAGTCTTAAGTACCTGAATGTACGTTTTCAGGACTGCCATCACTCATTGCCCATCCCCAGAACCAGCCAACCAGAATAATTGAAGAAAGGAAAAATGGTGCATAATAAAATATGCAGAATAGATTATTTATTTAACTTCTATCCTGCTTTAATTAGTCCGAAGGACTCTCTAAGCAGGGAGATCTGCTTAATTTTTAGAACTGAATCGAACTGCAGAATGCAGGAAGGTTCCTGGTGCTGAATTTGTACTTCCAAAATGCAGAATATATGTATTAGTGGAGTGTACAAAATTCTGGGAACCTGAATCTGGGTCCTGTTTGCTTCAGTTCTGTACATGTGCCATGCTCCACTTCATATTTTAGAATGTTGTCCAACATTTTACCCTAGTCTTTATCTGAAAAGGCTCCCAAAGTGGCTTGTATATGGTCAATAATAATGTCAACTCCTGCCCTCTGGCTTACATCTAAAAGATACAGTATAAAAGGAAAAGGAGATGAGGAAGAAAAAACAAACTTGGGTACCAGTTCCTCAATTTCCATAGTTTCTATAATGACCAGCTGGGATAGAGACTTTTCTAGAAAGGAGGCACCAAAAGGAGCTGGTTTGTCTGCAGAGCTCTCTATCTTTCCCTCTGATGCATCAGAGGAATAGCTGCTGCCAGGTGACAGCTGAGGAAGGGAGCAGCATGAGGGAGCTGGTGTCCCAGCAGAGTCAACAAGGGACAGATCGACATCCCTCCAGCATTGTACCTAGCTAGAGTTAAATCCAAAAGAGGATTGGATCATGTATTATTTTTCCACTTGTTCCTCTTTAATCGGTTTGGGAAGGATTCAGAGCGTTCTGAGCAGATGGTTCTGTAGGTGGAGAGCTGACAAAATTGTAGCATTTGTGATTAGTTTGTTTTTAAAAATCTAAAAATGGGAGCAGCATTTTTAATTGCCATCTCTCACTTGCTGTTTCTCAAGAAGTGGAACAACAAGATTCTGAGGGTGAACGCAAGAGAATTCATTGCTAGCTTACTCTGGTCAACTGCTATGTAACAAATCTACTGTTTGCGTCAAACAGTAAGACAGATGGATGAGTAATAGTTCTGTGGAGGAAGGCTTGGGTTTTGTACAGGAATGCTCAAATATGGTGCAGAAGAGAGATGAAATAGCAAGGATGTTTCAGCTGATGTCTTTGCACTGACTTGGCTTCTTTTCTGATTTCAGTGGATACCTACTTGACAGTTGATGCGGTGTAAAAACATGCAAGCTTTCCTGAGGCTTCTTAAAGGCAACAATATTTTTATATAAAGTACAATTAGGGTGCAACCCTATCCATGTTTAGACAGAAAAAAAGTCGTACACCTCCCAGCATTTCCCAGCCAGCACTTTTCAGAGGGTAGAGAGGTGTCAAGCACTGTCACAGAACAAAAGCGTCCTAAAAATGTGTGGTGTAGAAGAACAAAATGACTTTGCTTGCTGCTGTGTTGCCATCTGCCCTCTTCCTCTCCCGGCCATTATTCTTTTTCAATCCAGCACATGCACAACTGTGTTCCTGTACTTACTCAGTGGGATTGGAGCCCATATGCTGTGATATGTGTATATGGGATAGAGTATGCAAGCTGCAAGGCAGGGCTGATGATGGATACCCTCCCTGTTGACACCAACTGCATTAAAATAGCAATCCTATGGACACCTACTGGGGGTGAGCTTTACTGAATTCAGTGGGACTTGCATCTTACAGGATCATGCTACACAGTTATACCCAGAGCAGACGTAGGCAACCTTTTGGGGCTCATGGTGGACACATTCGGCAATTTAAGAAACTGCCCTGGGTACCATCACAAAATTGGTACACAGCAGATGAACGGATTGGTTCACAATCACCTGCCACATGTGGACTAGAGGCATTCATAGGTAATTAAGACAGCAGGTGAAGGTGGTCACTTAGATTGAAGTGATCCCACCGCCATCAAGACAGTTTGGTTTTTGATATAAAATTGGAAGGATAAGGCACCCTAGTGAGGGCCAAGGAAAGATATGCCTGATGTGTGATGCACTGGCTCACACATCACCTATCTGAATCTGAGCATTTGTATCTCCAGATGAGTGTTTCTGGGTAGTCATTTAGTGGGCGGCATGATTTGGATCAGACTGATCTCAACAGCTGGGGTGTTGCACCCAAGGTAGGTCATAGAAGCATCAGCCTCTTTTTCTCTAGAGTTGGATCCACACTCTTCCTGTTTGTGGAAAGGAATAAGATCCAGTGGAGGCTTTCTGCTGCAAGAAATGGAGGAGGACATTTCTGTGCACATACTGTTCCTCCAACCCTCTGGTGCAACTTTTCAGGATGCTGAAGGGGGAATTGCTCCTTCTCTCCTCTTCTTTTCCCAACCCAAGCATGGGCAACTTGTGAAGCTCCAGATGTTTAGGTCCAAGGTATTCATGTCTAGCATTTCTTTTAAGATAAGAAATGTGGGGGAAGAGAGGAAGAAACAGAAAGGGAAGGAGCTGTGGTAAGGAATTGGGTAAATCCCATTTTTAAAAAATGAAAGATGAGTTCTGGTCTGGAAAAAAGTTTAGACCTTTAAAGAATGATGATTTAATTACCATTCTTTAAAGGAAATTCTTTTGTTGCAAGCATGCAGAACCTCAGGCCCATGGGCCAAAGCTGGCCTGCGTGGGGTCTCCTGATAGCCATGCTCCTTCTCACTGGCCAGACCCTCTTTCTTGAGCTTTCATGCATCTTTTTACCTATTCTAACAAGATACTTTTCCTAAGGCTCACCTATTTGGGGTAAGAGCTTTAAGTTAAACTATGCTTGTGCTTTTGGCTCTGCTCAGCAGTGACATCTTCAAAGTAGAATTCAGCCCCTAGACTTAAAAGGGGCTCAGCACCCCTTCTATATTGGATGCTGATCCAGGGATGTTGAGGAAATAGAAGGATTTGATTTCTCTTTTGCATGATGATTCCAGGAATAGCCCTCTTGTACCTTCAGCTGTACCACGTGACAAAGGAGCAAAGTCACTTACAGCGGTCCCTGGATTACGTGAAGAGAATACTGCGCAATCTGAATGGAAGGCGGGTTACGTTCCTCTGTGGTGATGCTGGACCCTTGGCAGTGGGAGCCGTGGTATACCACAAGCTGAAGAATGACAGTGAATCCAAGGAGTGTGTGACCAAGTGAGTAGCTGGGAGTGGCCTGGTTGGGGAAAGAGACTGTGGATAAGCTAAACATTTGGTGATTGGCTTGAATTCAAAACGTGGTGTCCATTTTTGGATGGCTTTCCTTGGAAGAACAGGGGAAGAAGCCAGTGTGAATGAAGTTGTTGTTTCTATACCACCCATTAGCTGAAGCTATATTTGTTTTATAGGTTTATACCTCACCCTTTGATATGCATGGTAGAGAAGGATGTGGGTTTTCTGGAAAATGTTGATTTACAACATTATACAAATGAAGTTAGCTTGCACTGGGAAAGTTTTCAGTTTGCACTGGAACATTTTCTGATGCCCCGAATAATGGTCTAATGCAGCACATTTATTTTATTTGTATTTGGTGAACAACAAGCTAAGAAAAGTACTCTGTGTTGATTTTTGGCCCAGGAAATCTCAAGTATTTCACTTGAAATATCTGAGGGAAAAATTAAAGCACATAAGCAGCATCCAGGGGGCCATAAGATTTTTCAGATTTGCAGCTCTGAGGTGAAAAAGAGCTTGAACCTTGGATCTGGGGATCTGTGCTTGGGTCACCCTCTCCTCTCCAGCACTTGCAGCCTGCATGGAAAGAACTACGGGAGATTCTCTGAGATTGTAACAGTGACCTTCTAAAGGAGTTTAGGGGATGCTCCAAGTGGAGGGGAGGAAGACAGTGACACTAAGATGCAGGGTATTCTTGCAGTATCTTAACTTCCTCCCCTTTCCAGTGCTGCAGTTAGATGGCTGAAACCTTTGTCCCAGCACTCTTCCCACTCTGGGTTTGGAGGGCTATAGGCATCTCCATTAGGATGCAAGCCTATGCATGCTTAGACACAAGAAAGTTGTACAACTGATGACATCCCTCCAACCAGCTGGGGTCTCCTGGGGATTGTAGGACTTTTAAAAATTACTATTAATTACATTGCCACAGGTTTCTCAGGGCAATGTACAAATTAAAACATCAATTTAACAATAAAAACCACTGAAAGCACAAAAATCCAACAATAAATAATCACAACAATCCATAAATTAACTCCAGACACAGCAACAATGACAAGTCTAAAATTGTTATCATAAAAATATTAATAGATCTAACTTTTAAAATGCCTGGTACATAAAAAAGTTTTTGCCTGAAGCCTAAAAGGAAACAAAGAGGGCACCAGGAGGACCTCTCTGCAGAGCATGTGTTACCTATAGGGTGCAACTACCAAGAAGGCCCCTCTTTTATTTGCAGTATAAACAAGTGTAGGATTGTACCCTTACTGTGTTTTAAATGTGGTATCATTGGAACACTTGTACAAAATTTAAGACAATAGCTTGTACTTCCTTTTAACTTTAAGGAAAAAATCTGAGGTGCTTACAACTTAATATATAAATAAATGTTAGTGATCCAAAGAATGGTAGTCTGACAACTGCGTGTCTTTAACTTTGAAACTGTCACAGTTGCCTAATATTGAAAAAAAGTTGGCATCTGTTGATTGTTGCTACAGAATTTATGAAATGGAGCCATTTCTGCAAAATAATGAAGCAATAGAAAAAATGCTATCCTGCATCTCTGGTTAGAGAGCACCTGCTTGGCATGCAAACAAACCCAGGCTTGATTTCCAGTACTCCAGTACTCTGATGCTGCCGGTCGAAGCAGGCAATTCTAAGTTAGATAGTGTGGATCAGTACAAGACTGTTTTCTATATCATTCCATTTGCTTTCCTAGGAATAAACAATAAACTCATGAAATGTAAAACTAACACAACAGATATGAGAACAGCATAACAGCCTCAAAGGAGTTAAATCTTTTAAAAGCCTGGGGAAATAAAAAGGCCTGTGTCTGAGTCCCAAAAGGACATCAGAACAAGATGCCAAATGATCTTTCTTGTGTTTGGGATGCCAGAAAGGCGGCATCGTAGCATTTATCCCCATTTGCCTCACTCCAGATGGTTGGGGTACCTTGGGGAGAGCTTTCAAAGTTGATCTCTGAGCATCCACTGGTCAATGTGGCAGTAGGCATTCTTTCTGGTAGGTTTTTTTTAAGTACCAGGCCTTTGAACAGTGCTTTTAATTGGCTAGTGCAGTTGCTTTAAGTACTGGCAATATACCTTTCTGACAAGTGGTCCCAGTTCAGAGCTACATTTCAGACTCAGTGCTGATGCAAGCTTTAGTGGTCTTTTAGCTTAATGCACAGGTGCCAAGCTTGCCCTTACACAGTCCCCAAAAGCAACAGATTGTCAGTGCAGATGTTTGTTTTCTGGCTACAATCCTGGGTGCAATCACCAGAGTTAATCTCATTGAATTCAGCTTCAGAATAAAGACAACAAGTGCTGCAATGCACTGGTCCACATAATCTGACATTCTGTTGCTCATGGGATGGGCCTCTGCCTGATTCACCGCCCCCGGCACCACAGCTCACCCCATTCATAGGGTCTCCTAACTTTGTCTAGTATTGTCAAGGGACTGGAGGAATTGCTGTGGGAAGGAAGGGCCCAGGGAAGTCCAGAATTGCTGGCACAGTTGATCCAGCCTACATCTGGAACCAGCCCAGTATATTTTCATATTTTTATGTCAGGATGTTGTTCACATACCTCTCTTGCATCTTAAATATTTCTGATTGTGGGTGTGGGTGTTGCGCTGAGTGCTGCTTTATCAGTGTAGCACTCTCAAAATGTTTTAAGTATGCTAATGTTTCGTTTAATCTTTAAATGGAATGTTTAAAGAAACAAATCCTATCTCTGCACTTAACAGGTTGGCTGCTAGCTATCAATAAAGCATTCTCATGCTCCTTGACAATAAGTTTCTTTCAAGACCCAACTCCAGGTTCCACTGCATTTTGCACCAGGAGTCCTCATGGTTTAAGCATTAAGCTTGGCCACGGTGGCTGTCCCCCAGTTTAAAAGACAAATGGCTTGAACCCCGCTGAGTGTATCTAAAAACAAGTCAACAAAAAAGTGCTCCTATGTGTCACTTGCACATCCATGGGAACTGAAAGATGTGGGGTCACTTTAGTTCATGGAATGCTTCAGAGGCCCAAAGGAAGCAAAAATACCTGCAAAGAAGAGCTGTTCTGTAAGGCTTTAAAATGAGTGACCTGGTTAGCTGCTGAGAACTAACAGGAATCGGATTCCCCCTGCAATATGAGCAAGGTCCATCTCACTTGTTTTGTTTCCTTGAATATTTTCATCCCAGAAAATAATAATAATTGGATCCAGAGGCTTTTGTGAAGCCTTCTTCCATTGTTCCCATGCTCTGAAGAGGACAAAAATGATCTTTGGAGGGTTATAGATCCTGAAGTGCCCCCATCTGCATTCTGTGCTGTGGCAGAACCTGTTAGCATCCCACCAGCATCCCTTGTCACTGCCTGCTGTGGCAGATTAGCTCTCGAAGACTCAGCCTCCAGCCATTGCAGCACCATTTATATTTAGAGTGTTTAATCAGTCTCCCCCTAATCCACACCCCTTCGCAATTAATCTCTAGCTTCTGATATGAAAATTTCCATTTGAAATGGAATGTCTTTCTCTGCTGCGGATAAAGTTGGTGAGGTGATTTACTATTGTTATTTTAGATTTGGGCACAGGCAGACTGTTTTGTGGAGTGGAAGTGAAGAGTGAAATAAGATTAAGGCTGGGATCCTAAGACTGCTTAATTGGAAATAAATTCCATTGTAATCAGTTGGGCTTACATTCTGAAAGAAGTGACTGTCATCCAGAAAGCAGTATGGGGACAGATCAGCAAGCACAGGTGGATCGCTTTCTCCTTTTTTCTGAACAGCCCTGCCATGCCGCCCTCCAAACTAGTGCATCCCAAGCCATTTTTGCAATGTGAGGGATGTGGAGTGACTCACTAAGGGGCAGGTGCAGCAAAGAAAAAGAAAAACCTTCTTGACGGCCCATTTCACACACGAATGTTCAGCACTTGCTTTACTGTACCCTTGAAGATTGAGAGTTGAATGTGTGAACTGGCTCCATCGAAGAGCTCCATGGATTCAATACACAATATTCCATTGGACCTTGTGCTTGGATATAAGGTAGGGGTGTCAAAACACTTTCAGCCTGAGGACCCAATTCGATTTTGGAGACTCTTGCAGGGCCTGCACTCCAGGAGGATGAGGCTGAAGGCAGAATGGGCAGGTCTCCTCCCAAATGCCAGCCTATTGTATCTTTAAGCTCTTCCTACCAATAAGTAAGCCTTATAGTGTCTGGGGGAGGGCTTAGGGATCCAAGCCTGGAAAGCTGAAATATGGCCCACAGGCCAGAACTTCAACAATCCTGATGAAAACAAAGGGAGGATGTAGCAGGAAGCAGCTTAGGGACATGTGTGTTGTTGGATGCTTGTAGGCTAATCTGCCTGCTTGTAATTTGTAGAGTTTTGTGGTTAGATGCAGTGTTAGGGCACAGTCTAATGGGGATGCCTGTAGCCTCTGAACTCATACAGAGCCAAAGGAGTGGTAGAGGAAAAGGTCTCCTCTAAATGTCTCCAGTTCTACAAAGTAAAGCAACTTCAAGACTGATTTGAGCCATCCAGCTACAGTGCCTCACAGCGGGAGGGAGGGGACTGAGCACCTCCAGGATATATTCTATCTTGGCAGCCCTGGTCTCCCCACTCTGTTCCCCCAAATCCTTCCTCCAAGCCTAGTCTGATGACTTCCAAGGAGTAGCCATGGCAACCAGGTGAGTCACTGTTAACAAGCCTTGAATGGATGGCATCAGTCACAGCTGAGAATTTGGTGTAATGAAATGAGAGAGAGAAACTGAGCCACCTGGTCAGCCCTTTGTCCAATTCTGCTTTGCCCCAGACTACTACAGCTCCAGAGAATAGTCATCGCCACAGATTCTGACCTTCCAGATGAGCTGCTGTATGGAAGAGCCGGTTACCTGTATGCCTTGCTTTATCTGAATACTGAAATTGGTCCGGAGACAGTGCCGCAGTCTGTTATCAAAGAGGTAAGCAAGATCTTTTTCTGGGGTCTTGTGCTCCACAGCCGTCCCAGGTGAATGGCGGAAGGGAGAGTGCCTGGCCTTTGGAGAACTACATAAAAGAAAACCAGGGAGTCTCCCCTTACGCCTGCACACATTTGTGGGAGGGGTGGAGGATAAAGCTAGTGCTCCACTCTCTTAAAAATACATGAAATAGTAGTAATATTGAAGAGCAACTTTTTAACATTCCTACAATGCTGCAAACCAGAGGTCAGTTATCATCCAGCACTGCTGAGGGCACGGACACTGTCCAGTACGATGTCTGTGAGACTAGGGCAGCTTCCACACGGCTGCCACTATTGCAATGGAGCCACCGGCTGTGGGAGCGGCAGGTGGGGGATCTCCCTTTTTGCCAGGAATACACCAAAAATGGTTCCTGGAGGAAAATGTACCCTCCATGCAACAAAGGATATCTTTGATAAGATTATTTTTCCAAGAGCAATTTTGATAGATTACATGAAGACATAATTGTTCTCTCTGGCAAATATGTTTTAAGCCACATGATCTTCCTGACTGAATGGTTGATAGTGATTGTTTCAGAGGGCTCTGAATTCTTTACAAGAATGACTTGAGCGGCTGAGCACTCCAGCGAGGTGTGAGGTGTTCTCTGCATTTGCCATTCTCTCTGCATTAGGTGGTAGATGTCATCATTGAATCCGGTAAAAATTTTTCCAGAGAAGAGAGGAAAACAGAACGCTGCCCACTATTGTACCAGTGGCACAGGAAGCAGTACGTTGGTGCAGCCCATGGTGTGTCTGGGATCTATTACATGCTTATGCAGGTAATATTGTAGATTGCGCGGCCCACTTAGCTTCCATCCATGGTTGTCAGCCTGAAGCAGTCTCCTCTGGCAGCCATCCTGGGTGAATGGTCACCAGCAGCAGAAGTTTCTCTGTCTCTCACACTCTCTATGCTCTGCCCAGTCCTGCCCTGTTCTACTCTATTCTGCTTCTAGGCCAAGTATGTCAAGCCTTTTTCATCCTGAGGATTGAATTCCTGATCAGAAAAGCTCTCAGGACCATGTTCCAGTGGTGGATGGGACCAAAAGTAAAGGAGCAGGTGCCAGAATACCAAAAATGCCAGCACATTTTAGCTTAAAGCACTTACTGGAAGCAGCTAAGCCTTAAGAGAGACTTGAACATTGGGAAAGAATTCCACTAAAGCTGGGAAATGACCCACTGATCACTGGTTGGGAGAAAGGCCCTGTGCTTACAGCAGGGAGGATGACATGATAATTCAAGGGGAAGCATGTGCTTTGCCTGCCAAAGTGCCCAAGTTTAATCCCTCTTTCAGGCTGCAGCAAACACAGGAGGAGAAGGAACCTTCTTGCCCTCTTCAGCATAGATGTCAGAGGCCTACTTTATAGGATTCAGGAGCAATCAGGTTGTTTGCAGTCATTTCTCCATAATGCAGCTTCTTGACTTTCTGTCCTGCATGCAGTCTAGCACCCACAGTTCTGCCTTCTGAGGAAACTGCCCATGTTTCAGTTATCCCTTAAATTAGGATGGTCTCACCCTGGCCATTTATGGGGGGTGGGGGGAAGCAGCCTGTACAAACTAGCTTGCTGTTAATTCACAGGAAGCTGGGATCATGTGCAAATGCAGTCAGTAAGAGTCATATCTCCTCACTGTTAAGATTACTGTGCATTTTCAAGCATTTCCTCAGTGCCCTACTGTGGAAGTTGTAGGGCTCCCAGGCCAATATTTTTTTTTTAAAAATCTCAACCACTTTTGGAGGGGTCCCATTTCTTTGTCCTAGGACCCATAATGGACTAATTGCCTTTCATCTTGAAATGATTCCCATTTTCTCCTTGTTTTATTCAAGAAAGTCTTCATTTATAGGCCCATTTCAGGATGATCAGGGATGCACACATGACAGGTGCATTCTGCTTTTGCATCTCTACTTTAACACACTTAAGAATTCCCTCCCCCCTTGCACAATGTGCAAATTCTAAATGAGGGAATATCTCTCTTGTGTGGGCAGATGCAAAGGTCACATGTCATACTTCTTCGTGATGTGCAAAGCCACCCTCTAAATACACCACCACCACCAAAGGAAAAAACTCCTTCGCTGTCTCCCTGTTAAAGGATAATTGAAGGCATGATTCCTCAGCAGGAATGTGCTTGAACATGGATTTATAGCACTATATCGACTTCACCGTTTCATTTTTCATTTTTTGGAAAGTGAAATTTTATCATGGGACAATCTTGTTTTTTTAGCCAGCATCCAATGTGGATCAGGAGATTTTGACGGAGCTGGTGAAGCCAAGCATTGACTATGTGCGTCATAAAAAATTCCGATCTGGGAATTATCCATCATCTTTAAGCAACGAAACTGACAGGCTGGTTCACTGGTGCCATGGTGCCCCTGGAGTAATCCATATGCTCATGCAAGCATATAAGGTATGTCCTAATTTTGCACAGAAATGAGGGATGGAAGCAGGCATAATTTTAAATGAAAGCTTAGTTTTCAGATTTCTAAGAGGAGTCTGCAAGAGGGTCAAAGGCATGGGTGCGTACACCTCAAGACCTAGTGAGGCTTTCTCTGCTGCTTGGGTTGAGATCCAAAGAACTAGCAATGTGAGTTCAAGGGAATCTTTGAGACAGAAAAAACAGTCAAAAGGCAACAGTGCTTTCCCCGTGCTGTGTGAAAGTGATCAGGTTTTCAAATGCTGTTTTTTGATATGGTGAGGAGGCTAGGTGGGGGGATCAGTTGTTCAAACAAAGAAGATCTGAGTGGCTTGACCCTAAGTAGTTCTCAGAATTCTGGCTGGTATTTTATCATTGCAATACAGTGCTGTGTACAAGGGTCACAGAGACAAGACATTCCCTGGGCTAAAGAGCTTGTCTTCTAAGTTGAGGAGGTCAGGGTCGGGGAGGAAGACAACCAGAGGAATGTTCTGACAGTTGGGAGACACTGGCCTACACTGCAGCTGCACCAGCAGAATGGGCCACTAGTGGAACAGGAATTAATGGTTCTTGAAACAGCCAGAAACAAGGAACAGCACCTGTTTCCAGAATGAGGCAGATCAGCAGAGTCCTCAGAAGGGAATTCCACTGATGTGCCCTGTTCTGAAAGTGAGTGTTTCTGCTCATTTCCTGGGGTTATTCCAGAAACTGTTAGTTCCTGTTGCATTAGTGGCCCCTTTCCATTGGATAAAGAGAAGTAGCAGAAGCATAGGATACTGCCCAGAAAGACCCTGGTTCAAATCTCATCTCACCCCAGAGTTTGCTTGGATGGCTTTCTGGCAGTCAGTCTCAGCATCCGCATCTGCACTGTAGGGAGAATAACACTGGTATGCCTTTTTTGAGTTTTATTGAGAGAATCTGGGTGAAGCTTTGTGTAAAAGTAAAGGCCTACATCAAGAGCTGGTTGTGAAGCCTGGATGCGAATGCACATCAAATGTGCATCAAAAATTACATCCAGCCGGTTCAGTGGAATGTGGGTAAACTTCCCAGAGCAGACAGTAATGAACATCAGCTGTGTGTGGAATCTCTCTTGCTAGTTATGGACAGACATATTCACATTATAATGCTTTTAGTTAGTTGACTGTGGTGGCTAGGCATGTGGTAGGGCCTGCAAAGCAGTCGCAAACATTTATTTATTTAGGATATTTCTAGGCCGTGCATCCCTTTCGTCTCTGGACGGCTTACAAACACGCTCATGAAGTTCCTGGCTCAAATCCAGTTGGAGGACAAAACTTTTGCTTTGTTTTTTGTTTTTTGCATTGAGCAGGAATTTGTACTAAAGAGCCTTCAGATCCTCCTCTAATCTGTCATGCTGTGTTTGTTAATTTCCATAGATTTTCAAAGAAGATAAATATTTGAAGGATGCCATGGAATGTAGTGATGTCATTTGGCAGAGAGGATTATTGAGGAAAGGGTATGGGATCTGCCATGGGACTGCTGGAAATGGCTACTCCTTCTTATCCCTCTACCACCTAACTCTGGATAAAAAGTACCTCTACCGAGCATGCAAGGTATCCTGTTGCATTCCTGTACTTCTCTGTGTGTGCCTATCTCTCTGACGGTTTATTTCTGAAGGCAGATCTCATCTGCCCTGATAACTAATTGAGAGCCAGTGGGGCGTAGTGGTTAAGAGCACAGGACTGGGACTCGGGCAATCTGGGTTCTAGTCCCTGCTCGGCCATGGAGCCAACTGGGCGACTTTGGGCTAGTCACAAACTCTCAGCCTGTCCTGCCTCACAGGGTGGTTGTTTTGGGGATAAGATTGCGAGCAGGAGGAGAAGAATGATGTAATCTCTTCAGTCAGGTTACAAATCTAATAAATAAAATAAGGAATACATTCTGCAAAAAGAGGAGAGAAATTTTCCATCACAAACATGTATATAATTTTAAAAAATAAAGGTAATACTCATCATTTTCTTTAGAGTCTTGAAATTATACCTGATGCTTTATAAGGAAAATAATGCAGTGGCCCCTGCATAATTGTAGCAAAGTTTTACAACTGAAAAGAAATAAAAGAAACAAGGGACAAGAAGGGAAACTGGAACATTCATACCCCAGCTACATTAGCATTATATAAAACAAATGGACAGGGGAACAAGATGTTGCAGTGTGAAGTGCATCTATTAAGAGTGCCAACCAGCCAGCCAAGTCCTTTTCCAGAGTACTCTGTTCCCTTTCATTTTCCTTTCTGAGTTTTTCCCTTCAAGCGATTCTATGTCCACCAACAGTACTTTATCCTCCTTGAAGTGCTTTTGGTTGCCTTCTAGAGCACCCCCACCCCCCACCATACCTCTTGTATTTCTGTGAACCTTGGGCTTCCCCTAAGCCTGTTGGTGCTCTCCCCTTGTGAGTGGATGGTGCCCTGTTGCCTTGTAAGTATCCTCACTGAGTCCGTGACTGATAGTTGCTCTGGCACTGAAGAGCAGAAGGGAAGCACACATGGCTCTGCCCCCAGCCAGGGGACAGCAGAGGCTGCGTTGGAAGGCTTCAGCCTGGCCTCCCAGGAATAATACCAAGTAGGTTGCCTTGGGGGCCTTGCCTCTGCTGAAATAGGACTCCATCCATGCCTTACTGCACTTAAAATAATATTAAGAGGGGAAGAGACCAGCCCGGCCCCATGCATTGGCCAGAGAAGGAGTGGCAGCAGGGAGCTGGTTGCAGCCCATCCTTGCCAGAATAACACTCTGCCCAGCTGCCTGGGATTGCAGAAGTAAAAGGAGGAAGCTCTCTGAACACATCCATTAGTCAGGAGAGTAAGAGCGACCAAGGGCTGTTCAAGCAACACAGCCCGGCCCAGACCAGGTGTAAATGCCCATGTTGAGTTCACCATTTTGTTCTGCCTTGGAGAACCAGTCTTGCCCCTCTACCCTTTCTGTCCAGTCCTGTGTGTTCTGTTTGCGTGCTCTGTTCTGTCTTTTCAGTTTGCAGGCATGTTGGCAGGGCCTGTCTATTTAATTGGTGTGGGTTGCTTTGAGAGGCATTAATTGTTGGGAAAGCAGGATAAAAATAGAGCAAATACATACATGCAGATTTGTATAGAGGACAGCATAGTGAGACTGACCTCTGAGGCTGAAAACGAGGCCAGCTGTCTCTGGCAGCCCCATCCAATGCCAGGGGTCTGCCTCTCCATCAGGACCTGGTGATCATCAGCTGAAGGAGGCAGTTGTTGATGTAGGTTGGATTGCAATAACATCAGTGCCTCTGTGGCAAAACTTGAAAATAACTATCTCTTTGCTATGAAGATGAAGCAATGTCTTGCTCCCAAATTTTGGACCCTACCCATAAAAAGCATAAAGAGGATTTTCCACACAGATATTTATTTGCACAGCTTTGCCAACTCTTGAGTTTGTTAGTATTTATAGTTTTTCTGCATTTTTTTTAACAAAGCAAGAATTTCTCACTCCCACCCAATTAAATAGTTGACAATACAAGACATAGAACAATAAGCCTCCGTTTCCCCTGATTTCCTGCCCTGCCTTCCCCTCTGGTCACTGACCTATGTTCAGTTCTGTGTCTTAGGCCATTTTCCCATATCACTTGTACATCTGTTAATTTGCCTACATTGGCATGTTATTTTCAAAAGCATGGGGGAGAAAGGAAGAAAGGAAAGGGAATTTGACCAGCAAAGCATGATGAGGAAAAAGTAAAACAGAACCTAGTATGCTGATGCAGAGGGGTGACCAGTACAAGGAAAAGGGACAAGTCCTTCACTCCTCAGTTACTGCAGAATTCCAAAAAGTGGTGCTATCAAGTAAAATGATTCATTGATGCATCCCAGTGTATCAGTTATCCACATCAGGGGACCTGGTGACTTTACATTTCTGCCCTTCTGCAGTCTGTGTGGCCCTACAGAAATTATTGGTTCTTGTTGACCTGGACAGTGGTCCAATTAGGCTCTGTGTCTCTCTGTCCTCTTCTGCCAGCTGGAAGGAGTGGAATCATCTGGACTGTGGGCTGCTGACTATCACAACTGCCTCCTAATGGAAGCTGTTAAGCATCTCGCCTTGGTGCTGCCATTTTGCTAATAGATCTTTGTTTCATGATGTTCAGTGAGAGACGAAGTCAATTCAGCTTTAATCACATAGAGTGGATTTTGCTTAATCTGCACTTCCAATTTCCTGAAATCTCATCATGGACTGAATTAGACATCTTAATCTGGACAGATTGACTGCAGTGTGTTCCTCATCTTGCACATTGCAGTATTCCTTACTATTGGATGTAGATATCTATCCATTTATATTGATTAAATATAAATCTAGTTATTTTTTGTTCCCCTTCATTTCCTCCTTTCCCCCAGTTTGCAGAGTGGTGTCTTGAGTATGGAGCACACGGATGTCGTATTCCTGACAGGCCTTACTCGTTGTTTGAAGGTAAGAGCTTTATATTATTGAATTCTCTCTAGAGTAAGTCTATTATGATGATTAATAGTAGTACTCCTCCTCTTGTTATCATTTTGAATATTATATCTGGAGGGGACTAAACTGCCTACCCTTGACTTAAATTGATCAAGGCTGTGCTCCTTAACATATTTAATGGGAAGTTAGACCCACTGACCACACTGGGACTTAAATCCACGTTGACCTGCATAGGATTCTACTGCAAGCCTGCTGTGAGGAATCTGTGTTGCTTCTATATAACACTAAACAAAGATTTGACATGCCCATGCTAACATGCTTTCCCCCCACACCACACTGAGTTTTGCTTCTTGGGCACCTTGTATATCAAATTCAAGCTCTGTGTTGAATTTTAAAAAGTTAAAATTTAACATTTTAAAGCTCTCCCCTCTTTGTTCCAACAGTGGAACGATGCTAGTTACCGTCTCCCACTATAAGCTAATCTTTGAGGTGTTAGAATCTATTTTGGTGGATTATCTCAATCTGTACTTTGTTGTTGCTTGCCACCACCTTTTCTGAGAGCCTTATTTGAGAGTTTGCTGCAGCTCAAGGGCATAAGCCAATGGTGCAAAGCTCTTGCACAGGGAAACTGCAGAGGCAAAAGTGCCACAAAACCATAGAAATGCTCTGGGACTGGTCTCCTCTTTGATTTGGAGGCCAGTGTTCCATGATGCATAGACAGATGCAGAGAGGGCAGCTGCATGCTTAGCTGTGTTTGCTGGAACCATCCAGCAAATGTTAATTGTCTCCATGACAGTTATGAGGTTTAAGCAAGTCCCACAGCATTAATTTGAGAAAGAAAGACAGTCCAGGGCAATCTGGAAGTAAGTCTCAGATCAGTGGGATGAGCAGTGCAGTCCTCAGATATTAGTCTCTGCAAAGGACTGGAGTCCAAGGGCAATATCCAATATATGCAAGCAGGACATACCATGAGCGCAGTGAAGACCTAGCGGTTTCCAAAGCAATCTGAAGTGAGCAGAAATGCTTGTGTTCAGAAGAGTGTACATCAGTGGTGCTTGCACAAAGGAGTTTTGCTGGTCAGTCCCATTCTGGACATGAATGTTTCAGGAATTACCTGAGAGCCATGCATACCTCATGATGCAGGCAGTGGGCCCCCCAAGTGCAACTGAACTAGCCGAAGCAAAGTGGCAGAACTGGTTGCTGTCTTGAATCCCCAAAAGCTTAGCAGAGATTTCCCACATAAGTCACAAGCAATTTTTTCTGGATTGTGCCCCTTTGAGATCTACAGCACATTGTTCTTTCTGTCAAAATAGGTATTCGCATGTTATTAAAATGACTAAATTACAAGTTTGCCTGGAGGCTTGGTAGTTACTCAGTATTGTCATCTGTTGGAGAATAGAATTTGTAGATTAGATCTCAGCAACATGTAGTCTAGCTCTGACACACTTTTCTAATAGAAATTCTGGACTTTGCATTTCACAAATGAACCAATAATGCGCAGCTCTGAACATGGTATTCTCAGAAAATAGCTCTTGTTTGCCATCTTTTGTTAATATGTAGAACTGCAAAATTATTTGCAAGTATCTGCAATGATGCTAAAGCCAGTACTGCAGTTTACACATTTACAGCATCCCTCTATTTTCTTTCATAGAAATATTATCAGGAAGCAGGATTATAAAATCTTATGTTAAAGTTCAGATTATAAATTACAAATTACAGAGTTATATTAGATTACATGATTTGTGCCACTTACCTAAACTGGACTAGGGGTAGGAATGTTTTTCCACCCTTATTCCACACGTGCCTAAATTAGGGTTACTTTGTTAATTATGGTACAGCAGTACAAAAAAAGAGAAGGTACTTACAAATGCAAAAGAATATAAGGTCCATTCTAGAATATAAGGTACATTATCTGAATTGATATGCTCTAATGACCAGCTGTCATTTTTTAAATTTAATATTACAAATATTTCTTTCCCACAAACACAATTAAACTTTCCCAAGATGGCAGATTCATTAATAATATCTCTAATAAAACAATATTTAAGCCCCCTTGAGTTCCTTGAGGGAGAAACAGTGGGATATAAATATAATAAATAAAGGTACAATGCCTTTCTGGTGGGAAAGGATTGTCCTGCTAGAATAGGGACCTGAAGGGATCTTTGCCCGCCTGTCCCCTCACCTTCCTCCCTCCCTCCTCCTCCTGGGATCCTTCCCACAGAGCAGGTACTCATAATGACCCCCAAAATAGAGAGAGATTAGAGTGTTAATCTGTATTTAAACAGGCAAGTCTATATTTAGTCATGAAGCCTACTGGAGAGCTTGGAGCAAACCTTTTGCCTTGCGGTTTGTGATTAGCAGCTGTATGAAGCTCTGGATTGGCTGACTCCTGATATGAATGGTAGTACTTTTGCCACATCAGCACAGCAGTTCTGATGATTACGCTTGCTGACTTACACTTGCAGGGATTCTGAGCTGGAGAGCACCCACCTCGAAGTATGGCCACACACTTCCTTCAGGTGTATTGAGAGGATAAAATGGGAGGCCCCTGTCCACCGCAACCATAAAAGAAAAAGAGGGGAGGACACACAGCCATCCCCAGCCTGGCCCCTTCCAGTTGATTTGGACTCAAGCTCCCAGGATTCCTCACCACTGGCCAGGTTGGCTAGGGCTGATGGGAGCTGAAGTCCCAAACATCTGAAGGTCAGCAGGTTGAAGAAGGCTGGTAGATCTCACAGCTGCATTCTTTTTCATAGCACTGTGCTTCTGTGTGATTGTGGAAATGGGCAAGATAGGTAACTGCCTGTGTGCACATGTGAACACACACTTAATATGCAGGGATGATTCAGAGGATTCCTTTGAGTTCTGTGTCGGCATAAGATCATAGACAAGTTGGATGTGATGCATCTGTTTCAGGAATGGCGGGAGCTATCCACTTCCTTTCTGACATATTGGTCCCTGAGAAGTCCCGCTTCCCAGCATTTGAACTCACTCCTCCAAGGAAAGAAAACAAAGAGGAGTGCAACAGCTAAATAGAAACTGAAGATGGTGCCAAAAGCAACAAGGATGCTTAGTGCCTAAACCAGCGTTGGAGTCTGAGCAAAGAGCGAGCGCTTTCTCATCCGTTCTCCAAAGGACCATGTTCGTCATTGTCACATGAGCGAGGGAATTCACACCTAGATAGGTCATGTAAAGAGATGCCTTTAGCTGTGTTAAAGAGCAATCTTAAGTTTGTTGGGCCTCTCCCATTCTGGTTTTCACAGTTGTCTCTTCAGGTCTTTTGAGTGTTTGCATGTTTCTTGGTGTTGTCCGTAAAGTGTGACTCTTTTCTGTTGTTTGTTGAAAAGCTGAAACTGTTCTGTGACATCCAGTGTTTTCCTGTGCATGACTGTAATGACAACACAGCTCTCTTTCTGCAGCTGGACATGTGAGGATCAAGTTGGCTGATCTTAGTCCAAACTCACAATGTTCAATTCACCGGCCATAGTTTTTTCCAAGACATCAGTCAAGGGCATGATCCAGTCATGTTTACCTCTTTCAAAGCCCCACTGATTTCTATGAACATGTTAAGGATGTGCCTAAATGTCTCCTGTGGAAATGAGGAAGAACTTAAGAGTGCTCAGCTTCTGACCGAATTATACCCAGAGAAGTTCTTCTCCTCCCACATCAAACTTTTTAAAGCTTTTAGTCCACCCAAAGTGAAGAATTTCATCCCATTGAAATTTGTGGGACTTAGTCGTGCTCTTAAGTTTTGTGCACACTTAAACAGAATAACATGGTCTCTCCCTCTCTCAACGTTTCGCTTTCTTCTTGGTCCTCACAAAGCCTGTTTCCAAGCTCCTCCTTTTTATGAGACCAGTCTTCAGATTTGGCAATTGTGAGCACTCTCTGAAACAACCCTTTTAGTGCAAGGAAGGGGTCCCATGCACACATGAAGCGGACAACTCACGTCCATGTTGCAGCTTGCTGTGATTACAATGCTGTCATTTTGCGGGGAGGAAAACCAGCCCTTTGGTGCTGTTGCTTTGTGCAGGGCCACAGGTAAGCAGCTACAGCCAGGGTGGGTAACTTGTGGCCCTCCAGTTGTTGCTGGACTGCAGCTAACACGATTCCTCACCATTGGCTGAGCTGTCCAGGGCTGCTGGGCACTGCAGTGCCAAAGACATCTGGAGGGTCACAACTTGCCCAGCCTTGGGCTACAGGAAGCAAACAGCTTGCTGCTGCAGTACAAATCTTCTCAAAAGGGGTCAAAATTCCCTCATTAACAGCAAAGCTGTAGGTGCCTCTGTCGGGTTACTTAGGCTGCCTCAGCATTTTTCAGTATTCTATTAAAGAGCTAGACTGTGAATGTGCATTTCTCATGGCCAAAGTTCTCAACAAATAGGCTGTTCCTCCTCTTAATTTACTCCATTGATCTGTTTTCACATCTTCTAAAAAAAACTGAAGAAAAATCAAGACAAACTCAGTGGCTTCCAGTTGCTGTTAATGCGGAAATGAACCCCACTTTCAAAATAAGATGTTTAGATGCTACAAAGTATGTTCTAATTTTGTGAAGACTGTGGCACTGGTTTTTTGTCTTAATGGGAAAAGGACAGCCTTTTGGAGTAAGTGGAAGTCTTTTGTAAGATGGGACGGTGGATCGGGGGGAGGGAATGGGGATTGTTCTCACAATGTTTTGCTGTTCAAATTGTTTTCCAAATGAATAAATAAATTTAGCTAAATATGGAAGTGCACTGCACAATTGTTCCCTACCTGCCAGTTTACTGAAAACTCAAGGTAACAGAGGGCATTAGCCTGAAAAATATGTTCTATATGATATGGAGCTGCCAGTTCTAGCAATGCACACGCTCTCCTAGGGTGCAATCCTTGGCAAGTTTAGATAAAAACTTGCACAGGATTTTGCCTTTACATTGCTATCAGGCGCCTTCATAATGTGAAATTCTTATTTCTCCCTTTGCACATGCCTTGGCTGGTGGGGCATGGACATCAAGACCTAAGTTGAGAGCCAAACTACAGTCATTCATACCATGTAGCGCCAGACTTCTAGCCTGACCTATTACATGGTTTACTTGGAAGTAAGTTTTATTAAATTCAGTGACACTTGCTTCCAGGTATGTATACACAGAACTGTACCTTATCATAAAAAGCCATTTGTGTGATAGAAGGTTGGTGTTATGAGACAGATATAATTGAGTAAAGTAACATGTGGGGGTTATTACCACCAGTGTGTAGACTAAACCCAACTTTCCTTGCTATCTTAACCTATCCCTTTTGAATACTGATGAGCTCGTTGCTTTGGCCTACATAATTTTACACAGAACCAAGTTCCACTGAATAAACTGTGGCATACTTTTCAGCTCGTGGGCAGTTATTCATCAGACTATTACCTAGACAATTCATTTTTGTGAAATAGTGAGACACCAGCCTACAGATTATTTTTGCATGAAAACTCAGTGTTTGTTACTTTTGGCCATGCTGACTGGAGCTGATGGGACTTAAAAGTCCAAAATTAATTGAAAATTACCAAGATGGGGAAGGCTGCTCTAGTATAAGGTGATTTCTGTTAGAGTTGTTTAAATTTGTGACACTCCATTTATGTTCAGGAGGGTGAACTAAGCGAATGGCCAAGTGGAGGCTAAAGTTCAGATCTCCCAAGTCCTCAATCCAACATGCTAAGCACCATGCCACATTGCCTTTCAGTGTGGTGCTAAAATAAACTCTAAAGAGAATCTGGAGATTAAGTTTAATTCTGTCCAGAAATGCTCTCTACAGATAAAATCGAAAGCATTTACAGTGGAGATTAATTCACAAAATCCTTTGCTCATAATTGAAGTTTCTCTAGTTGTATCCCTGAATGCAGACTGGAAACCTATCCTTTAGGTTTCAGGTTCCCATTCTACCTCCTGTCACCACTCTTAATTGAGCCACTGAAGTTGTGAAATGGGTGCCACAACAGAAATTAATTTTCAAGCCATAATTGAATTACCGATTATGTGAGCCAATTTTGGTGGAGGCTTATGTTAATGGAGGTTGTTGCCTGAGGCATGAGGCCTTGTGCTCCACCCATTATCCTGTGATAAGAGAGGCTAGATACTGTAATTGGCAAGTGACAGGGACTCCTAACAAAGGGAGTTGCATTATGGCAGGTCTCATTAGCAGTCATAGCCTCATGCACACTTCTGGTTCACAAGATCTGTTAGCATACTCACCCTGAGGGCATGCACCTCCTTGGCAAAGGCACATGAATTATTCCTGGCTGACAGTTAATTCAAAGAGGTCTATAAAGGTAAGGCAAAGGCAAAATATTAATGAAGCCTCCATTTGCAGCAAAGCAAGCCTTCCTTACCTAATGTGCCTCCCATACTTAGTTGCCATTCCAGACACATCGATTGGAATTCAGCTAATTAACATGTGATGGACACTGAGATCATAATGGAAGAGGTTCTAGCTTTTTTTTGAACTGCATGAAAGATTCTCTATTCTGTCTCCAGCATCTACTTGACATTCTCTTTGGAATTTGAAAGGCTCATCCAGCTGCTGATCAGCCCCCACCAAATTTGCTGGCTCTATCTTACGTAATTTCTACCAGCATAATCACCTGTATCCAGTTCAGGTCCATTCTTGTATCCAGTTCAGATGCGAATTTTTGCAGGGGAGGTGGAAAGGACTGCTAAAGTTACAAGGTCCTGATGATCTCTGATGGAGCTCATCTTGCTGGATTAGCTGTCCTTTTGCACATGCATGTTTCACCTCCTGTCCTTCCCTGGAGCCTTTCTGTCTGGACTCCCCCACTCAAAATCAAATCCTCTCCCTTTTTTACAATGTGAGTGTCATTAGGAGACAAAGTCTTTTAAAGATACACACAGAGAGATTTCGGAGCATCTGCAAATTAGTATGCAACATTTAGCATTTCTTCTGTTTTGTGCTTTAGGCCTGAGCCTTGGATCTTTTCAGTAGCTAGCACATCCCCTTGCACATGAGTTGTACCTAGATTTTCCAAAACATGAATGCAAGGAATGTATGTGCAGATGCAGAAAAGACTAGGAAGGTTTGAAGGTGGGCAGAGGGACTTGATAAAAAATACTGGCGCTTCTGCTTCCAAGCAGTTTCCTGGTTGAGATGAAAGGTGAATAGCTGCATACAGCTGGACCCAGTGATTTTTAGACTAAATGCTATAAATCACAAGCTTCATAGATGTTAACACTCTGGTAGATGGTGCTGCAGTAGTGGTTATTATTTCTATTTGCATACTGTAATACTTAAAACCATGATGTACTCAAGCACTAACAGCTACTGGGACAAGCCTACACACATATGGTAAAACTATACCTGTGCTACAACACTTCAGATTCTACCCACACACCTACACCATACAAACATTTCCCTGCACAGAAAAATCTAGGGATGAGTGAGATGCCTTCTAGTCTAGCCTTCCTCTGACACACTTGATCTGTGTGTGGAGTTTGCCTTCCATGTGTGCCACGTACAGTCCAGGAACAATCATGCCACGTGTGCCACAGTTTGTGTAGACCAGCTTTTAATAAATAAAACCAAGGACAATTAATAGATGCTATCCAACATTTCTAAACTGCTTGCAACATTTCATTATGACTTGAAGACTGAAACTGTGCTCTTAGGTTAAATTGTAATGGCCCACTAGGATGCCTTTATGAAAATTAATGATACCTGCAGCAATGGAACATGTATAGATCCAGACTCTCTCCTGCAGGAATACACCATGGACCAGACTTGGGGGTCACTATGTACAATGGAACAGCATGAGAGTCATCAGTTACTACAAACGCCTACAAAATTATGGAATGTTTGCTGGCTGGTGGTGTCTTTGCATCCTAAACAGAACTGATCTATGAATATCATAGTAACAGCAATACAGCACAATTAGTAAGATTGGGTAGAAAATGATTTAATGTGCACACTACATTCATTTCAGGGTCTGCAGCTTTTTTCTAATCTTGGGTACCCCAAATCAAATTGCATTATTCTCTCCTAAAATACTCTTTGAATCATGCTTCCCATGGTATTACAAAATTTAAAAATGTGCTACTTCTTATTTGAAACTTGTCATTCTCCCTTGCATTTCTTCTTGGGAGCAGCCAAGAAGGAACATCATATGATGCAGAAGTTACACAAGGACGGATCTCCAGAGTCATCACCATGTTACATGACTTAAACTTACCACTTTCATGTTTCCTAAGTAACTTGACTTCACTTTAACATCTGGATGCTACAGTGTATTTTACCAAAGGACATGTTCTAGCCAAGAGGAGAAAAATTAGCATGGGCTTAGCTCTCCACTTGAATTTTATGGTACTTACTAAATGCATTTTTTTTGGCAGGATCATACCTAAAGTCTCACCAAGTCAAATTATTCTGATTACATCTAACAGCTTATGATTTGTCGCTGTTGTCACAACAGTGTTTCAGCAACTCTGAGGAAGCTTTTAATTGAAGTTTCACAAAACCAAGTAGGTCAAAATTCCAGTAATAATCATTTCTGTGTTGAAGAAGGCTTCCTTTTGTTATCTTTCCAAAGGACATTGAGAAATCAGTAAAATCGTTGTTTCAAGAGGAGCTGTGCCTACGTTGAGTCAACTCTTGACAGATTCTTTATATATGCTTTCACATATCTGCCTTGGGTTGGATCCAGTATTCTGTGAAAGGAAGGGACCTTCCACTCAAGGGAAGGGACTCCACTTGCAGAAGGTTCCTTCACCCAATTTTGGAGGAAATTCCATTCCCTGGATACCACAGTTCATTCAGCAGGGTGTCTTGACTCTCTGTACAGCCTTTTCAACAGCCTGGAGAGGCTGTGTGGGAAGGAAGGGGTGGGCAAGTCCACCTCTGCCACCATAGCTGATCCAGATTAACTCCAGATCTAACCCATAGTTATTCAGAAGCAGCTGTTACCTTCAAGTGCTCCATTCAACAGTAAAGCATCTTTGACTGTGTCTTGACAGTTACATCTCTCATCTGACTTCACAACTGGAACTTCTGCAGATCAAGCCAAGCTATGTAAAGTCTTCATACTACCTCACCTGATATTTTGAGGCCTCTGGTCCTGCCAGCAGGTTTACTCAAATGAGAAAGTGAACAGAACTGAACAAAGGTGTAAAGATATGTTGATGCTGGGTTTGTGAAGGAAGCATTCACTTTGAAATGTATAGATTACAGTGCAAAGAACCCAGGAGGGATCTTTTTCTTTTCTTTTTTTTTTAGAAAACTTCCCCTGCAACTAGAACCATCAAAGACATTTGGGGAATAGTCAATAAAGCATCCTTTTTGAATTAAACATTTGAGCTGAGAAGTTGTAAAATGCAAATTCAAAAGATCAATCTCAGTCAAAAACTGGAGCTAACTCATCATTGCAGTCTGATATGAACACTAACTAGGAAGGCTTTTAAACCAGACCTGAGGGACATGAAATATAAATAATGTAGAATTTAATATTTACTGCACCTTTCTCAACCATTTTACTCAGAAGCAAGTCCTCCTAAATTTAATGGGACATGCTTCCAGGCTTTAGGACAATTTCACACACTTGGTCTATCAAATCAGCTGATTCGGGCTTCTTGGTGAATGTCCCAGAATTGTTACATTTACTAGTAACTACATGTGTTCGGTACACACACTTTACAGGTTTTAGGTAGACACAGAAGAGAGCCAAGATATATGCACAGAAAGGTAAGGTTTGAAGAACACTTCCTTCAAAAGATTAGGACTGATGTGTGCTCTGAGCGCATTAAAAAGTGCATTAAAAGCAAAGTCTGCTTTGAATACTGTGTTCAACATCCTCAACAATAACTGGAAGATATTCTAAAACAGGGACACTTACTTCACCAATGTCCCTAAACATTCCACACATTGCAACTAGGAGGTTCACCATGTATCATTTTCTGGAGGCAGGGAAACATCACAGTGGCATTGGGGTTTCCTCTCCATTTTTTTGAATGCCACTCCACTGCACAGCCCAGCCAGCACACCCAGGGCTTCTCCTTCTACCTGAGGATTTTCACCTGCCACTTTAGCAAGGCTTCTGCATCCAGATCTTCTGAAGTTTCTTTACACGTGGATTTTTCCCCCGGGAGTCGGGGTTCTTTCCTTCGCATGACCATGAGGTGACAGCAGCACCATCGTGGACATGCAAAAATACACCAGCTTTTTCTTCCATTCATGCTGCCACTTTCAAGTATTACTATAATTTTCTTCAACTAAAGAGCCACAAAAGGGTTTGGAAAGCATGGGGGAGGCCCCAAAGGATTCATATAAAGAACCTGCAAACTACCTTCCATGAGGAATGATGAGCACACGACGGCTACTTTGTGTGGGGAAGCCTTCAGCAGCTACAGAGGGAAGAAAAATAGTGAAGAGACATTGTCATTGCCTCGTCTCCCAATTCAACCAGAAGGTATAACACTAAAGGGGAAATCTAGAAATCCTTGCAATGGGACATTCTCATGAGCAAGCTGATTTTTGTGATGTCAAGAACGAAAGGGCACAACGGAAGACAGATACCAGGTGTTTCTCCCAAGCAGAACAATGGAGGACAGGGGCCTATCTGTTTTTGATGGATAAGCCCTTCACGGGGGAATTTGTGCCTGCCTTTTTCAAGCAGTCTTAATGTTTACATTTGTTCATCATACACAGGAGAACTTTCCACCAGTCTCCAACACTTGACAAATCTCCAGTATTACACTTAAGTTCGTTTTGAATAACCCACCAGATGAAAATGAAGTGCAAGAGCCACCTTGAAGGAATTGTGCCACGAAGGAGGACCTTTGCTGAACCTTCAGGCCTACTTTGGGGGCCATTTCACAAGTTCCACAGGCTGCTACAGGCAGTCTTGGCTTCCGGGTGAGTACACTCCCACTCACATTTTTAAGAGTCAATGTAACACATTTTCGGTGTATGCCTTAATAGTGTAAATCTGAAGGGACACACAGGGAGCAAATAGCAAACCCCTCATCAAGATTTTTTAAAATCTCTTTAGGTGAGAGATATTTTCTAACCAACCAGCTTTTTGTTTCTAGACCTGGGCATATCAATGTGCTGGCCCTCAGTAAGTTTTCTTCCCACACACAAACACAGCAGTATATTACAACATTTATTCTTGGCAACAACAACCCCGTTCCCTGTCTGTCGTCAGTGAAAAAATGCCAAGCCAAATCAAACCAGGTTTAAGATGGCAGGCTAGACCAATGGTGGAGAGGCTATGTAGAATCCTGTCCTAACCTTTGCCTGGGCAAGTGGAATAGAAGGATGGATCTCATCCTGCTGTGGAAAGATTTGCTGCACATTGTCCTACCACAGTTCCTCCAAGTCTGTTTCAGTCCCTCCCTACTTTTTGAGCTTTATGAACAAATGCAGTGTGTCGTCCTACTTGTTTCAGTGGTTTCCTCTTGCCCGTGTCTCTGCCAATTCTTCCTCTCTCTTTTATCTTTAAAATGCCACAACCAGCTCTAGAACATTTAGGCTGGTGGATATGGCTTTGTGCTTGCTACCATACTGTGCCACACCATGATGTGTTAATGTACATCTTGGAACCACAAAGAGAATAATTTAAAAGGGAAAGCATAAGGGATTTAAATACAGGCTTCCAATCAAAAGCACAAATAAAAGGCTTTCGCTCTTGCTTTGAAGATATCAGAAGATAGTTCACCCCGCTGCAAATCTGCAATTGCTGCCTGAATAATGCTAACTGGGACAGCAAACAACACTGGAGCGCTAAGAAGTTTTCTGCCGCTCACAGATCATGCCCCTTCCTGACCAAGTCTGTATTCGTTGCAGCCAAGAGGTTATGTGGAAGATTTCACTGCCTGCTCATATGGCGGAGGTGGTGTGTTGCAGTAGGAAGGTGGAGGCGGGTATATTGGGTTCACTTGTGGAGACTTGGGTTGAACATGGTAAGTCATAGCCATGGGGTTCATCATGGCTCCTTCCGGATCTGCGTAGTAAGCCATTCCAGGCTGCGGTGCTCCTGCAAGAGACAGACAAAAGGCAATGGGTTGGATCCAGATTTACACTGGATTGACTGTGCTGATGGAAATAGACCTCCCTGTCCCCTTCTTCCCATGGCTCCACCTCCAGCATGGCCACACCTGAAAAGGTTACACAGTGAGTCAGGTCAGCTGAGGCAAAGAGTGGACAACAGGTGATTGCAGAGGGACCTTCTGCACACAGAGTCCTTCCCCTCAGGGAAACTCCTTTGTCTCATGGGAGGAGATCCTACATTCAGCCCAATACCCAGCAGCAGCCCATGTTCTCCTGTCTGAAAGCAGCTTCTGATGTTGGAGGGACTAACAGGGCTGTGCATATTTGTGTGGCTCAAAGTAATATCAATGCAAAACAATAACTACACCAAGGCAAGCACATTTCAGAGGTTATAATCATTGCTGAGATCTTTACCCTTGACCAATTGGTAGGAAATGGAGAATTTTAGTCTTGTTTCAAGCTACAAATGTACCTTAATTCCTTACTACAAAATGTGTTTTATTAATGATGTGTGGACCTTAGTCCAACAGAATAACCTCCATTATTAGAAATTGCACTTGGGCGTACTACCTGAAGCTGTGGTGAAGCCGCCCCGACGCTTTTGTGAGCCGCCCCAAGGCTTTGTTGCAATGGGGGCGGCATAGAAATGTTTTACATAAATAGATAGATAGATAGATAGATAGATAGATAGATAGATAGATATAGATAGATAGAAAGATCTGTATCATTTCTTTAGCCAGAAGCCCTCAGAGAATTCTACTCATGGGGCATCTTATTATGTGCCAATGTGGGAAATTCTGCTCCTTTTTTCTGTGTTTCTGTATATTCCCAACTCCCCTCCAGTTCCCCTTTCACTTAGCTGTCTATCATTCCCAGGCTCTGGGTACTCAGTCAACAACCGAGGTGGGCCATGTAGGGTCCTCCAGATGTTTTGGCCTGCACCTCTCCTCAGCTGAACTGTTTCCTGGGTTTTAGGCCTGATTCCCTCTTTCCAGTCAGATTCTTGGCAATCCAGCTCCCTAATCCTGTCCTTGCTTTGTGCCAATATTTTGCTTAGGCAGATGCGGAGAGGTTTTTTTTTTTGGGGGGGGGGGTTGCCTCCTTTCTTACCACAGTGAGATTTAACCAATGTTTCTTCTTCTGCTCTGAGAACTGGAATGTTTCCTTTTTCCAAACCAACACAAACCCCAAACCTTCAGCTTCTCCTATTCCCTTCATCCCTAAATCATCCTGTGACAGAATGAGGATATTACTGTTTCTTACTCTTTTCCTTACAACCAACAAGGCAAGAACTCAAAGCAGGGATGTCCAACTCCATAAGCAACTCTGCTCGGGCTGTTGGCAGTGGTTCAGTACCACTTGCATTCCAGAGCCTTTGTGCATCCATCTGAATCAACGGGTGCAAACTGATGCAGAAGACGTCTGTATTCCTTACATAAATGGTGATCTGAAGGGCCTGAGTGAAAGCTACTGCCAGGAGGGAAGGTAAAGGCTCAATCCTCATGGGAGACCCCTGGGGCATGACAGAGCCCATGTGGGGCATTCTCCCCCCATCACCAGTGGATTTGCAACAAGCAGCCCTTCAACTCTCACCAAGGATGCAACATCTCCATTGGTTTGCAGACAACATGATTTGAAAAGCTACTAATGGGGGAACTGCTGATGGGGGGCGGGGCTCTTGGGATACAAGAGGCTTTCAAGGGAAGGGATCTTTTCCCACCCAACAGCAGCTTCCCTAAGAAGAATGCTTTATTTATGTATCTGATTTATTATTGTATTTATATCCCACCTTTTTCGCCTCCCAAAAGGAACCCAAAATGGTGTACGTGATCCTCCTCCTCACAGAACCAGGTTCACTCAAGGAACCAGATTTCATATTGGATGTCGAGAAGGACTTCCTGGTGCTTAGGACCCCTAAGATATGGAACAGGCTTCTAAGGGAAGTGGTGGAAGCCCCATCAGTGACGTTCAAGGAAAGACTGGACAACCACATGTTGGGGACTACATGGGTGGAGCTGGCTGCAGTTGGGGGTCAGACTGGATAGTCCGGGAGCGCCTTCTGACTTGCTGTGTTTCTGTTTTCTCTGTAGCTGAACCTCACAACAACAACCCTGTGAGATATGTCAGTCTGAAAGTCTGAGACTGGCACAAAGTCAGCCAGTGAGCTTCATGGCTAAGTGGGAACTAGAACTCAGATCCCCTGAGCCCCAAACCAACACTCTGAGGGGCAAAAGGGGCAGGAAACTGGTGGGGATCCTTTGTGAGCATCCGTTTCTCCTCCTCACAAAAGCCCCATGGCTTTTGCAAGTACTAGAAGGGAATGCTGGCAAACACCATCCCCCCCCCCCCCCGGACAAATGATTAGCTGAATCTGGAGAAGTTCGTGCATCCTGGCTTCCAGTTCACTTCATTTCTGTCACCAGCCCTCACACAACAGCAGAGTTAACAATTAGGCATTTTAACTACAGCCTGTAATTAGGTCATTTGGAGTCCAGTGAATTAAATCTGAATCATTACATCAAAACATCCCGGTGCTTTTCCTCCCATTTCTTGTCTCGGGAAACACCAGCATCAGGAAAGGCCAGGCAGGGGAGAGTATGACACATAATCTGCTGCTGCCAAGAGAGTCCTTGGACACATCACATATGCACTGACTGGTTTCTAGGGTTCAGCATAATACAAATCTTTGCTGAATCTCAGTGCAGTGGCTCCATCCTGTAAGACTGATTTGCTAACCACCTCTTTCTCCACTTGCTCTAGGAGGGCAGGCAAAAATTCTTGCCAAGCCAGGCCCTGGATTCGCTCTCATACAGCCTTCTGCCTTTGGAAGCTGTTAAGAAGGGAAGTATGAGGAATGGCTGAAAGAACTGGAGAAAATTGATGGGTTCACACAACAGGCCAGAATACAGGTTCAGTATATGTTGGGTGCAGCCTGTTGTTGGTCTTTGAATCATGGGTTATTGTATTTTGAGAACCCACCCATGGCCTGTTAACCACAATCAATCCACAGTTCCCAAACAAACAACAAACCCTGGGCTCATTTCAGGAGTTATTTATGATGAATAAATCAGCTTTGGCTGATCCATCAGCTGCATCCCTACCTGGAGAACGACTGCCTGGCGACAGTGACACATGCTTTGGTAACTTCCCAATTAGACTTCTGTAACGCGCTCTACGTGGGGCTGCCCTTGAAGACGGTCCGGATACTTCAGTTGGTGCAAAATAGAGCTGCCAGGCTGCTGACGGGGACTGGGCATTGTTCTCATATAACCTCCGTCAGCTTCACTGGCTCCCCATTGAAGTCCAGGCCCAATTCAAGGTGCTGGTTATCACCTATAAAGCCCTCAATGGCTTGGGACCTGGTTATCTAAAGGAGCGCTTGCGTCCATATATGCCCTCCCGCCCCTTGAGCTTGGTGGCAGAAGCCTTTCTCCGGGAACCCTCCGTGAAAGATATTAGGAGGGTGAGTACCTGGAGGAGGGCCTTCTCTGCGATGGCGCCCCACTTATGGAATGCGCTCCCCAGAGAGGTCCGCCTGGCGCCGTCGTTATTTGTTTTTTGACGCCAGGCCAAGACCTTTTTATTTAAAAGCTATTTGAATGGTTGAATTTATTTTTTGATTTTATATTTATGCCGGGATGTCTCCAGATTTTTATGTATTTGTATAGTTATTTACTTGTATTGGAAGCCGCCCCGAGGCTTTTGCGAATGGGGCGGCATATAAGTGTTCCAAATAAACTAACTAACTAACTAACTAACTAACTAACTAACTAACTAACTAACAAACCAACCAGGGTTTGTTAGCACAGATGGAATCAGACAACACAATGGTTCAACAACCACCCATGCTGTGTAAACCCAATGTATTGCCTGCAGAAAAGAAGATGAAGAGGAGGCATGATGTTGGTCATGTAGCTATCAGAAGGAGCAAATCTCTAGTGCAGATTTGAGGGAGCATGTGGGCCTGTTCCAAACATCTGAGCACCACCATAGAATATAGTACTTATGCCTAGAAACACAGTACAACGGGTGCGTGGATCTGTTCTGACCTGCTGCACTGGGGTTAGGCGGCCGGGTGTATGACACATTATAAGTCGTTTCATCAACCAGTGGTGGAGGATACATCCGCCTTCGGATAAAGAAACCGGCCCCACAACAAAAGAGGACTCCCATCATCAGAAGAAACCTGAGCAAAGGGAAAAGCAGAGGATGAGCCAATTTAGTCTTGAATTTGCACAATATACAGCACCATGATGATTTGTCTTTAGTTAATTACAGATCTGAGCAAAAGACACAAATAATTACTTCAAAAATGTATCTGAAACTCAAGAACCACTGGTCTTAAATGGCTTGGCATCAGGATGTGTTCCTAAATTAATGTGACATGGAGTTTAATCTTGTTATAAGAAAAGGAGTGTTCCATTTTATGTCTAAATGGAGTATGACATACACCACTGACCCTCTAAGCTTTTCATTGTGGAAACGTTGCTCCAAAGATGCTCACTGCATCCATCTCCTTTGAAGCATGCTCCAAGAGCTCTTGCTGTGTCATTCATGGCAAGTAAATCTGAATCCAGGTGAACAGAGAGGGCAGTTTTTCTAAGTTGGCTCACCTTTTCTGTTAGGCTATCAAAGCATAGCAAGCACCTAACAAAGACATTTTGGGAACCAGGTTTGTATTTTTGTGAAGCAGTAATTTTTGGAATTCCTTGTAAGTATGGCACAGTATATACTCCCCCTGCCTCCTGTTTTCTGAGATCTTTTTAAAAATTTAAAGCAGCATGTTTCAATAATTTTAAAACAGAGAGCAAAATCCTCAACCTCATCTACCAACAATCTAAACTAGGTTTACACGGAGATTCTTTACAGTACTTTCTCTCTCTCCAAGCAACTATAGTGGGGGCTTGGGCATACAGCAAATGTTTCTACTCCTACTGAATGTACATCAAAACCATGTGCATTCTTTTGTACACAGAACTATAAGCAAAACTCAGCCCAACAAATGGCAATCACTAACCTGAAAAGGATTCAAACATTTCCTCTCTATGCCTTTCAATCAAGAGAAAGCATAAGACTGCAACCACTAAGGTTGCACACAATCTTGGGCTGCAAATTTGTATGTGAAGTTGGTAATATCTCATTGTTTCTATTGTCCAGACCTTCGCTCGGTTTTGCCTCTAACAATCCAATCCCAAACAAAGAACTCTCAATTGGATTTATCTGCTACTGGTTCTATTTCTTAACAAAGGTATCATATTTTGTTCCGTTAACTATCACACAAAGACAGCTGGATTGGATTTATTTATTGCATGCACAGGACATTTGACGGATCATCACACTGTTCTTAAGTAGTTTAGCTGTGAGCAATCTAGCCTTTTCCCTGTGGACAGAGATCCTGTGATCAGATGCTTAATAATTTAAAGCCACATGCTACCCTCCTGGAAATGTCAAATTAAGCACTTGTATCTGCAGGCTTCCGCACCATGTCCATGATGTATTGTTGTCAAATAATAAATGGAACAATTTACTCTATTATACATTTCCTTGCCATCCCCTGGCTGCTGGCACCTCCCAAATTACTAACCCTTGCAAACCGATGGTGGGAATTGCCAAACATGGGATGTTCATTTTCCAGTAGAAATGCTAGCGAGTAGATAGACATTAAGTCTCTACATTACAGACTTAATCAGATTTACTCACCCTTCCCTAAGAAAAGCTGGAAACCACAATGCACTGGTGGGTGGGGAGTGGGCTAAGCAGCTCTAATAAAGAACCCCCGGCACTCACACCAAAAGGCAACTCCTGGGATTCCCAGGAGAGAATAATGATAGTTAAATTAGCATAAAAACTGATCTCTAGTGCAGGTATAGCCTTAGGACACAATCCTATCTTTGGAATATTGGTATTTCTATATCGCCCAATAAGCAAAGCTCTCTATAGCTCTTCTCCTCAGGGGGCTGAGAGCTTTCTCAAGGCCTGGGAGCAATCCTATGAATATGGTGGTGGTTGTTCTGGTTCTGGCCACCAGAAGAGCCCAGAAATCCTGGCAAGAAGCGGATCTCAGAGCTTGATTGTTGTGTCCAGGTAGACTGCAGATGGGAGAGAGTTGGAGTGCTACAACATTTTCAAAGTCCTGCCTGACTCCTGCTCACACAGTAGAACAGTGGGTCGTCCTCCTTCAAAAAGAAAAAACCCTTCCATTGTGAATTGGTTTAAATGCTTTTCCATGTTGAGATGTGTTGGGCCTAGGCGAACTTCAGAAAATTTGGACCCAGAGCCTCCCCTCTTCCACATACACCCTGCCCCCCCAAGTCCCTCATTCCTCCTTCTCTCCAACATTAAAACACTGAAATTGGAAAGGCGAGGCCCAAGGCACTTTCCATTTTACTCTTAAAGACTGTTGGGAAATAATGCTAAATCAATTATTAGCAATTCTGTTAGGGCAGGAAGTGGGAATCCACAATTATATCTCCTCTGAGACTGAAACTTTGTGTTCAGAAGGGTATTTCTGATTTATCATATTGCCTCTGGGATACTGTCAAAGGATCACACTGCTAGACTCTTATATCAGTTTTTATACTAATGTAATTATGTATAAGGCAATGAATGAATACTGTTGACTTACCAAAAATACCATAGCCGCTGGATAGACAGAGTCCTTACGCAGCATCTTGACCCACAGCAATCTTCATAGGAGCGACATCTGGAAAAGAATAAAAAGTAGAAAATGTTTGTAGTTGCAAAGCCTTTCAGAATAATGAATAAAGTTGGCAGGACCTCAGTGGGCTAGGATTTCATCAAACCTTGTTTTAATTGCCAACATATGTGCTGAAGAATAGACAAGGAAGGTCCAATCATTCTAATGTCACTTCTAAGAGAGTCATCTGCTACATGATACATCTGGAAACAAAAGCTGGACCCAATTGCTATGGCTGCTGAAGTCACAGCTGGGCTGCTCCCTGGTATCACACGCACACGCTCAGAAGAGTCTCTTACGCGCGCACAAGGGGAGGAAGCTTCTCATGAGAACCAGAGCATCCGTGAAGAGTTATTTCAGCAGTTTCAGCAGAACAAACTTTACTCCCCACTCTCACAGATTGTGAGAGTAAGAATGGTCCAGATAATAAGGTGCTGAAAGTGACAAAACAGAGGCGTGGGAACAGGGCGATTTGGGAGTAAACATGAGAACAGACTCTCAGTCTTCTGATACGAAGTGTGAGAATCAAACTGATAAGGGATAAGCGGGATTTGAGGATGCTCATCCTTTCAGGCACACACACAGACTGGGACAGCTGGAATCCCAACTGACTGAACAAGAGAGAGTTCACAGCACCCTGCCTACAGGGGTGCAGCCTTGGAGGGTTCATAAGCAAAGTGTGGGTTGAAATTAGATAGAATGAGAGATCGACTTTCTATCCTGTTTCGATTGTACATGTAGAGCTGTTTAGAATACAGACGTTTGAAGTATCTGCTGGAGTGACTGCTTTCATTGGGGAAGGAGCGCCAGCCTCAAAACACCAGGAGATGGACAGCAATGCTAATTTGGGCATGTAAAGAAGCTAGCATTACTAATGACCTACCATAACAGACACTAATACAGAGAGGTCTTCAGCCTGTGACAGAACTCATTTTCTACTTAATTCATATTCATGGGATTACACTTGGGATGGCACTGGGAGGCCACGCATGGACATAAAATTATTTCCCATATTTTCTGAAACAGGAAAAAGTTACAACCTTGATTAAACAAAATAATGTGGGGACAATTCATGCTCAACTGAAGGAACAGGGGTAGTCTGCATACAACTCAACAAAAACAAAAAAGAAAATGATTCTAGGAAAACTGAAATTTGAAAACACCTGATGGAAAAAATGATTAAAGTAAGGAATAACTTGGAACAGTAAGATTTTATAATATGCATTCAATTGTTAGAATACACAAGGGTCAGATGCATAAGATTTAAATGAAATACTACACCTCTAAGTCAGACAACGTCTGTACAGAATCTATTAATTTGACACACTGCCCTACAGATATGTTTAGAATTTCACACAGTTCAAAGCAGACTCAACTCAATAAAGGCTGATGAACAGGCAAGTTGCTATGTTTTGGTGTTGGTGGTGCACCTGATTAAACAAGGTCAGCAGCCACTGTATTAAAAGGTTACTTTTTTCCAATGGCAATCATGGTTTCAAACTCTTCAGGTACCCAAAAACTAAGACATGGGTGTCAAACAGCAGGCCCAGGGGCCAAATCTGGCTTGTCCTGGGTCCCAAACCAGCCCTGCAGAGTACCCCAGATGGCCCCACCCTGCTCCACAGGTTACACCACCTTTCCCCCAACCACTGTTCAGTGGTTTTGTGGCTTTTGTGCGGTTTCTCTTCTTGTTCTAAAAAGCTGAAATGCCCCTCACAGAGCTTCAGGCTTCTCTGCATGAGGCATTCAACCCGTATGAGGACTGCAGGCATTCCACTCCTGTACTCCTGTATGACAGCACAATGGTTTAGGGTTTGCAGGGAAGTTTGACCTGATTGTGGTTGGCAAGCGTCTTGGGGAAAATAATATTTGCGACTGACCTGGCCAATTCAGAGGTTTTATACTGCCTGCCAACTGCAGGAGCTGATGCTGTATATACCCCAGTTCCTGATCATAGTCCTAGCGGGCTCCCTAACTGGATCCCAGCCTCAGATTATGAGCCTGTAGTTCAAGCTCCATGGTCCCCTGATAGAGAGTTGGTTTTAAAAAGATCTGGAATAAATGCTTCTTGGAATTCAACTGAAACTTATCTACCCTGTTCAGGATGATGATATGTCAAATAAATTATAAAGCCAAGAAGAGATGTGGCAGAATCACAGAGGCTTGGCAGATATCCCACATCACATTTACACACCTTGGGCAAGGAAGAAATGCTGCAAATACTTTGCCACTCTTTGTAGCAGTAACCGGACAGCTTTGAACAACGACCGCACATGCAATGTGCTTAATGAATTGGAGAACAACATGTCTCTACATGTCACTGGTTAGACATGACAAAAGGACAAAACCAAGAGGCAACACAATTCAACCAATATTTATAGACAAAAGAGCACAACAGAAGAACACAAAATCTCCTGACTGAGGCAGGTCAGAAACAGGATTGTAGAGAACAGAGCAGGAATTTGGGACAACAGCATTTGATATGCCCCTCGCTATGTAAAACCAGTAGGAGAAAAAAGAGAGGACCCGTATCTTTTCTAGGGCACCTGGCAGCACTATTGGGGCAAGGGATAAGTCTCAGGACTGTGCCAGGTATCATATATTTACACATCTAAGCTATGTGGACAATATATAAACTGCGTCTCTCCCATGAAGGCAGCTGTAAAAGGGTGCCTCAAATGAGAGCTACTAATATGCAAAGGCCGGGAGAACACCGAGAACTGATATACTTGCTGTTGCTGATTCAGCAGCTGTAGTTTGACTTGCTTCCTTACTGGTTACAGCTGAGTCTTCCTCCCTATGAGCAGGTCCTTTTGCCCAGGTAGACCCTTTCTGCTGAAGCCCTCCAAAGATAACTCTTGAGTGTTCTACCTGGTCCTTCACTGCTGGTGCTCTAGAGAGCCATGAGACGAAGAAGGGGTAGGAGGAACCCCAGTATGGCTTAGGCTGAAGAGGTCCTGTGATGGGACATCTCAGATTGCCCCATGTCTTTTGTAGGAATGGGGTTTGCTGAGGCATGCTACTCCTCAACCCTAACCCTAACCCTTTGACACCATCATAGTAGATGGGGAAGGCAGAGAGTAGAGAATGGGGAAGGGACTGGTAGAAGGATGCAAAAGATCAGAAAGGAAGTGGGTCACAAAATTGTTGGGATTTACCAGTAAAGAGCTAAAACAGAATTTGTGGAGAGATGGATAAAAAGGGTGCTGGGTAGGGTGCCAAGGAGGAAACAGTGGTAGAGAGAAATAGGCAATAAAGCTGAAAAAACACTCAAGTTGAGCAGAGAAGTGCTTCCCAATCTAGGCTGTCGAAAAGGAACTGAGGGAATGAGTGGGCACCCCTTCCCGGGGTACAGGAAACAGGAAGGAGAGGGGCTTCTGGCCAAACTAATGCTAGCTGCAGAATCTTCCCAAAAACGGGCTCCACACAGGTGCAGAACCTGTATGTGTGACGCACAGCGACCATGAAGAGGAACCCAGCCATTATGACCTATCTGCCCTGAAAGGACACATCTTAGGCAGCTAGGATATCACCTGGAGCAGCGAGGTCCAACACATGGCTCATGGGCCACATGCAGCCCCCGAGGCCTTGTTCTGCAGTCCACTTGGTGCTCAGAGCCCCCTGCTCCCCACCAGTCCAGATCACAGTGATGGCACAGGCATGCCTGTGGTGCACTCTCGCAAGGCCAGCAGCCAGTCCCACTCCCTTCCTGAGCCTCAAGAAGGGTCGGGTTGGCAGCTCACCCAGCGCACCCTGCGCCACTCAGCTGATGGCGCTCTGGCTGACGGCCAGCTCAAGTGCAAGAGGCTCAGAGCACCAACTGTAAGAAGGAAGGAGGGGCCGGGGGGGGTCACATGGGAGGGTTTCTGGGTGGAAGAAGCAGGGAAGAAAGGAGCAGTCATTGTGCTTGGACTGTGGTCGGGGAAGGAGCCACCTGTGATCTCTGCGGACATCACAGTCCCACGAAGCGTTTTCATTCAATTAGTCCTAAAGCCATCTTAAAATTAATTCTTCCTCATTTAATGGTTAATTAATTATATTAATGGTGTATATTAAATTAAATAAATATGTCACAAGGACTTTAATTTATGATATGGAAATGTAAATAATTGTGTAGCCCCAGGTTCTGTGTCAAAGTCCTCATGTGGCCCTTGAGGTATGAGAAGTTGGACTGCCTTGACCTGCAGACACTAAATCTAGACTGAGCCTGATATTCACGAAGAACAAAGACCTGAAGATAGCAAGATAAGAAAAGTGGATCAGGCAAGGTAGTTACCTTATGTATGTATTATTATAGGTTGAAATAGTTTAGCAATACAAAAGACCTTCAGCAGGGAATATTCTGTCACCATGAGACTGAAATCATAACAGCTCCGTTAAGGGATCAACATTCATGTGATGCTGAGAGACCGGTCAAATATTCCTCAGACATTTTATTCTCTCTTTCTCGCTCTCATTCTCACAGACTCCAGCTGCAGGGGCTGCAATTTGCAACAGAAGACCTGTTTAAGGGGGAGGGAAAGCTTCTTAACCTTTTCCTCATTAGTCATTTTTCTTCTAAAAAAAACCTCCCAAGCTGTTCCCTTGATAAAAAGGGAAATAAATCAGCTGGGTCCCCCCCGCACACTCTGTGTGTGTGTGTGTGTGTGTGTGTGTGTGTGTGTGTGTGTGTGTTAGCCATAAAGCGATGAAGAAGAAACACCGTAGAAAGGAAAAATTCATTGTCCGTTTCCTGTCTCCTATTACATTCTTTCTTCATTCATTCATTCATTTACTAACCTGTAGGAATCGTTTACATTAAAAAATAATTTCTAAGCTATAACCTAACAATGCAGTATAAATCTATAATAAAATACTGCTCCTTTGCAACAAAGGAAAGGACATGGGGGTGGGAGGAAGGCGAGTGGAAAGATACGCAGTTAAATATAATTTGGTTTGGTTACAGTTGTGGTGCAGCTAGGGTTGTTTTCTATATAGACAATGGTTCAGTCATTAATGAAACAATGGCTGTTTCAGTATAGACAATGGTTTGCAATTGGCAATATTGGAAGAAAGCTCACAAGGTCAAGGTAAAAACAGTATATTGTTCTTGTATCCTCCAGGATATAAATCAATTCCTTTAGATCATGTGGCATAAAATCCATTATGTTGACTAGATTCGCCTCCCATCAGTGCCTATTTGGGCTTTCACTGCTAAGGACACTTTTTTTTTTTAAAGGCAATATTCGGTCCTTCATTTGCCATTGTCAACAAGGATGCCCATAAACAGCAGACTCTCGCTCATGACCCTCAGCAGAATCAATGCGCTGTCCCCCTTTCAGTATCTGAGTCTAAGTGCTGTACCCGGCCAATTCATCTCACTGATGTCCTGGGATATGAACCCTTTTGCTATGCAAAGCATGACTTGGTTGTGGGCCACGCAGAGACGATGTGTGTTGAGTACCTCCAGACATGACAGATGTGGTAAATCCTTTTATTTCAGGGGGTGGAAATCTTTATTTGTTTGGGCTGAATGTGCAGTGTACATGCTTGCTTGTTTCCCCCTTATGTATAACCTCTGCTATAACAGCAGGGCCACTGAGGGCCTAAAACCTTATGTTAAGGGGGAAGACTGCTGCCTTCTTATGAACAGTGTGTAGGCAGACATAGAGCAGGAACCCCACTGTGATGGCATCAAACGCATAATAAGTGAATGTCAAAGAATGTCATCACAGTTTCTTTCCTGCCAGGAAACTGAAAATGAAGGCCTGGTGGAACAGAAGTGTGTTTTGATGAAAAGGCAAAGAAAATATCTTATTTAAATTAACCCATCTGCTCAGGCCAACAGCCTGTGAATCATTCTGAATATTGCGGTTACCTAAAGGGAGCTGGAGGTGGGAGGAAGCAATCTAGATTGCAGTGCTGTTCTTACTGCATTAACAACAACGACAGAGGTGACAGCTGACTGAGTGCACTGTTGAGGGACAGGTAATTTAAAGTCAGTTCGCACACAGATATGAATAAAGGCTTATCTGATCCATCCTCTGCTTGAGGTCCTAAAGATCTGCAGCCCCCTGGACTTCTCGGGGTCTAAATCTGCCCCCAAGAGTTTTCCAAATATCCTGGCTCCACCCATTTTCCTCCAAAACACAAATGGTTTGTTGGTTTCCTACTTTTGCACATTCCTCCCATGCCCCCTCATTCTAAAAGGCTGAAATGTCTGTCCTGAGGTTGAGGGGGAGGCCGAATGTTTGGCCAAATCCCTTTTGCTTCTGTTCCCGTTCACCACAGAAATGGGGCTCCCCCAGAGTTTTTCCAAAAACTGAATATAGCCCTTGGGATGAAAGAGCTTCTGCACTTGCAGAGTAAACAATACTGGTTTAGACGGACAAGTAGCTGGGATAGGGATAAGACAGCTGATTGTATTTTGGCTTGAATGGGGGTGGCACATCAACCTCTCCCAACCTGGTGACCTACAAAAGCTTTGGATCACAAGTCCCAGAATTCCTGGCCATGCCAGCTGTGGCTGTTGGAAGCTGCAACCAAAAAACCTCTGGATGACATCTGGTGAGGGAAGACCAAGTGTCTGCACTTCCTCTATTGAGTAGCAGAAGTCTGAATCTCCACATGGCCATGGCAAGCAGTCACTGGAGCATGGAGGATGCTAACAAGGCTGAATGCTTCAGTTGGTTTAATCAATAAGGTGTAAAAATCAAGGCTTTCCCTGAAAAATCCACAGACACTAATTTTAATTAATGGTGCTCATACAAACAGGCTACAATGCTCCTCTTCTGGAGCCATTTTGGCTCTGTTACAGGAGCACAAGGAACAGATGATGGTTGCCCTTTTTGGAGGAAAGGCAGCATATCAAGGAATAAATAAAAATAATATTTAGTGCTGCTTTTCCTTCTATCTATGAGTGCCAGCTTTTGTTTGTGTTTTTTAAAATACTGTATGTTTATTCTTACTCCCAAGAGACTAGAATAAGTGGTAATACAAAGGGTACTTGAAACACCAGGGATATCAACCCTCAGGCCTTCAGGCCAAATTTGGCCCATCTGGGGTCTCATCCAGACCCTCTGGGATCCCCAGATAACCACTCTCCTTCCCCTAACCACCAATTATTTGGTGGCTTCCCAGCCCTCATGCAGTTCCCTCAATTCTAAAAGGCTGAAAAGCCTCTCTGAATGTTTAGGTACTAGCAGTAAAAGTGTTAACCTAAAATATGTTGGTATTTGGGGGTATTCTGGCCCCATCCCTTTTGAGTTTGGCTTCAATCCCTTTTTCCCTTTGCACCCCCACTGGGATGTGCCCCCTCCCAGAATTTCCCTGAAACAGAATTGGCATTTTGGCTAAAAGAGGCTGGGCATCCCTGTTGTACACCCTCGTGCATCATACAAACAGAAAGAGAGAGAAAAGGAGGATCACTTACATATAATATGTAGGATATACCCCTTCAAAGTACCAGCACTGCTTTTTGGCCTCTGAATACTGAAAAGAAAGGGGGAAAAAGATGGCAAAGTTCATCATATATAGCAAGAACCACAAATGAGACACAATATGTTATAGCTATAACTAACAGACAGTTTAAGAGATAAGATATAATCTGCAGTCCAATAATGATTTTTTCCAGGTGACCAAAGGAGGACGAAAGCAAATGCTGGAGTCCCAAACCTGCTCATGTAGATGCAAAGATGGCGGGGTGTCTTGCAGGGGCATAATCCCTTCCCTTCAAGCTGACTTTTCCATGCAAGCTCTACATGCTTGAAACATACATACGCAATTATTTCCCCCAGTTAAATTTTCTTCCAATTCCTGAGCCTGACTGTTGGAAGTTGGGGTGGCACAATAATAACTATTATTTATTTGGATCTATATTGCTGAATAGCCAAAACTCTGTGGTCGCAAAAAGTCCTAACAAGTCATAAAAGCAAGCCACAGCGTAATTAAAATGATTTGGGGGTTCACTGCAGGAAAGTATCCCTGGTCATGCTCCCTCCCTATTCCTCTCTTTCTTCCTTTTGTGTCACTTCTTTTAAGCCAAGTACTGCTTTAATACATGCATACACACAAGTTGCCCTGAGACCCTTTCTGACTGAAAAGGTTTGGCAAAATACAAGAAACAAGATAAGCAATAATTGTCAGATTAGGAAGAGTTTAAGCACCCCCTCTCATCCACTGAGTCTCTGTTTTAAGTGCCTTCCACCCCCTGCACCAGAATTAAGAAGGAGGTGTGGATTTGGGGGGCTTTTGTTGCCCCTCACCATTTCTACTTCCTCCCCAACGCTCTAGTACTTCTGACTGCTGCACAGAAGATGAAACTGCAGGAGCTGCAACTTTTGCCTTGCATGCCTTCCCTACTGCAATGCTGGCTTCTAGCTGAACTGTTTCAATGGCAACAGTTCAAAAGTACCAGAGCTCCATCCTCCCCACGCTTGCACGGAGCCACTCAAGTCTTCTTGCAAGCTGTGAAGAGGATGAGTGGGAAGTTCCCGTGTTTGTTTGCACGGTACCTCACTGCAGCCCATTAGTCAACATGCATTAATAGCCCTCTGAGCAAAGGGTATTATTAGTGTTCATCTCACTAAAATAGGCCGGTATTATTCATTGTCTGAAGAGCCTTTACCTCCCTACCATTATGTAGTGCTGCAGCCACTGGCTACGACATGCCATATTAAATTATTCCAATGCCAATGATTAGCCTGGGCTACTCTGGTTCAAGAGAGGAATACGCATTATTCAATTGACCATCCTGTTTCCCTTTTTATACCAAGATCAAGTGCAATATTGCCTATATAGTGCAATCTTGTGCATGTGTACTCAGTAACTCCCACTGTGTAGAGTGGGAGTTACTCCCCAGGCAGTGTTTTCAGGACTGCGGCCTTAATGTCACAATGGTTGTACCTGGTGGTACCAATTACAGATCTGCTGAAATTCATACCATCCCATGTGCAATCTCCTATGGGAGACTGACTTAGAGGAATGTTAGAAGGAAGACTGACTGGGTATCTGGGTGCCTTTTGCATTTTTATTGATCAACCTGAAAGAAGAAAGCACAATACAAAGCTCTCAGTAGGTGTAAGGTATTCCTGCATGGCTTCATCTAAAGAGCCAAACCAGAGGCAATATTGTGGGAAACTGGCACCGTGAGATTGGTTCATACTTTGATCTATGGTGGGAATGTTCAACAGTGCAGGGGTCACAGAAAGGACTTCATTTACATTAAACTGTCAGTAACTCCTAAATCTATGCTTCCTCACTAATTTGAACCATAGGCAGTACTCAACAGTGTCGTTCCTCAAACTCTCATACCACTAGTGGAGCTCCACCAGATCTTGCCTTTGCACAAGCAAATGAACATCAGGCAAGTGCAAACAGTAGTACAAGTTGCACAAGTAGTATGTTTGACAGGTTGTCAAGTCAATTGCACAAGCATAATGTGTAACTGTTTGCAGAACCACACTTGTACAAATATAACTTAAGTTGGATGCTCCTCTTGTGCATTGTTTGGACCTAGTTTTCCATGAAATGTCATTTGCAGGCAGATACTGCACCCAATGCCCAAAGGTTCTTGCAAAAGGACCCTTTTAAGTAATTGTGTACAGTTGCAAAGGCATGTACAGTGTGCAATTGAAAGTCTCCAAAACAACCAAACAGAAGTGGGTTTAAAAAATTGGGAGATGATATAAAAACTTACTCAGCTAGTGAATCAAGTAGGGAATCCCAATTTCAAGAAATACATCACAATGTCACAGTTTTCCATTTATTTCCTGTGTTGAAGTCTTTGCTCAAATTTCAAACAAATACAGCCCCTATATTTTTCATGCACACACATACTCACACACTCATTCACTCACTCACGTGCTTTGTATGTTTCATTCTTTCATTCTAGAGCCTCTGTCTAGCATTTCTACTCTATATGTTTTGCAAGCATTCTAGACTAAGAATGAATATTCATGTCCTTTCTTCTCTGGTGGACTTGCTATATCATTATGTCAGCTGCTTTTTTTCTTTTGCTTCCTTCAATCAGATCCAGATCTGCCTTCCTTAAGAGCATGGGTCCTCAAACTAAGGCCCGGGGGCCGGATTTGGCCTGCCATGCCCATTTGGCCCTGCCGCATCCGCGCTCATGTGCGTGCCTGCCGCCGCCCACCTCTCCCGCGTGCGGGGAGGCAGCAGTTGCTCGCTCGGAGAAAACGATCTCCAAGCGAGCAAGCCGCTGCCTTGTGCGCCTGCCTCCACTCCCCTCGCCGGGCGCGCCTGCCCGCCGCGCCTTGCCATGCGCCCAGCCCACACCTCCGCGCACGCACCTGCACGCACCGCCCCCACCCCCTCACCGGCCCGTGTGCACCGCCAGCACCACCTTTCCGGCCCGACCCCCTGCTGAAAAAGTTTGAGGACCCCCGCTTAAGAGGAACAGCTCCAGTTGCAGCCTAGTTTCTTGGCATGTCCTTCCCCTCTATACACACATCACAGTCCACCTCATTCAGCAGGGTTTCCTGACAGTCTTGTGTAGCTATTTTAAGGAGCTGGAGTGACTGCTATTAGAAGGAAGGGTGGGGAAGTCCATTCTGCCAGTGCAGTCGATTCAGTGTAAAACTTGATCTAATGCTTTCTTTTTAAAACACTATATTTATTCAAAGGGTGGAGAAAGAGAAAGGGTAAGGATTGTGCTGAGAAGGGATTGAAAATCCCCCCAAAGTCCATTTTCACACCAAAAGAGAGTGATCTTTTGGTACAAAAGTAGGATTTGGGGAATTTGCAACATCTTTTCGGCAAGATCCTCATCTCTTCCCTCTCTCCCCCGCTTTAGTCTACATTAAGAAGTAAATTATAGACTTTGTCCCAAAATTCTAAAGGCTCAGGAAAAGCTAAAAATGCACTCCCTGCTCTTTTAAAGGGAATTAGAATTTGACAGGTCAAACCTCAAGGCCCTTTCAAAAGAAAATATACAGTAGAAACAAAGTAAGCCAGAAGGGGCCTCCCAGGCCATCTAGTCTGATCCCTGTCTCCAGTTGGCTCCACTCATGCAAACCCCAAAAGGAGTTTTTGAGTGAGATGGAGGGCTTTGGACTACCAGAGGTATGTCCCAATCCAAATCCATCCAATTCCCACTTAAACCCTCCTTTTTGAAAGGAACCTAAAGTTTAACAACTGTCAAACTTTAATTCTTTTCTTAAAAGTGGTGCGTGCACGTGTTTGTGTGTGGAAATTTTAGCCTTTTCCAAACCCACAGAAGTTCAGGACAAAGGCCAAAATTAGGAGCAGCAAAAGTCAAGAAGTTCTCCAGCATGTTGATCCATGACAATAAACTGTTCTGCAAGCCATGGCTTGTTGGCCACCCTAAACCATCCTAGCAAAACATTCATTCATTCATTTCATTTGTATGCCGCCCAATTGTGAGTCCATGATGGGTTCAGATAATTCTTCATAGCCACTCTTGTCTTAAAGTTGCTCGGGGGGGCAGGGGGGACTGCACTCAGCTAATACAACAAGCATCCTCAGGCACTGTCTCTCCCTCGTCCACATTCAGTCTTCCAGCTAATATCCCAGGGAACCCTGTTGGCGCACCAAGGGGTACAGGGAGACAACTGTTGAATGTGGGTACTTTGGGCTGCACTTACCCACTTCCCTGCCACTGGTCACAGAGCAGGCTTACTTGTGAGCAATCCTGCTCTCCTGGCATCTGCAAGAACACAGGCAGGGAACCCGGGGTGGGGGGGCATGCGCCACCTCATGCTGGGCTGGGCTGGGCTGGGCTGTGCCCCGCTACAAATGTGTCATGCAAATGCAGTCACTGCTTTGTCATGTCTCTGAAAAATAGAGGCCTTTAAAGTAGGAGGTCCAATTGCTGGAGGTCCAATTACTAGAGCAAAAACAAAGTATGAGTGGACAGAGCTAACACTGCTCCTAACCACAGCGCAGCTCCCCAGTGGCCTCTCCAAAACGTCAACCAAGCTCTGATAAGTGAATCGGGTTGAAAGAAAGGGATATAGATAGGTAGGGTGGGGATGATGTGGAGCGAAGTGGTGGGGAAAGCTTTCAGTTCAAACATGACTGGGGCAAGTCTGGATTCAAAATAAATAGGTCTAATTTGGCCCTTATTCACCGCTTCTCTGCACAGCCACAGGGCCTGAAATATCAATCTGCTGTTTCCATAGCAGCACTTCCAGCTACACAGAGTTGAGACTTTATTTGCTTGTTTAAAATGAGACCTCTCTTTTCAATTCTTGTTTGCTCATGCTGTTGGTTTTCCTTCCTCCACCACACTGTTGTTAAATATAAATAAGCCCCACTTATTTAAAATGGAAGGCAACATTTTAATTGGAATGTTAGGTTGGAGCAGATGCTTTTTTCCACTGAATAACCACACTGAACAATTGCTCAGTACTTTGTATTTAGATCTTGGTGGTATGGTAATGACAGGAAATGGCATCTGTACCCTTGACATGTCACAAAAATGCTTTTTACTAGGGTTTTAAGTGCTGAGACTAAATCCAAACAATGGGGGTGTGTGATTGCCAGTGTTTTCCTGCAAAATGGAAACAATTCAGATCTCCTCTGACGTTCTTTCTTGACTCTAAGAGCTCAGTCGGTTCTCCAGTTTAGAAGAACAAGAAAAGGAGTTTTGCTGGGTGAATACAGGCTGTCCATTTACCAAATGGTGACTTACCGAGAGCACTAGGTTTGACCAGCTGACGTGCCAGATGGTTATCCATTAAGCCAGGGGTCTCAAACTCAACTTACCTTGGGGCCGCTGGAAGTAGAATCTGGGCGAGTCTGGGCCGCATCAAGTATTCCACCACCACGGTGGTGGTGGGCTGCTCATCCCATGGCCGGCCCGGGCGCTGCCGGCGCTTTGAAGGCCGCAGGACCCCTCCCCCGTGCCCGCCCGTCCCGGCAAGTGGCCCGCGGGCCGCGAGTTTGAGACCCCTGCATTAAGCCATTCCCCACCAAATGGTTATCTGGATTCTCATGTGCTGTGTTGAGATTCCAAATTAATTTGGTATGGCCTCTAAATACTCATCTGGGGACATGGTTCTTAGAAACAGCCCTCATCTCCCTAGCACAGTTGAGAGGCTCCAGAGTTTGTGTGAAGGACTCCAAGAAGTGTGCCTTAGCTTGAATCCTGGACAGAAAAGCTCCATTCTTGGAAGGTGTTTCAGGCTTCTTTATCTCTCTCCTGCACACACAGCAACTCCCCCATTCTACAGAGGCCCCAATACCCTGCATAGCAATTTCAGGGGGCTGAAAGGGCTAATGAGGGGGAAAGCGACAGGGATGTCAGCTTCCACCAGTCTGGTTGCACATGGCTAGATCTTGCTTCACTCTCTTGTTATCAAGCCTGGGAGCATTATTTACCATTATTGGGGTCTGCAGACAGTCCACATGGAGATGGGCCTTAGGCTTTTCTTACTGTTACCACAGTTGCTTCTTCACTTATTGGCATACTGGGTAGCTCTGGGCCACCTCTCCAACTAACTACGGTTATCGCATGTAGTTCCTGACCATTAACAATATTTCTATACCATTCCTCATTTCCACAAATCACAAAGCCCACTAGCAGTGGGGTGGAGCTGATGGCCTTCTAGGCCCTACCAACTCTAACATTCTGTGATTATGTTATTTATAAAACAACGAAAAAGGACAATATACAATTAGATAATATTAGAGATTGGACAAAAATGGCTGGGGAGTGGGAGCAGGAACCCACAATTAAATAAACATTTTCAATAAACACCAAAAATGCCACCGTTAACGCCTGTCATGTCACCACCAAACAGAAATCCACAGGTTGAGTGCAGACAGAAAGGCTTCCTCTGAAGTTTGAAGTGGCTGGCCTGAGAAGTTGGTGTACGGAAGATGTTCTTTGAGATCCCATGTTGTCTGCTGAGACCACCACCCTATACTCAGCTTGGTAGCCAGGGCAGATCTGTTCATACTGTGTGCGTGCGGAGGCACTGCAGCCAATATGCAGCCACTGCGTTCTGCACTAGCTGGAGCTTCCAACCCAGCCCCACATAAGAGTGAATGACCTTAAGGTTACCAGTGTGTCGATCACAGTAGCCAGGCCACCCTTGCCCACTGGGCATCCCTGCCTGGGCTGCCTGTTTACTGGGGGGAAATGGTTATTCTGCTATCCATTTCTCTGACCTGACAAAGACAGAGCCCAAACTCCCATCAAACTGGGATGGGGACAAGGCCAATTCAACTGGGCAGTGCAGATTTATAACAGCACAAGGTTGAAGTAACAGTCCATGTAACTTCTGTTACCATCTTATAGTTGGTTGGGCATTAGGTGCTGCACAATCTCCAACAGTTCCAGCTGGCATGGTGCGAAGTTGTACAGCAGTATAGTGCACTACACACTTCTTGGAGGGAGGATTCCACTGTGGCATAGTGATTGGAGTGATGGGAACTTGGGAGATCAGGGTCTAGTCCCCATTCTGCCATGAAGCTCACTGCGTGACTTTGGGTCAGGCGCTATGTCTCTGTCTAGCCTACCTCACAGGGTTGTTGTGTGGATAGAGAGAGGAGGAGGATTGTGTAAGCTGCTTCAGATTGTTCAGAGGAAAAAACAGCAGCATACAAGCACAATAATAAATAAATGGGACCATTCTAATATTGACTAAATGCTCTTCCGCATGCTGAACAGAAAAACAAAGGGAAAGGCCTCTGGGAAGGGCTCCCTGGCAGCTCCAACATCTGCATAGTTTATGCACTCTGGCATAGCTGAAGGAGCATCAGTGAATATCTACTTCTGAGGAACCAGGCAAAGAAGATGGATGAGAGTGCCTCTACATCCTAACAGCATCCCTGCAAGGAGACCTGGCTGGATGCGCAGTCCAGGGACGGCATAGACAAAGCTTCCAGTATGCATTAGAGTGGGTTGGGTGTCCCCCAGAAACATCCTTTATATGGGCTGCTGTCCACATGCTGCCCTGAAGAAAAGGAAAAATCACTGTGTTGCCACCAAAATTCAACAGCATTTAGGGCCTGTTCAGCGGCAAACCTTACCACAGGGCTCTGCCTTGCTAAAACAGTTAAACTGAGTTTGCTTGAAAACTAAATATGACCCTTATAGAAACATAGAAACAGAGCACGTCAGAAGGGGTCTCCTGGGCCATCTAGTCTGACCCCCGGCTCCAGCCTGCTCCACTCACTACATGCCCACCATGTGCATGTCCAGCCTATCTTTGAACACCCTCACCAATGGGGCCTCAACCACCTCCCGCGGAAGCCCATTCCACACCCTCGGGGTCCTAACTGTCAGGAAGTGCTTCCTGGCATCCAAATGGAACTTCAGGTTCCCTGAGCTTTGCTCCGTTGGAGCGTGTCCTGCCCTCCTCTGCAGGGGAGAACAGGTTTCTACCCACTTCCATGTGACACCCCCTCACATACGTTGCCAACAGATCCCCTCAGAGTCTTGTCACAGCAGCAATGATCGAAGGACAGAAGAACAGACATGCATGCTCTTTTCATGGTAAAATGGCACTATGTCAAGGAAATGCAGAGGTAGACTCAAATATTTTAGTACTCCAAGCAAATAAATAAATGACAGAACTCCCTGGTATTGACAGTGCAGTTCCTTGCCCAGCAGCCTATCTTCACTCATATAGCCTGAGGAATAATGACAGAATCTCATCCTTTCTCCTCTGGATTTGAATTTCTACAATAGCACCAGCCTAGGTATCATTTGGTAGAATCCTTGGCTCATAATAAACCCTAAGCATGTGTGTTCTTGTGCCTGTTCTGAAGTAATAAATACTATACAGCAGAGATGGGCAGATTTCAGGTTTTCAGAATTTACTATGTTCTTTACTGGCCTTTGGGATCCACCACCCAGAGTCTGGTGCAACTGAAAAGTTTGAGCTCAGGAATTTGTCTGAGTATTAGAAGTACAGAAAGCTCATAGCCCTTCCATGCCTGGTTGCCCCAAGCTTTCTTTAAGTCAGGAGCAATTTTGAGACATGATTCGGAGAGTTAAACAAATGATCTACTGTGGATCACTCAAAGGTTTACCAGTAGATCCAGATCTACCTTCTACCCATCCCTGCTGAGTGGTACACTAAACATACTCAACTACAAAACTGGCTACCTATGAAAATTCAGAGAGAATAATAAGGCCTTGACAGATTTTATGTCTATGTAGGGAAGCTCTTAAAAAACTTTCAAACAACATGGCAATTTGTCCTTGGGGATAGAAACAGCCCAGGAATACCTATCTTGGAGATTGAGGAGGAAGCAGCTTTCTTCACCATATGTAGGGAAATTTGGGAACATTCTTGTTCAGCTTGGAGACCAATTACAGAAATATTCTCTCTCTCTCTCTCTCTCTCTCTCTCTCTCTCTCTCTCTCTCTCTCTCTCTGACTTTTTCACATGTTGTGGAAAATGACCAGCAACTGAAATGAATTTAATTTAAACAGAAATATACTGTCATTTGTTGTTTGTATAAATATTCACCCCTCTGAGTCAACATGTGGCAGAAGCCCTTACAACTCTGTGTCTTCTTGGATACAGCTGTCAGCTTTGCACATCTGGATCCATTCTTCCTGGCAAAGCTTCTTCAGTCCTGTCTTCTTTGATGAGGGGACCATTGCTGAACTACAACGTTCAAGACTTGCCACAGATTGATGATTGGCTTGAGATCTGGGTTTTGACTGGACCACTCTAAAACATTCAAATTCTTGTTTTCAAACCAGTCCAATGTTACCTTGACTGTGAGTGAAGCTGGGTCATTGCCCTGCTGGTATATGAACCTCTGGCCCATTCCTAGGTCCCTTGCAGAGCAACAAATTTTCCTCTAAAATTGCCTTGTACTTGGCTCATCCAACTTGCCCAGATTGGTTTCCCAGTCCCTGCCAGGGATGAGCATCCCCACAACATGACACTGCCATGACCATGTTTTACTGGGGGGGGGGGGGGTTGGTGTGCTCAGGACAATGAGCACTGTTGGCTTTGCACCACACACAGCATGTTGCAGCAAGACCAAAATGTTCAATTTTGATCTCGTAACATCAAATAACCATTTTCCCACATATCTACTGTGACTCCAGTCAGACTTCAATATGGGTTTGTTCCAGCAATGGCTTTCTTTTCATCACTCTTCCAGAAATCCCAGCTTTGTGGAGGGACTAGGTAATATTTGTACCATGGCTGGTTTCTCCAGTCTCACCAGTAGACCTCTCCAGCATCTTCAAGATTGCCATTGGCTTCTTGCTTGCTTCTCTGACATACATCCTCCTTACCTACTCACTGAATTTTGGTGGATGGCCTTCTCTAGTTAGAGTTGTGGTTCAGCCATATTCTTTTGATTTTATAATAATGAATTTAACAGTGCTCTAGGGGATATTCATAGTTTGGGAAAGTTATTTGCCATAGGTACCTCCTCTGTGGGTTGATGCTATCTTACAGGACTCTTCCTTTGTTCTAACTTTTTGATTCAGGCATTTGTCCAGCACTAGCAAGGAAGACAAGCACTAATTTTTCTACAGACAAATCCCCAAAGCCCCATTATCCCAGCCTGAGAGTTATCTTCATGGACTTTTATGACATCACAAAAAGAAACTTCAAAGAAATGCTGCTATTTTCTCAGCAAGTTTGTCCTAGTCAGTTCAAGGCTGTTTGTGAGCACATTTGAGCAAATGAACTTGAGCCCGTTTGGGCAAATGAACTTAGGTAAATACTCTGTGCTTAAGTAAAGATTGTAAAGTGTTCTGCATACTGAAAGTGCGGAGGGAATGACTGCATAGTAAGCACATCTCTATCTAGGCTCTGACTACAGCCTAGCAGCAAAGCTTATTAGTTTTGACTGAGGGATTCTTTCAAGTGTTAAAAACATAAGAACAGAGAAAGTGGCCTTCTGGATCCAGCCAAAATTCCGCCTGGCACAGCATCTTGTTTGCCACAGTAGTCAACTAGGTGTTTCTAGGAGTCCTGCAGGTTGAACACTATAGCCATCTCCCATGGTTATTCTTGAGGACCTGGTGTTCAATCCTGGCGGCATCATATTGCCATCCTAAGAAGTAGCCATTGATAGGGTTAAGACTCAGTTCTGCACATGTTTGGTGTGAAAAATAATCCCTGCAGTTCCCAGCAGTCTGGCTGGGGAATGCTAGGAATTTTAAGACTTTGTCCATCTAAACCTGTATAAGATAGCCTTTTTTTCCTCCATTATTTTGTCTAGTCCACTTTTTAAACTAACTAGTGGCCATCGCTAAAACCACTGGTAGCGAATTCTGTGGCTTAACTCTCAAACATAAGAAGGAATTTGTAGATTGTGCTCAGTCTAGGCAACTTGTTGCTGAGGCAAGCCGTTAGTTTGCATGGCCTGACATCTCGCCAGTAGTCCCACAGATACTTGCTGCCACCCATTATGGAGACCAACTGTGTAGCTGAGCACCTGACAACGGTCATGCATAGTTTTCTCCTGCTGCTGTTGTTGGCATTACATGGAACACTGTCTTAAATTTAGCTGGATAAAAATAACCTAGACATGACTGGAAGAATGGGTAATTTTCCATTTTCTAGAATAAGTGCCTCGAAGAGTTAGATAGGTCACATACAAATTACATTTCATGCAGATGAACTTTTAAGTGCTATTCTTTAATAAAGTAAAAATAGCTGCATTCATTGTTTGTGAGTGATAATAGAATGTAAGACACTCTAATTTTTTCTCATTACTCAGCCCATATAACCTTACTTGTTCTCTATGTGGAAGCTATTAGTCTTCCTTGATGAAATGCATAACTGAGCCTTTTGAAGTACTTTTGGGTTTCTCGGCCAAGACCATCTCAATAGATTACCTGCACATTCAAAGCATCCTGAATTTTCTGTGTGTTCTTGGTGTAAAAACCAATAACACAGATTCAAATCACAAGGCAGAGAGAGATGGTGCAATCTGGAACCCACAATTTTGGTTTGCCAACGTTAGGAGGAGTGCAGATTCAGCAAGCCTGCTGAGAAATTCTTTAGTTTTTATGAGCTTGAATCATTCAGTATATTTTGCATTAGGGAGGAAAGAGAGATAGCAAAGTTAAAAGTTGCTGGCAAAGGCTTTCAGTGCATTTCTAGGCCCAATTGTAGGTGTGGCTTTCAAGCTTTAAAGGTTACACTAGCCTTCCCCAGCCTAGAGACCTACAGAGGCATTTGGATTCCAGCTCCCAGAATTCCCGTCCAGCAGGGCCATTAACTGGGAATAATGTGTCTGAAAGGCACAACATTGGGGAAGGCTGGTTAAACAGGAGTACTAAAGGACCATCTCCTATAATTTAAAAAAAAACTGTACCAAATGGAAAAAATTGTATGAGAATCCCATCCTTGGGTGCCCCTCTTAGAAAGTGGGAATTGGATCTTCTGAGTAGTGGAACCCTATTTCTGGACTATGCTTGTCCAGCATGCAAGGGACTAACAGTTTCATCAAGAGGATGAGTTAAGACACGTCATCTGGGGATTTCAATGGTTTTAAGTAATTTTAGTTCTACTTGTCATGAGCTGAGTTTTTCCTCCCTTGACACATTCAAGCCAATAAACCATTTTTGCAAAAAGCTGTTTATTCACCAGAGTATACCCAATAAACTCAATCAGCACAGAATGTATCTCTCAGCATGCACAGAAGCAGTTTGTTGAACCCAGTCTAAACCATAACTTCCAGAAACCTTCCATGGGCGTATACGTGGGCCCAATCCCTTTGAAAGGGCCCATTTGGGAGTAAGCATGCCTTTTCCCTGTATGTCAATCTTCTAGCTGGCTAGCGCTTCTCTCCCAAGTCATGGGGTCAAGAGCTGTGTCAGTTTCACGTATCTCAGAGAACTTTTCTCCCATACAAGCAGTACAACTTGGTCATTCTCAGAGCCTGCTGGAGTGCTTGGGGAGAGTGGCCTTGTGATAGTTACCTTCACTTCTCTCTTCTCCAAATCTGGTTACCCCTGTTTTCAGGCCCCCTCCTCCTCCTCCCTTCATTCTCAGAGTCCAGCTTGGCATGGCCCAGGAGTCTGTGCCAACTGTGACCCTAATTCCCAGCACTGTTGGAGATATATTGATACTGATATCAATCCTATTTAAATTCTGTCTCTTCTCTTAATACATAAAGAGTGGCATCCTGCAATCTTTTGCAGAAGCCCAGTTGCACACACACTTCAGTTTTTGGAGTTTTCTCGCACACACATAAAGTTTCCCACTGCAATCCTTCCAGCCCCCTGGAAATGCTGCACAGAGGGATGGAGAAGCCTACTGAATGGACTGAGGGTGTAGCAAGGAGGATGAATCTCCAAAAATTGACCAGCGGTAGCTTCCATGATCAAAAACTTTCTATCAACAGAAGGCACTTCCTGGATCAAACCTGCAACTCTTTCATTTTTTCCTGCAAGGTTGCCTGTATGACTACTGTACTACTTGTTCTAATTCTCTCCTCTGCAGTTTGCCAAGGAGCCAGCAACAAGCTCACGCAGCTCTCAGGTGTGGATGAACACTATAACCTCCTAAGAAGAATGTATGAAGACTGTGAGGTGGTGCTTGGCAATTTGGAGATCACCTATGTGGGACCCAATTACAATATCAGTTTCTTGAAGGTAAGTGTGATGATCAATTCACACTGCTCTGATTCAGATGAAGGTGAGAAGGAAGATGCATGTGCATTACAGGCTTGCAAACAGCAGTGCACAACTTATTTATTTACACAGGGTGACCGACGGGAGTTGGACGTTTTTAGAACAGGTAGTACACTGTAAGTGGTAATGGGAGGGGGACAAGCTAGGCTCCCCCCCCCCCCTCTTGAATGCTAATTCCGTCCCAGTGGAGCAGTGGGCATTACAACATCATTTGTTTGCTTATGACAGCTTTGTTCAAAGTGGTGAGTCTATCACAACAACGCAGCAGCTATTTCAAGCGATGGATTGAAAGCTGCTTTCAAGAGGATGGTCATCATCTAAATGACATTATTTTTCATAAATAAAAGAATAAGTAACTCAAATGGCATGTCTTGCCCTCTGTTTTTGTAAAAATAAATCCATTTCGAGTTGAAAATCTACAGAGTACTGTTTTTTTCAAAACTGTCCGACTCCCGTTGGTCACCCTGTATATTACATTTCTATGCCACCCATCAGCCCAAAGACTCCCTGGACACTTTAGAAATTAAAAATACAATAATTAATATAAAATGCATGATAAAATCATAGCAATACAATTAATGAATACAATAATCTACCCTCCACCACCACAGGTAAAAACATCTTAAAGGTAAAGTAAAACTATAATAAAAATGAAGATAAAAATCTAAGTATTAAAATATTGGGGAAATAAAAAGGAGTTTGCCTGGCTCTGAAAGAAGCAAAGCATAGGTTCCAGGCATATCCGTTTGGAGAATTGGCTCCCCAGAAAAGATGATGCCACATAATTAAGGAAAGAGGGGGCAGTGCCCATTGTTCCACTCTCTAAAGTACGACTCAGTCACATTCTACTGTTACAGGTGTTGCTTGTCTGCATCAGTCTTTGGTCCTAGGGGCTAGCAATTATCCTTGAGTAAAACAGCGTGGACAACTTGGAATAAGCATAGAAAAACTCACGTGCCTTTTTGCTAAACTCGACAAAGGCAGATTGCAATAGGTGGGAAATGTTCAAGCAAGCTCATACTTCATATTATAAATCCAGGACTTCTTGGTCTGTGCAAACAACCATGTTTTCAGCCTGTTCTAGGCAGACTAAGAGGTTGGAGTCCTCTAATCAATGTTATTGGTGGGAGAAATAACAGTTTCCCTCAAATGCTGGAGAAGAGTGGAAAGCTGCAGCTCTATCTGGAATGAAGTGTTTTGGAAATGATATAAATTCAGGCTTTGAGCATGAATTAGAATTAAGAAAAGGGTGCTTCATTAAAGCCAGAGCTCTGCGCATCATACACTACAGAAGATGCAAATATGGAGACTGGATAGAAGACCATGCATCAGACAGGGCAGAATATGGATCAGCAGCGGTTTTATAGAAAGTGCTAAATATAGTACTTTCCAGACTGTTCTTAATCTCAGTATCCCACAGAGATACAGTTCAGGAAAGGGAGTTTTAAACTTCTATTCCCCAGCCCCATTTTTGTCTTGAAATTCTATCCACCCCACAGGGGAGTCGAGGGCGTGGGGTGGAAGTATTTATTAGACTCAGTGGAGGCATCTATTTTTTTTTTCAAGCCTGTCCCCCTGTGGGGGGGATGGTATTTCAGGATGAAAATGGGGTGGAGGGAGCTTTAATTTTCCTCCCCTGAAGCTCCATAGTCCTGTGGGGCTGTGCACGCTTGCAGGAAGGTAGGAGAGACAATTAAATGAATATTAGTTTGGTCCTGAATGTGAATTTAAACCCATTTAAAATTGGCCACCAAACCCCTTGTGCTGTGTGATGTGGTTATAACAGTTAAGCAAGTCCTCTCTAGGATTCAGCCACCATGAGAGAGGCTTGTGTTGAGAGAGAAGGTTAATAGTTCACAGTGAATAAATTTAGAAGAAACTGCAAAGATTTGGGTTGTGGAGTTCTTTGCTTTTTTAATATATGAAGAAATATTTGGAAAGAGTGCTTTAGTACCTTTTGAAAAACTAACATGAGTTAAAACAAATTTTCTCAGGCTCTTATTGTGTAATCACTCTATTTGATTTCTGGAATTTTACAGGGGGTCCAGATACACTGTCCTTAATTTTCAGCCCTTCTCTTTTTTTCTATCACTCCTTCCATTGCCATTTTTTCTACTGTAATGTTTGTGAGCCACTTAACAGTCTTGAAAATGGAAAAGAGGCCTACACAAAGTACATGCCTAACAGGCAAATGCTATAAAGAATCAGGAATAAAGTGATGGGCACCGTCTCAAGGAAAAAGATTGATGAACTGATTTCAGTTTAAACTAATTAAACATGTAAGCATTCTTTCTTATTTTTTAATTAAAATATGAAATCCTCACATGTTGGAGCAATAGAGCATGTCTGGTCCAGATGAAATAGCATGCTAGTATATTGTGCCTCCAACAATTCACAGAGGATGTTGTGACCTCCTTATTCTTGGCTAGAAGAGTCCTTGAATAAGTCCTTATGTATTATTTTACATAAATAGATACAACTTTTATTCTGTTTTTCTCACTGAGTTGTAGGTTTATTTTTCTCCCAAATATTACTAACCAACATAAAGCTAGGAAGGTCAGTAGAATAATCTTGGAAATTAACAGCTTTTAAGACTACATCACCCAGTCTAAATGAAAAAAAAAAATGGCTAATATGCTCTGTCTTTCTGTTGTGCATCTTCCAGACCATAAAAGAGGTGGGCGGTTATGTGCTTATAGCAATGAACACAGTGGAAAGTATTCCCTTGGAGAACCTCCAGATAATCCGAGGAAACAACCTTTTTGAAAATGCAGCACTGGCAGTTTTAATAAATTATGACATTTCAGGAGGACTCCGAGAGCTACCATTGAGAAGTTTAGCAGGTGAGATATTTGAGAGAATGCAAACACCATTGCAAATGGTTGCATTATTTGCCCAAACTCCTTGGGTATGTAGCAGAACACGTGCCTGTGAGCCACAGTCTTGAACATTTGGAATTAACCCGGCACTTAATACTCAACTTTCCATTAATTCATTGCTCAGACATGGATGATGCCTTTTATAATACATGAATTGTCAGGTGAGAGTTGTTAATTTCTCTGTTATCGCTGTTGTTCTTGCTGATTAGTACATGTATAGCAGTTTATAACACATTTCACAGACATTTGCTCAGCCTTACAAGAATACTGTAAATTAAACTAGTGTAGTTATCACGATATTGCAGACAGGAGCACTCAAGCTAAAGGACTGAGGCTTGATGCCCAACAAATTAATGTCAGAAGAGAAATTTCAATCAGTCTTTTAGTCACATTCTATTTTATATGCTGCATATATCCTAATTTTTAATTTAAAAATCTCTTCTGAAGTACATGTGTATTCCTATTAGGCAATTAAGAAAATTGGAAGTGTAGCTACACCACGTAAGCGACACCGAGGTAGAAGTGGAATTTGAATACATGTTTTCCAGACATAAATGCAATATTGTCAACAGGACAATACAGTAGCTACATTTCATTAGTATTTTGTTATGAGTAATTAAAAGCAATATCCCCCCCCCCTTTTAAAAAAGACTGAAAAGCAAATGGTGTTATTTCTTAAGGTCTTTCTCATAACTTCTTTTGGCAGAAATTTTAAATGGAGGAGTGAAATTCAGGAATAACCCTTATCTCTGCAACATGAATAATGTTCTGTGGGATGACATTTTTGATAAAAATAATCAGAAACAGTTTGCTCTGTTTGAGGATAGTGGAAGAAGGGAGTCACGGTCAAGAGCTGCAAATAAAATGTGTAAGTATGTACTAAAGAACAAGCTAGTACTGAAATTTACACACACTTGTTGAGCTATTGTAACCTCCTTGGAGTCCGAATCTGTTTATTAAACTAGGCAAAATTCACATTTTCCCCTCCAGTATCTTTAAAATGACTGTAACAGTTTGCCTCAATAGCAGCATGATACATAGGCAGTTTTTTAAAAATAGGAGCAGATAACTTGCAAATTATTCTTGTCTAGAATAAACAGCAGTTTGTGCATATTATATAGCATTTGCAAAGTATGCAAAGGATGGGCCAGTTCACACATTTAATGAAGCAGTACATCTAAGGCCATGATGGGCTACTTCTAACCCTCCAGATGTTTTGGCCAGCCATTCCCATCAGCTGGGATGGGGAAGCTCCGGCCTGCAGGCCTAATGTGGCTTGCAGAGGCTCACCAGCTGGCTGTGGGGGCTTGGGCTCCCTCTGTGGGGTCTGCTCTTTAATCCCTGCCCTTCCTCCAAGGCCCAGTCTCTGAAGGCTACAGGTGGCTTGGGAAGGAGACAGGAAGACAAATCCTTGTTGTTATTTCTGATTGGATATAAAGCACTTCGCCCCCCTCCACTCCACTCCTCTCCTCTTTCTCATATTAGAGTTTGGAAGGGATGCTCCTTACTTAGTGTGCTGCCCAACTTGGAAGACAAGTGATATACTAAGTTCTTCCCTGGCACTTTGCGTATGACCACCCCTCGCCTCCCACTATTCCCCCTTCCTGCTCTACAGCCTGGTTATATCCTGTGCACTTGCTTAACATCACTGATTAATCAGGTGGCCTGTAGGTGACAAAGTAAATTAGATGGAGGTCTCTTGAAGGTCCACAAAGAAGAGTAAAAGATTTGACAGTTAGGGTTTCTGGTCTTCCCAATTAGCTAAAGTAGTCAAGGGCAACAATTCAAAATCAAAACAAACATTCCCTTGGGGAAATTTTTGTCCTTTTTATTTTTCCTTAACTTGTAATGGAAACAGTATATTATGTTCGACAGTATTTTGTAAACACATTTTTTCCATTTCTTAGGCCCCCAATGTCATCCCAATTGCACAAGAGGACATTGCTGGGGCTCTGGCATAGAGAACTGCCAAACATGTGAGTAGACATCATTACATTGCGTCTGTATCCTTTATATAGTTGTTCTTTGTGTAAGGGGATGCAGTGGATGTGGTTTACCTGGATTTCAGCAAGGCCTTTGACAAAGTGCCCCATGATATCCCTGCTGAGAAATTGAGGAGTTTTGAGATGAGACCATGGATCCTCAAACTATGTCCCATGGGCCGGATCCAGCCCGCCATGTTGATTTATCCAGCCTGCCTCAGAGCTTTTGTACTCGCTTGGAGAAAACGATCTCCGAGTGAGTCCAAAAGCTCTGAGCCGGTGCAGGCATACTCAGTGGGAAGGTGGGCGTGATCACAGGAGCGCTTGGGGAGGGAAGATGGGTACAATCGCGGTTGTGCTTGTGTGTGTGTGGGGGGGGGGGAGATGGCCACAATCGCACCCACCTTCCCTGCACAAGCGCGCCTGCTGCCTCACCGTGCTTGCGCCTGCCACTGCCTTGCTGGCCTGTGCCCCCCACCACCGCCGCCACTTCACTGGCCCATGCCTGCTGCCGCTGCCTTTCAACTGGCCACCTGTTGAAAAAGTTTGAGGACCCTTGAAATAGACCAATGAACTATCCGATGGATTAGGGCAGTGGTGGTGAACCTATGGCATGCGTGCCACCGCGGGCATGCAGAGCCCTCTCTGTCAGCACGTGAGCCAAGTTGCCCCAGCATCGCCCCAGCAGCCGAGTATTCAATAACAGTGCATATAGGGGCCATGCGCATGCTTGGAAAGGAGTAGCGGTGCCAGGCGATGACATCATGAGCTGCGACTCATTAGCCGCAACTCGTCTGAGCTTTCACATGGCCAGTCAGTGCACTGCCAAGGATATATTTATATCCTTGGCTGTGAGTTGTTTTTTCTAAACTAAAACCTCAATATTCAGGTTCTATTGCAGTGTTGGCACTTTACAGTTTTGGGTTGCAGTTTGGGCACTCGGTCTCTAAAAGGTTTGCCATCACTGGATTAAGTCATGGCTGACTGACCGAAAGCAGAGGGTAACCATTAGTGGGGAATCATCAGGATGGTGGCCAGTGACAAGTAGGGTCCCCAAGGGCTCTGTCCTGGGGCCGATCCTGTTTAATCTTTTCATCAATGACATGGAAGAAGGGGTGAACAGTCTGCTGATCAAATTCGCAGACGATACGAAAACTGGGGCAGTGACCACAACTGAGCAGCAGGTACTCCAGATCCAAAGGGATCTGGACAGACTATGGAAGTGGGCAGGAGACAACAGGATGGCATTCAATGTGGATAAGTGCAAGGTCTTGCACTTGGGGCATAGGAATGAGTGTCATGAGTACAGGTTAGGGGACAAGTAGCTGGAGAGCAGCACTTGTGATAGGGGTCTTGGGGTGCTGGTAGCCTGCAGGATAAACATGAGTCAGCAGTGTGATGCAGTGGTCAAGAGGGCAAACGCCACCCTTGGTTGCATAGCCAGAAGTGTGGCTTCTAGATCAAGAGAGGTATTACTACCACTCTATACAACTCTGGTGCGCCCGCAACTGGAGTATTGTGTTCAGTTTTGGGCCTCTCATTACAGGAAGGATATAGCCAGGTCAGAGTCAGTACAGTGTAGGGCCACAAGGTTGGTAGCTGGTTTGCAGGGAAAGCCGTATGAGGCGAGACTGCTTCCAATACTGTGAAAAAAAGCTTTTTGTTTAACGAACTTATGGATTAGCAAGATGTTTTGTGTAGTTCACCCCCTCCCCAGGTCTTAAGGAAAAGCAAATTATTCTGAATATGTAGTTCATTTTCCCACACTTACTATGCACATTCTTTGGTTGTAGCAGCAATGTAGTTTAGTTGTTGGCATTTTTGTATTTCAGTTACGAAGGTTGACTGTGCAGCGCAGTGTTCAGGCCGGTGCAAGGGGCGGTTACCAAGTGACTGTTGTCATACCCAGTGTGCAGCGGGATGTACAGGTCCTAAAGAGAGTGATTGCTTGGTAAGAAGCCTGCAGAAACCTAAACAGAATTCTGATAAAGCTCATTAAAAAAAATTAAGCTGAGATGCTTAGATTTAAGTGTTTATTACAATAATGTGGAGTAAAACAATGCATTTGTTACATACTCACAAAATCAAATATCCTGTATTTTTATCTTGCCTAGAAGTTGTTTCAGAAAGCACAAAAGTTGCTAAACAAGCACCAAATGCTGTTATTTTTGTTGTCACTCAGCTCAGCTTGTTCATGCACATGCCCTATGCTTTATTAAAACAGCAGAAATGACAGAATATTTTTTGATCTTCAGGGGTTTTTTTTACATACTATTGTCCTGGTTACTGTTAGGGGATTCCATAATGAACTGTGCTGTTCTATATTTGCATAATCTTTTGACAGTCACTGCCTCCAATAGCAAGGGGAGCTACACTAGATAATCAACATAACGTATCTACTGTATGTGTCCAACGAGCCTGAATACCAGTACAGTTCAACAAGCAGTTCCAAGAGTAGAAGATCTGGTTTCCTATAACTGGCATCCAATACTATTTGTGCAAGATTTTAACAAAATTATACTTTAAGTTAGTACAAACTAAAAGGCAATACCCCATCTTACATAAATAACACCAAACTTTCATAGGGATTGTTTTATTTACATCAGGTTCCTACTTAATTTTATCTTGATCTTCTTCTCCATCAATTTGCAGTGAGTGAGGACACCAACAGAGAGAATCTTAGTTTGAACAGATCCAGGTCTACTCTTCTCACTCTTTCCCCCACCCACCCATTATCCTGCCCCCTTTTTTCTCTGATGTTTCTTCTGAAGACACAGTGGCAACCCCAGAAGAAAAGCTCGCTGCAGAGCTACAGATCCACAACTGAATCTCCTCCTCCTCAGTTGTAGTTTCGTCCATGGCCATAGAAGAGGAGATATGCACCATCCTATGGCTCTGCAGACATTCAGTGCATTCAGAATTTAACACTTATTTGCTGTATATCATGGCTGGGGGCTTTAAATTTTTGGAATGCTGTACCAGATTCCAAAATAAAAAAGAGTGCAGCAAAGAGAACATAAGGAACTGAACACATAGCTGCCATTTTATGAGGGTTTATCAGAGGTATATTCTGACCGAAGAATTCATGTGACTCAGTTGCTGAGGTACTGGCCTTGTGGCTAGGAGCCCAAGCTTACCATTTTTACATAGAGGTAAGACCTGCTTGTTTCAGTCTACTATGCTTTCAAACATGTATGTTCAAGATTCCAACTATAGGATCAGGCAAGCATCCAGCATGAGCTGCCAGGTCAGGGTTAGAGTTACCCTCTGTATAAAATACCTTCTGTATAAAATGAAAGCTTCTGATGCTGGAATTGTTTTAGTGAATGCTTTCCAAGATTGGTTTCAAACTTTTAAAAATGGCTTAAGAAGCATGGCTGTTGTTTCCTATTATGCTGGAAGAGAGCTTGTTTTAGCGTTATCGTTGCCATATTTACTGACAGGCATGTCGCAGGTTTCGAGACGATGCAACTTGCAAGGAGGCTTGTCCATTACTGCACATGTATAACCCGATCACCTATCAATTAGAAGATAACCCAGCTGGGAAATACAGTTTTGGAGCAACCTGCGTAAAGAAATGCCCACGTAAGTCTGCTTAAACATTGCTTAGCAGTGCTAGGTTGTCTGGGAAGGAAAAGGGGATGTGTCATGGAGATGTTCTCATGCCCTGAGTTGTTCATTCTAGAGCTGTAATTCCTAAACGCTATGCATACTGGGATATGCAGCTAAGTCAGTCTTCCCCAACCTGGTGACCTCTGGGTACTGGAAGACCCTCCTGGGAGCCCACGAGACCTACCTGTAGAAATATCTGATCACTGTACATCTGAATGGCCTTCCGGTCAGCCTCCTCTGGTCAAATTGGGTCATGAAATCACTTCTGATGAAGAGATACAGCAGAATTAGCAGACCTGGGCCCCATTGCACCTTAGTCAAATTTATTTCTTCTGAGTTTTTCTTCCTCCAGTATTTATTTCAGGAGAGAGCTATCAAAAGAAACGATAAAAACAATGAATTTGTGGTTTCCTGTTAAGCAGCAGGTATAAAACATTAATTAAGTTTTAATGCTATTTCAAAAGATATGGCAGGTTTTTTTTTCAAATCTATACTAGAGAGAATTTGTTCCTATAAGGTCATTCCCTTCCCTCTCAAGTAATCTGTGAAGGCTCTTTTTCATGTTCTTCTGTTTGGAGCTTTGAATTCTTTCCCTTTTAAATTTAGGACAGCTTTTTAAATATAAGTTTGTGCTGCTATTTTTATAGCATGCTATTCATTTTGGCTAGCTTATAGCTTTTCCTTTTCTATGGGTTTTTGTTGTACAAAAAAGACATTGAGATGAACGTTTTTGAAAAGGCAAGTTAAATCAAGCAATTAAATAGCCAAACAACTCTCCTCTTACTTCTTGTTTCTTCATCCCTGTCTCCCTTTTCCAGATAATTACGTGGTAACAGACCATGGCTCCTGTGTCCGGTCATGTGGTCCAGACTCGAGCGAGGTAGAACAAAATGGCATTCGAAAATGTAAAAGATGTGATGGCCCATGCAGTAAAGGTATGAAAACTACATTTTGTGTAATGCATTCTTAACCAAAGGACCATTGCTAACACATGGCACCTTTCAGTTTTGACAGAACTTTTTTGACAGGAGTCTTTCAATTTGTTCTCTCTTCTTTTGCTTTCATCACAAGACTTAAGATTCAAGCACAACACAAGGAAGGTTTCCTTACCTGTTTTTCTGGCTCATGATATCTAGATGGCGCCGTGGTGAAGTAGAATAGCACAAATGTCCAAGTGAAACAGAATTTTCTTTTGTTTTTACAAATAAATACTGCATTTTCCAATCTCTGAAAAGGCATGCTGAAAGTGCTTTTTTGATACAGAAGCAAAACTGGAATTCATAAACAACCATGAGTATTGGATTGATGGGTACATGATAAATTTTCATGTGGAAAAAGCCCTCAAGCTTTGTCTAAGGTTTCTAAGATTTCTGACTGCACAATAGTCAAAACTCTCTGGATAAGTCACAAAAATGTAAAAGCTAAAATACTAAATAGCTTAATTGAAAACCTTTAAAAGTTTACTAAAGTGATATCCAGTAGTACAGGAAGACCCTTACATATGAATGAGTTCTGTTTCAAGAGTGCTTTTGTAAGTCCAATTTATTCGGAAGTCCAACAAAGTTAGCCAAGGTACCCAAATAACAGAATCGGCTACATAGTACTGTACTGTAATAGGTTTCTAATGACACTGGAGGACTTTCATTGACATCATTGGAGGACTTTTGAAGTTACACTTATGGGTACGTGAAAGTGCGGAAGTGCACCTGTGTTTGCCCATGTGGTGGGTTCTTCCTCATATGATATTACTGATAGGTTGGTGCAACCTGTGTTACATTTTGCTAGACTCATCTCTCTCAGTTATTATGTTAAAGTACACAAAAGCACATTCGCATCTTTGAAAGTTTGCTGCTTGAAGGTTCATAAGTAGCAAACTTCCTGTACTAACAAAGAAGTGTGTCTTGGACAGAGACACAGTTCAGCTAATTTAATACAATTTAGTGCCAATAGAAAAGGTGCTATTCTTAGTAATTTTTATTTAGGTAAGTATTTCACAGCTTTGTCCTTCCATAACTCTCTTTTTCAGCATTTTTTTCCAGGAGTTCTTTGCTAATTTGTGGGTCTGATTGTGTTCATATCTGCATATTCTTCTGCTTCTTTGAAGGCAATTTCTTATATTTCAGAATTTGGACATGCCCAGGTATTTCACCATCCCTTATAAAGACCTACTGAAGATACCCTCACAATACTCCTTTTTCTCGGTGTTCTCAGCCATGTTTGCATTTAAAAATGGGCACATTAGACAATATATAGATTGTTAAATGATTGAATGAAGATTTCACCCCCAGAAATAAAAGAATAATTACCAGAGAAAACACATTATCAGTGGAAGCAAATGAGTACTGTAAAAATGTTACAATGTACAAACGTCTTTTAGAATCTTGAGGAAGTGCCAGCTTCCTTGAGGACCATTTTTGGTAGGGTGCAAATCAGATATTGTAAAATAGAGTGCTTACTAACTCTTTTGTGCATGAAAAAACAGCCCTTCCCAAATAAACCCCTCTGTTCTCAAGCATAGGCCTTTCTTTGGATATCCCCTCCACCAGAGGTAAGATGGTGGTGATGAGAGACAGGGCTTTTTGGTAGTGGTGTCATTCACTCCATTTTTGGTTTATTGCTGTTAAATTGTAGTCATTTAATTGATGGTTTAAATTTTTTATTGTCAAAGCACCTTGAAGGTGGAAGTTTTTTATGGGAAAAAGAAGAATACAACATTTTAGAGTAATAAAATGATTGTGTGCTCTTTTCATTCAGCCACTCTTGGCTAGGGAATATCTTAAGCAGAAAAAATATAGGAAAAGAATGAATCCTTAAACAGCAACATAACCACAAAAAATAAAATTAGTATGATGGAACAACTTTTTAAAAATAATTATTATTATTTTAAAGATATATGGAAAAGATATGTGAAAATATTGCTGGAATCTTATTTCTGTTCTTGATCATCCCACTGCAAATCCCTGGTTAACAAAATTGCAGAAAATAATGCTAGCTATAATTTGAGTTGAGTAGCATCCAAGAATAGCTGCTATTATATTGTCCAAATCTAAAACATTACTTGGCTTCTTTCCAAGTAAAGGAGTATTATTATGCAGCTATCTTAGAAAATCTGAAAGTTTGCTATAGATAGAGCTTTAATGTTAGAATATAGAGACTCCTTAGGTGCATTGAAATACATTTTAATGGTACAATAGTAAATCAGATTTGCTAGCTATTTAAGTTTATGCAAATACAATATTTCTTTATTCAGTCTTCTTTATGCCTAGTCTCTCCAATTCCATGCAGAAACAGAGAATTAAGGTATTTTAGAGAGCCAGTGTGTAGTGGTTAAGAGCCTGGGACTGGGACTCAGGCGATCTGGGTTCTAGTCCCCGCTCAGCCATGGAGCCAACTGGGTGACTTTGGGCCAGTCACAGACTCTCAGCCCAACCTACCTCACAGGGTTGTTGTTGTGGGGATAAGATGGAAGAGGAGATGTAAGCTGCCTTGAGCCCTAGGAAAAAGGCAGGATATAAATAGAAAAATAAATAAATAAAAATAAATATCAATCCTGGAATGAATATGAGCAGATTTGGTGAAAATAGTTACAGATGAAACAAATGTCTGTTTATCAAGTATTAATAATTTCATGCAGGATTATAGATCGCCTGTTCTAAAGCATTTTCAGATGTCATACACTGAGCACTAAATATCCTATGAAAATATATCCCCATTTGAAAGAGTGGCATATACTGCCATGTAAGTATGATTGGAGTCATTGGGCAGTATTCTGAACTACTGCTGAGCCTCTCCTAGTTCTTCTGTACCAATGGGACCCACTGCTAGCACAACAGGAACTGAGTTCCTGGGAACCATGCTGAAACTGTAGAAATGCATGCTTCCACATTAGGCTGGTAGGCAGAGCTCCTTCCTGTGAGCTACACTGACCTGCCATGATCTGGAAGTGAGCAAGAATGCTTGTTTCTGCATTCTAATTTTCAGAAATCACTGATTCTTGTTGCACGAGCAGTCTGCTGTGTGACCAGAGGACAGCATTGGATCCTATCCTAACTTTTGAAATTATGAGCTTTAATTTTCTGGGAGTGTATCAAACAGAACTTTGAGAAGGTTACATGTAATGCCTGAAGAGCTAGAAACAAAAGCTTGATGTCTGCCAGAGTAAATGGGAAAGAGAGAGTTCCACAGAATGTAATATCTGAAAAGACATGGAACTGGGTTTGATCCAACTTCTTCAGGCCATATACTATGCATGTCTCGACACAGATTTTATTTTAAATAAAAGGATGATTAGATTATATATTATACTATTTTGATTCCACCCTATATTGCAATCCTATTTATTCAGGAGCAAGTACCATTGAATTCAGTGGGACTTACTCCAGAGTAAACAAGCATTGGCTTGTGCTGTGGATTATATTGGAAAGTGTAGCTCCCAAGGGGTCCATTTGTTCCAACTTTGTTTGGAAATGCCAGATTATAATGCCAGATTCTGCTGAATGGCTGCTGAGAATTCTGGACATGGAATGTATGGTGAACTCTAGGACAGTAAAAACATAAGTGGTCAAGCATGGTAATTATTAAACAATAGGGTTTATATTATGCATTCAAGTACATGAAACTTTATGCTCTCTTAAGAACAGTGTAAGCAATTTAGTTTTTAAAAAGAATTCATTAGAGGTTTGTTGTATATTGTTTAGCTATGGTTCTGTGCAACTCCTGTATGATAATTTCTGGTAAATATATGATTTATGCATTAATTTTTTAAAAAGCCAAATGACCTGTGAGCAAGTTACTTTATTAGATCTGCTGCTCATCTGTACCCTTCTTTCTCTCAAGGACTAGCAAATGTGGGTGCCTACTGCGTATCTGTGTTTGTGTGCAACTTCTCCTGCATATTTAGAAAGAAAAATGTCCTAGCATTGCCCAGCATGACATGTACACTCACGCACAGGATTGCACGCTCGGTGATGCCTAAAGTCTCTATTGAGTCCTAATGCTAACTTGTTTCCTTTTTACCAGTGTGTGGCGGTATTGGAATAGGTGAATTAAAAGGTGTTATCGCTGTCAATGCATCCAATATTGACCATTTCAAAAACTGTACCACAATCAATGGAGATCTCACATTTCTGCATGTTTCATTTTATGGGTAAGTCGTTGCTCTGTCTAATGTGGAAGAACAAAAAGAGTTCAAGGTGGTTTTTCTACTAGATCAGCAGCTAAAGATTCCATGGTTATCTTTCCTCTAGAGATGACTACACGAAAACACCTTCTTTGGAACATAAGCAGTTGGAAATTTTTAAAACGGTTAAGGAAATCACAGGTTAGTAATATCAAGTTAATTTTAAAAATCTAGTATCCTAGATTTTGACAAGGCAAAGGTTGCAGGAGACTAGCAGTTACTGTTTTCTTTTAAGAAACATGTATTTTATCTTCCTATAGGCCGAAAGAACAAACAGTGCTATGTTATGCAAGCAACTGTGGCATATAGACTTAGAACCATCGATTTTACATTTGCAACAGCTTTGGTCTCAAAGGAGCCATTTAACACCATGGTGTTGCCTGACACCAGAAGAAATAAAACTGAAACATTTTTACACATTGAGTTTTCACATTTTGTAACAGTGGTTTTCCCTAAAGTAAACAGAATACATTTGACTTTTACAAATACAACTAGCTAACAAGGAGAACTTTATTGTTGCGGACACAGAGGCTAGGAAAGAAAGAAAAACTGTGCGGGGAGGGATCGGGGAATGTTTTGCTTTAACAACTTGGTTACTTTTAATGCATAGCTCAGAGGGAAAAATTCTCTTTTGGAACTATCTCCTTAGCTTCCCAAAAAATGGCACTCAGTAGTTCACATGACAGCCTTACCAGCAACTCACCATAACTCTCTCTTGCACTGCCAAATTTGTACCACTTGGTTTTGAGGGGAAACAATAGATTAGTTTTTCTACCCCTCCAGCAAGTATTCTAGGATGAAAGTAAAGAAAGGGTCTGGTGGAACCAAGAAAGCAGTTTTAAGGTTTGCAATTCTAAAGCTAAGAGCAATCTAACAACTTGGTTCAAGCAGAGCCATCAGCATTTCAAACAAGCAAGAGATTTGCCAAGCTAAAATGTATAGCAGAAAGGTACACATTGATCGAGACAGCTTAGCAAGTTAGTTGCCAACATTCCCATTTCCATGGTGAAGAACAGCCATTACGGCTGCACATAATCTCATTTATGAGGCAAGAACTTCATAGCTGGCCTGATTCTTGCAATCATTCCTACCCCTTTGTTTGGGTAGCACAGCCCAGCTAACCAACAGTGCTTTCTCCCAGTTGTGACAGAGAGGAAGGGCAAAAGACTGCTCAAGATGCTTAATGGTTTGAGAGTTCTTTCTGGAACATAATGCTGGGATGTACCTGGTGATAGGATTGGCGAGTCCTGTCATTAGTTGCATGGGACCTGGCTGTAGTTGTTAAATTCTACTCTGCTTTTTCTTCCTTTCATGTTCCCCCCATTTTTGAAAAGGCTTTTCCTAACGGGGGGAATAGCTTTGTGTATGCCACACTTAAAGGTGCAGTTTTCCAGCAGAACTTGCCAAGGGAAGCAACATTTTCTATGGTATCTCAAGCTGTTCAGGTCTGTAGGCATCGTCCTTCATAATGTTTAGCTGTCTTGGTGGCCTGCATGTAAACTGTTTGCAAAGCAGTGTTCGGAATAAAGTTGAAGCTCCCTGAAATGCCATTCTTCATTTTTATGTTCTCATAAAAGTAGGAGAGAAGGAAAGGCATTCGTGCTTTAACAAAAATATTTTGTGAATGTTTTAAAATACTATTTGTCTTGTTTCAGGGTTTTTGTCAGTCCAAGTCTGGCCTGGGAATATCACCGATTTAAGTGTGTTTGAAAATCTGGAGATTATAAGAGGCAGAACAAAACAAATGTATGTACAGCCATGTGCCCAAACTTGTTTTTTTCTCTGTTTCTGCTCTTTCATTGATTGGATCATGACCAACATTTGAATTATAGATTGATTTAAGGTAGGGTACACAAGCAGGTCTCTCTGGAGTCTTCCCACAACTGAGGCCGGCACAACTTGAAACTCACCAAATTGGACACAACCTATTACCCATGTTGCAGCCTGATAAGTATAATGCGCATACACCCCACTGGCTTTTTTTAAAGTCTCAGATAGGCAGCAACAACAGAAGGTATATTTTACATACTGCCCACTGCCTTGCAGAGATGGGGCATTAGTCTTCTTTGGTTGGGTCACAGGTGGTTATAGACCTACCTGTAAGAAGGACTTACCTTGGCACGAGAAGCTCTGATATCATTTCTTGCTTGGGATGCTTTCCAGGATTAAGGCTACAAAAGAGTGCTTAATGGAGCTAATCTGCACTGGAAAAAAGAGAAAGAAATGTAGACTTGGGGGAAACATAACAAGTAGGCCTCATATCACAAAGTGTGGTTAAGGAAGGGCCCTGGCACAGTAAGTTAAACAACTAGAGGTTGTTAAACCTAACATTTTCTCTGGGACCAAAACCCCATATAAACACAGTCATACAGCTGCTGTTCATGATATACAACATATTACAAGATCTTTAATGGCTTGCTTCACACAGCAAGGATATAGCAGTCTGTGAACAAAGCTATGCAAGCCTGGACATAACCTGGAACTGAGGCTTGAAAGAAACTCTAGTCAATTTATAAATAAGCCAGCTACAAACCCTGGATAGATTGCTGGTCTGATCAACTGGAGTTTGTCTTAAATCAAAATTCCTGTTTCATAAATAACAACAAGACAGATTATTCTAAAAACAAATTAGTTTCTCCTCCCAGCTATGCAAGAAGAGAGGAAAATGCAGACTTTCATGAGCTCAAGTCTTCACTTGGGATGACACGGGCTTGTTCAGATAGTGCTGCATCCTAGCATAATGTTGCATGTAAATGCAACCAATGTCTAACAATATGTTCCACAGAATCCTGATTGTTTAAAAAAAGAAATGTTGTCATCATAACAGTACTAATTATCAAATTACCTAGAGCTAGAGTAATTCTGCTATCCCAAGTTAATGCTATTTTTAGGTTTTTAGCTTTATAGATCCTAAGTTGTTCAGTGTACATGTGAACCCAGAAAACTGGATTGTTCAGAGGCAAAACATCCCAGAGTTTTAACTAATTTGCTGTTGGGTTAAAGTCTGAGTTGATTCCTCCTCAGGAAGCTTGAGTTTTGGGTTTACATGTTATACTTGTTTTCTAAACCTAATGGAAAGTAGAAGCAACAGGCAGACAGTCTTGACAAGTGATGGGTTAATTAACTCTTGATTAGTATTTATGTTCAGACTAGGTCTTAATGTTTGTTATTCAGCTGAAGCCTCTGGGAAAATCAAATATCTCATCCTTGGGTTGTGAGTACGGGATGGACCTTTAAAAGTTTATCTAGAGTTATTTGGATATTTTCTCTGCAGAAACTACTTCTGTTGCAAACCTAAGAAGTCTGCTCTAATTAAATGTAAAGCAGAATCTTTACCAATTGTGCAATCCTAAACATATATACTTCAAAATTAGTACCGCAAAGTTTGATTCAGATTTAATAATATGCAACTGATCTGGTGGAAACAGATCTTGCTGCTCTCTCATTCCCAAGGCAACCTCCACTCCCACCAGTCTCCCCAAAATCTGGATACTTCGTGCTGCACAGAGCTATGGATGAATGAATATCTCTGTACTGTTTTTGCTCCCATTTCTAATTTCTGAGAGAAATTTCCGATATTAAATTTGATTGTCTCAAATTTTGAACATTTCTCCCATCTTAAATTTGGCTCATCACAAACTTTGAATTTTTTTAAAATGTTTATATCTCTTCTAATAAACAGGTTTTCTAAGTAACCTAATAACATCCATATTAAATGTTGTTACCTCTAATATGTGCATTTCGTGATTGAAGAGTTCCATCGCAAAATTCAGAAAACATGAATTTTGAAGGATAACTGTAGTTCATGTGATGGTTCATAACTGTAAAATTAAGTTTGCATTAAAATGTAAACTGAACAAATTTCTCCTCATGTAGAGGTTGGTCATTTTGCTTGTATTTTTCCTACTTTATACCATTGTTATTCCTTTTCAGGGGCCAGTATGCTCTAAGTATTGCTAATCTGAATGTAAGTTCACTGGGACTGCGCTCTCTCAGGGAAATAAGTGATGGAGATGTTGCCATTTTGAAAAACTACCAGCTCTGCTATGCTAACACAGTTGACTGGAACACACTTTTTGTAACTGAGAAGCAGAAAACAAAAATCGACAGAAACAAAAATCAAACTCTATGTGGTAAGTTAATAGAGTCTACTTATAACTAGGTTAATGTGTACATTTCAGAAAACATTTACATTGTTCTTTTGGTAGTAAAATGGGCTTTGTTTTACATTTTCTTCACTGTGCTAAGTGGTCCATCCTCATCAGACTGGGCTTGCATACATTGACTTTTCACCAAGTATGTATTTCTGAAGCTTTCTCTGAGTCTGATACCTGCATGTAAGACACAGTTAGATATAAGGATTACCTTCTCCTGTGTGAACCTCCTCATCTTTTGAGATCAGTTTCAGAGAACCTACTCTGATGTCCATACCATTAGAGGTTAGGTGGATCCTGATGAAGAGAGCTTTTTTCATAGTGGCACCTCAGTTGTGGGATCTGAATTGCCTCCCCAAAGGTACTTACATGACACCAGCTTGCAGACCAGGTCAAGTCAATTTTGAAATCCTCAACTTTAATTATTTGTTTTCTGTTTCTGTAAGCTGCTTTTACTCCGCTTTTGTTTATAAAGATTTTATTCTTACCATTTCTTTTCTTAGTTGATTTTTATGTTTTACTTGTTTGTTCACTCTCAAGAATGTTTCCAAACTAAATGATAAGCATATGAATATAAATATATGAGGAATCTGCCTGAGGGTGAAAATCTGCCTCCACACTCCCCCCGCCCCCCAGTTCACTAATAGCAGTTCCTCATGGAACTGCTGTTATGGAGTTGCTCCTGGTGCCAAAGAAGACTGGTTGCAAGGTGCTCATTCATGAGGGGCTCCCCAGGAAATCAGCCCCCTGCCCAACTTCTGTACAGGCAGTATTTCTCTTCTGTACTAGCTGTAGGAGCCTTTTGTAGGACCAGGCCAAGAACAAAAGGATGTCCATAAATGCCTGGAGGGAAAGATACTCCAGGTTGTCCCAACCTTAGATATCAATGTTTTAAATATTTTAAGACAAGGATTCTGAACTTGGTGTCACGTAAATGTCATCAGGGCCAGACTTCCTGATGGATTACTCAAAGTATTAAGATGGTGGATCCTGAGATATAAACATAGATAACAAATATCCTTTTTCTTCCTGTCCTGCTGTCTCCAAATATACATTCAGATATATGAAAGTGTACTAAGTGCAGTTGGCAACAATGCACCTTCTAAAGTCATCCATGTTTCCAAACAATCAGTCTTCCAAATCGGGTTATTTGGAGTGCTTTGCACAGCAGTAGGAGTAGGGGTTATGTTGTGTTGTGTAGTTTTTGGATCCCTAGTGATTTCATGGATGTTAGCAATTGGCTTAAAGACATATCAGTACAAACAGAACCACAGTGCCTCTACTTTCCACTGACTTTGATGCCATCTTTTTAAAATGTGCTGAGATACCAATTTCCGTGTGTTTTTATTTCTTAGCTGCTGCAAAACAAGTTTGTCATCCCTTCTGCTCAGATGTAGGCTGCTGGGGTCCAGGACCATCCCAGTGCTTTTCTTGCAGATACTTTCGTCGTCAATGGGAGTGTGTAAAAGAGTGCAACATTTTGCATGGGTAAATGTTTCTTCCGTTCTGTTTACATAAGATGCAGCAATCGCAGTGCTGTAGGTGTGTGTGGGTTTGCACCAGTGTGTGTACAGCAGAATCCTTCAGCTCTAATCTGAAGCACACTTATGAGGGAATATGGCCACTGAATTACCTTGTGCCTTACTTCAGTGTGAATATGCTGAGATGTTCCGCATATGGGGCAGCAGTGCCCTTCTCATCTGCCCACAAAGTACTCCCATTGTAGATGTCATCCTGGGGCAAAGCTTTCCTGTCTTAGTCAGGACATCCTCTGAAACTCTGTGGGTGCAATCCTATCTGGATGCGCAGAAACCTCCAAACTTAGAAACTTGGGAGCAACCAGTGCAGAGAGGGAGGAGAGGTAGAGGTGGACTTTGCCTCCTTGTCGTCTCGTTCTGCCTTTTTCATTAGACAGGGTTTTTTCATCTGTCTATCTGGACCATCATCTCAAAGGGAGGAGGAAGAAGGCTGGAGCAGCTTTGGGATAGATCCTCTCCTAACCTCCCCACCTCAGAATGCTCTCTGGGGTTGCTGGCATGGTTCTTTGTGCACCAGCTGGGGGAGAGAGGAGTTGGCACTCCAATTTTCACTTCTAGGAATCCAGTGGACTCCTGTGGACTCCCAGGCAATGTCTGTAGGATTGTTCACTGCAGAATATTGTTCACTGAGAAAATTTAGATATATATTTAGGGAAATGTAATGATATCTTACGGAAGTTTAGGGGTTTTTTTCTGAATATCATTCATTCATACAAATGATAAAGGGGTGGTAATTTTCCATTGTTTGTGTACATGTGTTGATCAATTACTTATATGAAGGAATAACTGCTATTTTGATTAAAACAGAATAAATGGCACTGCCATTTAATGTTTCAGTTACAATGAAGTATTCCTCACACAGATATAATATAAAAAGGTTAAGTTCACTACCATTTTTTGCCATGGAAATATTTCATTCATTTCTCAAAAGTAGCTCTGGTTGAAAACCACTTCCAAAGTAAAATCTTGAAACAACGGAAATTAGTATTTTTATTCTAATTATGACAGCAAGTTAAGTCTTTGCTTCCACTTGCTAGAAATCTTAATAACAATTAACCTTCTTAGACATTAAGATTTTCCTTTGAGGCCCTCCTTCATGTGTCCCCACCAAAGGAAGTGAAGCTGGTAGCTACAAGAGAGTACCTTTTCAGTAGTGATATGCTCTTTATGGTGGTATGTTAGAGTACCTGACACCCATATTATAATCTTTTTAGTGCCAGGTGAAGATCTTTTAATTCTTCTAAGCAGTGCTTTTTTTGTAAAAAAAAAAAAAAAGGTGCCGGAACTCACGTCACCGGCAGTAAGCGCACGACCACACACACCAATCCCAAGCCGAGCAGCAGAGCAGCGCCCTCACTATCTCACTATCAGATAGCAGATAGCAGACACAAAAGCAGCCTGCAGGCACTATGTTAATGATGTTTGCTGCTGATCTGCTACGATTCAAAATCACTTCGTAAAATCCATTGGAAAAAAGGTGCCAGAACGCTGTTCCGGTGCGTTCTATGACAAAAAAAGCCCTGCTTCTAAGCATTTGAAGAATTTTTTTTTGTACTCTGTTCTACTGGTGGTAGTTTTCATTGGATTTTATGGTGGCTCGTATGCTTTTATTCTTTGCTTCTGGTTTTAGCATGGCTTTATTCTGTGCTCTCTTTATTTTTTGCTGTTGTTGCTTTAATATTTGTACTGTGTGTTTTTAATTTTAAGACATACATTTAATGTCTTGTACATGCATTGTCATGGATAGGACAGTGCAAGACATATCAAAAGTCCACTTGGTTTCTAAAACAACTAGCAAGAAACAGAGCCGAAGAACCCTGAACTAGTTGTCCAGTTCTTTGAATCTGGACAATTGAGTATGATCCTGACAGAAGAAGAACTTGCGCTTCTCTAATGTCAGGTCTTTAATGCTGACTCCTCCGCATACTTATCCCAGAAAACATTTTCCTTGCTTTCTCCTCTGCTATGACTTTCAAAAGTTGTGTGGCTAGTCTAAAAAGAAAGAAAGAATATACAGTACAAAGACTTTATCCATCTGCAGATTTTACCTTTTTAAGTAAAATTCCTTCAGGTAATGTTTTGACGTACATGGCAAATTTGAACTCTTCAAATTAAATTATGAGCAGATAGTTTAATTAGTGATAAATTACTTGTTATGTTATAGCTGAGCCATCTGCTCCCAATTTTCACATTTTAATAATATGCTATATTTTTCAGAGAAAGAATGTTTTTAATTAACAGTTGATTTCACCTTAACCTTTTTAAAAAACTGTAATTTGATTGCCTTGTTCCAACAATGCCCTCTAAAAGGTGGGATTGCATGTGGCCCCACCAGACAGAATTCAAATGTAACAAGACACGAGGGAAGATACTTGAACTCATGGGCCCGCCATATGTAGCATTTCTTAATATGAATCAAACCACCTACACATTCATTTTTATGCTCAGAAGACTCATGCATATTGAGCAAGACCTATTTGCATAGATCTTTAACAGATGTACCCTAAGGAGTTTTATAGTAGGGGTAGATCCAGATTCAATCAGTAGGATCTCGATTTTAAAAAAGAATCATGTAGCAGGTGATATGGGAAGCCACTTACCTACAACCCTGAAAAGCATCTGCCAGTCACAATAGACAGTGTGGGGCTTGATAAGCCAATAACCTGACTGGGATAAAACAGCTTCCAGTGGCCCACCAACCTCAGCACAACTAACTAGTCATTACAAAATTTCAGGTACCTCACATTCCCCATTTCTGCCTTTCCTGTCCTGGAAAGCAGCAGAAATAGGATTCCCAAATGTGTTGCATTCAGTTTTGCGAGCTAAAAGTTGGAGTCATGTGTGAACCAGCCCTGAGTCCTACTTGCCCTCTTTATTGTCTGACCTTCCCATTTCTTTGGATAGGAAGTATCTTACAGGCATTTTTGTGTGTCTCAAGTTTATTTATTTATACACATATTTATATGCAGCCTTTAACTGCCAAAAGGCCTTCCTAGGTGGCTTACAACAACATATTAAGCATATGTATAACTAACAGCATATTAAAACAATTAAAAGATCAAAACATCACTATAACAAGAATAGAAAAAGGCCACCAGCATTCACAGGGCTAAATATTTTTTAAAAAATAAAAAATGTATATTAAGACTGTGGCATAGCTAATTGGATGAAATCTGAATGTAGAAATGAAAATATAAGTAACCTTGTTCTGTGTTTAATAAAGCCTGTGAATTCAATTCTCCTAGATTGCCAGCTGAAGCTATAGAAAAGCATTTATGTGCATCTTTGACTTGCAACTTGCGTCTGACAGTAAATAACAAATGTATAGGCGCTTTGGTCTTGTTAACCCTGATGCCCTTGCCCAATAATGTGCTAACTGGAACTCTGACGTTGTGTGGGCGAGCCATGTCAAAGCCTCTCATTCTAATAGCACAACACAGTCAGGTTTTCCTACCTAGTAGTGAAGATCATTAACACAGTACCTTACCACTATCACCTTCTTGGGGTTTGAAGATCATGGGGTTCTCTGGGGATGCTTGGGCTGGCATCGCAGGAAAGTACCTCTCATGGTTGTTGGGATGTTTGAGAGTGACAGAGTGCACGTCTTGTAGTGATACCCCTGCTAGTGCTACTTCATAGTCCTCCTGTACCCCTTTGTTGTAACATCTCTGTTGTTGTATTCCAGTACAGAGGACATTTAAGGACATTTAAAGTTGCTGTCTGATTTACAAGCTTTTTCTACCCATTTCAGGGAGCCTCGGGAGTTTCTAAGACATTCAGAGTGTTTCCCCTGCCATTCAGAATGCCTGGTGCAAAATTCAACTCAATCCATTTTAACTTGCAAAGGCCCTGTAAGTACATATTATCTTTCAAATTTATTCCCAACACTGCTTTAATATACAGGTGTCTCAGTTCAGGTGTGCTTCAACATACTCTGAGCAACAGACAGAAAGTATACACAAAGCTGTCATGGGGGAGGGGGATGGCTAAAGCTCGCATGGCCAGGGGCAACTCCACCTGGATCCCAGCCAAGTCCACAGTTTACCTTTTCTCTGGGAAATTTGCTGGTCTCTTGAACACATTCTTGACCATATCCATTTTAGTGGAACTTAAGTACCTGTTTCTTTGCATGTGCAGGACTGGACCCGCCACTGAAATGAACGAGGAAGTTCTTCTAGGTGTTTGAACTCCACCTGCATGTTGAATCTCCCACATCTTTTTTTTTTTTAAATCAGTGATTTTATTCAGAAATATTTAGGATGAAACTTGGAATGAGGGATGATGGCCATGATACTCATGGAGGATCCTGTAATCCTATAAGCATTGCAGAAAAGAAAAACTTTTAATTTTTAGTTAATCCTCGGTTATCATCCTCAGAGCCACAGTGGTCAGTATTCACTCACAAAAATTACATGTGAAAGAGGCAAGTGCAGTTTTTCATAAAATATCCTTTTAGCCCCTCCCCCACCAAAAAGGTCCATGCAATATATTTCCCTATATCTAAAATGCTTGCAACTTAACAGTACAAGAGGATGCAATGAAAATGGAGTATGTCCAAAGAGTCATAATCTAGAAATCCAGATAAGAAATGCTAAATTAACTGCCGCTGCATTAGAAACATTTAAAACTGGCGTCTCCAGCACTGTTCCCATGAGGCCCTCTGCATCCCCAGGCCTTTTGTCCCTCCCTGCTCTTTTGCAAAAACCGAATGGGCACACAAGAAAGGGAGGTGCAGCCTCCATGTGCCCACCCGTTCCTTCTGTTCCTTTGTCCAAAATATATTCTTAGGCCCAGAGACACTTTTGGAAAAGAAAGGAAGAGAACTGGAATTTGCAAGATACCTGCAAGAATTCATTTTCTAGCCACCTGCTTGAGCTACTTTTTAAAAGAACAAAGTTGGGGGCAGAACCCTGCTGTCTGCTCCCAGGGGTAGATATTGACTGAGTTTGTGTGTGGCGCGTTTTAGGTGCTGGCGGGACAGGATTCTGTATGCTTCCTAGGGTTATTTTCATTCGTTTGGGAAGAGGCTTTGTTTTTTTTTTTTTTGCGTGCATGCAACTCACACACAGACACACACACAGAGAGAGAGAGAGAGAGAGAGAGAGAGAGAGAGAGAGAGAGAGAGAGAGAGAGAGAGAGAGAGAATGTGTGTGTGTGCACAGCTGGGAGAAGGTTGCAAGAATTAACACTTAGAAAGCTATGTACATCTGCTGTGTAGAGCAATTGTATCAAATGGTTATCATAACGCTAATTATTATTGCTCGGAATGGTGAGTTATGCCGAATTGAATGACTTGCTTCTCATTATGGTATTCAGAGACAGTTTCTAATCACTTCCAGATACTGCCAGGAAATATTAAGCAAGAAACTGATGCCTCCCCTCACCCCTCCACGCAATCTATTCACTGGCTTCCGAAGAATCCAGGCGCTCCTTATAACTGAGGAGGTCTGATTTCTTAGCTTTAGATCTGGTCTGAAATGTTTGAAGAGCTGCAGCTAATGAGTGTTTTAAGTTGCAAGTAATGCATAGAACTTGCATTTTTAAGACTATCACTTCCATCTCCACACCATAACCTGGGGAGGAGATCGGAGCTTGATTAAGGCCAGAGAAAAAGGGGAGAAGCCCTCAGGCACTGAATGCCATCTTGATTGGCCCTCTAGAAAAATGCAGCATGTTTGAGTCTCCTGTGTAGTTGTAATTAGTTGGAGCAACCTGCCTTTGCTTCCATAACTCAGCAGTGTGAGTAATCAGTTTGTTCTTTAAAAACTTTTTAGCACACAATATGGAAAATATAAAGTATAACGAAGTGCATATGGATCCTGGGTATATTTGTTTTGCAAGGACCAGCAGTTAATAGTATAATGAAGCATTGAACCATATGAACACTCCGTGAAAACTAGTGGAACCCGGTCTTGTCAACAAGAAAACAAGGCTTATAAACTGGCGTGTTGAGGAAGAAAGAGCCCCAGATCCCATCTCTCAAACAAGCTGGGAGCATAGAATCCATGGTTTCTTAGGTGCTCCTGCTGGTAGGAACCAAGTGGGAGCAATCAGGAAGCACGACAAAGCACAACTGCAATAAGCCAGGCTTATCATAACACAGGAACCAGACCAATGCTAGCATTCATGCCTCTTACTTACAACATTTGTCAGCGCATTTAAAAATGTATTTTATACTCACAGAACAGTGTCCTCTTTCTTATCCAGGGTCCAGACAACTGCACAAAGTGTGCCCATGCAATGGATGGTCCTCATTGTGTTAAGTCTTGCCCTGCTGGCATTGCAGGTGAAAATGATACCTTAATCTGGAAATATGCAGATGAAAATTCAATGTGTCATTTGTGTCATCCTGGTTGTATTCATGGGTGAGTAGGAATATTTAATTTGAAAGGAAATTAAAGTAATGGTCTTAACATATTCTATTTTGGGAATTTGGTTTGTGAAAACAAACCAAAAATGCAGAAGCATAACTATTTAATAAATATTAAAATAAAGGGCAATCAGGTCAATCAAAACACAAATTCAGTGGCAACAATCTAGTAAGTTCCAGTATGAAGAATATTCTGGTGGATTGATTGATTGATTGATTGATTGATTGATTGATTTTGGTGAAGCTTTAAAAAAAGGTTTAAACACAAACATAGGAACATCAGTCCACAGTTGAAACATTTAAGTCACTGTGCACACTTCAGAAATTATTATGAATACCTGCCATGTCAAAATCCCATTATTTCAATCCCCATTGGGTTTTATTAATGATATGGTCACCTGTATGGTTTTTCCTGTGGGGCAAACTATGAGGGGCTTTTGATAAAAATAAGGCAGTGAATGGGTTTTTAGAAGAGAAGACCTCCCCAGTAATACAGTCCTGTTCTGATTACAAGTTCTGTATCTGGTAGCACTTTTCAAAGCCTGGAATAGCTTCACCGCAGTTCTTGATCACACCATATCTAGGTACCTGCTTAGTTGGCAGGCCCCCCAAAAATGGATTTTGAGAACCTCTTGGGTTAGAACTATAGTGACACCTGGTGGATAGTTGCTGTATTGTAGCTAAAATCTCCCTCACAGCATTGCAGGATTTCACTGGATTTCAAACTTTAATAACAAGGGTACACTGAAACTATTGTCTCATATAAGGGGCATGCATTCTGTTTTAGGAGATATGTAATCAACAGATGTCTCAGTTCTATGCCAGTTTATGTATTTTATTATATTATATTTATATCCTGCCTTTTTTCTTACAAAGAACTTAAAGCAGCTTATATAATACTCGTCCTCTTGCTCTCCATCTTATCCCCAAAACAACAACTCCATGAGGTAGAGAGACTGAGAGTCTGTGACTGGCCCAAAGTCACGCAGTTGGCTCCATGGCTGAGTGAGGAATAGAACCCAGATTGCCTGAGTCCCAATCCCAGGCTGTTCACCACTACACCGGCTCTCATGTTTGTTTATATCTTCTGTAAGTTTCAGTGTTATACAGTGCTATCCTATGTGTACCTACTCAGAAGTAAGCCCCGCTAAGCTCCATAGCAGACCCTAGTAAGCATGTTTAGAATTGTAGAATTATGCAGTTTAGACTTCACATTCCCTTGTTACTACTTTTAAACATGAGATGACTCCTGTGAGTCATTCTTTTGCCTGCAGGTATGCATATACAAATTATCTGCATAAGTCCCACAGAAATTGAGCTATTTCATCAGCTTTGAGGTCCAGTGCTTATGCAGCAGCAAATATATAAGATGAGAGGCAGAGCTCCTTCTCCATCTTAGACAGATTGCCTGAAAAAATTAGCTGTTGCTGGCTACATTCTGAGGAGTTTAAGGGCACAATCTTACACATACTTAGACAGAAACACTCCTACAACTCCCCATGTGCCTAGGGCATGGGAGTTGTAGCATATTTTTCTGTCTGAACATGTATAGATTTGTGCTTTAAAAATAGAAGTTTGTGGAAAGAAGCTTGCAATCTTTGGTTCTCTGAGCTAGAATTGTTTTTATTGTCCAGACTTCAAAGTAAGGCGAAGGTTCAACAGGACACGCTTTTCTTTTTCTGTTTGCAAAGCCCATGACTTCCTGTTTTGTTTATAACCTGTACAGGACCCTGAACTGTTGTGTTCTTAATCTGCAATCTTAAAATTGCTCACTTGAGAATAATTCCCATTGAACACTGTGGAACTTACTTCTGAGTAGGCATGCTTAGGATTGCACTGTAAATCTCATATACAAGGCTGTAAATCTAAGCAACCTGTCTGTAGTGAATTGAAAATGGCAGGCAGGTGATGTAAAAAAAAAACCCCACTGTGATGGAAAATTGGCCCGAACCAGCTGTGTCTATGTAAAGTGAATTACCATTTATGTAAGTGCAGATGAAAAGCTTTGTTGACAGTGACAGCATATGAACTGTATAGTTGCAGGGATTTGCATGCTGGCTTTGCTTTTACAGTAAATAGAAAGCAAAGAGAGGTATTTCAACTGGCAGTGACAATGCTCAACTTAAATATGTTCACGTTTCTTATTTGAGTTGATCTGAAGGAGGCCCAAGAAACCATTTCAAAATGTCAGTGGTGATCATTTTGATTCTTTAAAACAGAGGTTACTTCTGCAGAATATTGCCATAAAATTCTGCATGAGATAGATGGACTAAAGAAGAAGTCCTTTATAAATGAATTCACATAAATAGTTCCCAAGACTTGGCAAGCAATGGCCCATCCATACTTCTGCTGCTATTGAAACCATGAAATGTCAGCCATCGGTGAAAGAATCCATGATACGAGCTCCTTACGTATAGAAAAATGATGTCAGCAAGAAAATTTGCTCCAATAGCACTACCTTCACATAGAGACCTTCCTTGTAATTTAATACTATTCTGGTAATAAAGTATTTCGGAGTGAATTGTTCATGTATACTCTCAGTAAGAGAAGAAGCAGAAGACAGTGAATCTTGAAAATATTACTGTCAAATAATGTAGAGTTGTACTTCCTAACACTATTCAGTGATGAAATTTCTGAATATTCACTCCAAGTTGCAAGTAGAGAGGTCATTGCTTTTCCTTTAAACACAGAAGGTTACTGTTGTATAGGGTGAGCAGCTGCATTGGATAGCCTGAGGTCTGGTACTGAGAGATTTCCCCACCCCTAATCTTTTCAGCCATTTACCTTTCTGTCACCAAGAATGTTAAAAGCAAGTGTTTGATCCACTCACAGCAAGATTGCCAGTTTCTTTCATCTTGGCCGCAAACAGTTATCTCTTTGAGATAGGCTGCTTTAGGTGGTCAGGAGGAATAGTGTTTTTGAAGTTGGTGAATAAAGCAGTGCTTTTTAAGAGGCTGAGTTTGTACTTGGGAGGAACTATTGAAAGTTCTGTGTTGTACTTGAATAATGAATGTGAATGGTATTCTGGTAGGCTCTCTTCTCAATATGCTTAGAGATACTCAAATCTGAAGCTGTTATTTTAGCAGCAAATACAGCATAGCAAAGGCATTTGTTCAAGGCACTAGATATTTTCCAAGTCTGCTATTTCTTATCAAGTACATGGTCTCACACAAGCAAGTTATTTATGTTCAGAAGGACAAAAAATAGAATACACACTGAAAAATCTAGCTGCACTCTTATTAATTCTGTTGCTAATTTTCTTTTTCTTCATTTTTTTACAGTTGTAAAGGACCAGGACTTGAAGGTTGTCCTAATGGGTAATTATTGCCACTTACGTAGTTTCAGTGAACATATCATGTACTTTGCAGCAAATCTACCACTGTGCATTTGGACTTGCCTGACTTCTCCCTCATTTCAGCCCTTCAGGCATTCCCCAAATCTGCTCTGCAGACTCCCCCAACCCACCAAAAGCAGACTTGGGGGTGCATAGTAGCTGCAGAAGGGAGGAGAAATCCCTTCTGCCAGCAGTTTGCAGAATGACACCATTAGATCCAAGCCATTATTGTATCCCTGTCTCTTCCTCCTATGTCTTTTTGCAAACTGCACTTCAGACTGCATTGGGCAGCTCCTGATCAAATGTTCTTCTATAGAGGAGATAACAATCTGTCCGCATACAGTGCTAGTTCTTCAGGTAGAAGTACAGGGTAGAATTCTCCTTGATTTCTAGTTTTTCTTACTCCAGGATGTGTGCGTGCATGCACTAACATTTAATTTTGTAACACAAAGGCACATGTGTGTCTGGAGTCTAAAGCAGACATTCTGTATTCCTTGTTTCTTGCCTGCTCCATTCATTAAACTTAGGTTACAATCCTACGTCAATTTATCCAGGGGTAAGCCCTACTGAACTCAGTGTAACTTCCTTCTGAGTAGACACATGTAAGAGTGGTCTGTTATTGACTTTTTAGTAATTAGAATTAACCTTCAACTAGGAGTAGATGCTGAAAGTGATTTACTGAACTAGTGAAACATAGTGCTTTGCAACTCCTCATGTTAGGACTAAGACCATTCTGTGTCATTACCCTTCATTTTAAAACATAGCCATCTGTTCTGAACGCTCAATAGATGTTGAGTTGACTTCAATGCCCAAACATCAATTCAGTGATATTTCCTGCTTGTTTTGTCTTCTAGCTCCAAAGTCCCATCTATTGCGGCTGGAGTTGTTGGAAGCATCCTTGGCTTAGTTGTGCTAGCACTGGGCATTGGTCTCTATGTGCGCAGGCGTAGCATCGTCAGGAAGCGTACTTTGCGCAGATTGCTACAAGAACGAGAGGTAGGTACAGCAAATGACTCTGACGTGTACTGGCTGGAGCACTCTTACAATACAGGCCAGCCTCTTGTGATAGCAGAATAAACACAGTTCTGCATTTCTAGGACAGAGCCCAGGGTGTCTCTAGAAGCACCTCTGTTTGGGGAGATTCCATAGTTTTCGAACAACAACACTTTTTTTCTGGGAATGTGTAACTCTTCACCATGCTAGTCAGAGTCAGTGTCATACGAACAGTGGAATGAGGAATACAACTACCCTGTGATCCTGTTGGTGGCTCTCAGCCTATACAGAGAAGATGAGTTTAAAGCTAATTAGCTTCACTTCTTCTGAAGTGGTGTCTCTTGTGAAGCAGCAAAAACAGTGGAGAAGGACTGTCGCTCACTGGTACAACACATACTTTGTATATAGAAAGTTCCAGGTCTGAGTCACAGCATCTCCAGATAAAACAGGAAAGCTCCTTCCTGAAACGTTGGCAAGCCATGCCCTTCAGTGTCATCAGTACTGGACTAGTGGGGGGATTGGTTGTTTGCTGCTTCCTGTACAGCTTTTTCTTCACCAAAGGTCCAAATCCACAGCAGTCCTCTGCCAACTTAAAAAAAAAAGTCCACAGCTCCCAGCATGTTGAGGTCAGCTGGCTGGGGCATGCTGGAAATTGGAGGCCCTTTGAGATTGCATCACAAGCCACTTAAAGCTCCAGATGTGGGAACTGTTTGAGGGTATGCTTAAAATCCTGTGTGTATATGTGTGTGTGTGTGTGTGTGTGTGTGTGTGTGTGTGTGTATAGCCCTCCGTGAAAGAAATTAGGAGGGTGGTTACTCGGAGGAGGGCTTTCTCAGCGGTGGAGCCTAAGTTATGGAATGCGCTCCCCAGAGAGGTCCGCCTGGCGCCGTCGTTATTTGTTTTTCGGTGCCAGGCGAAGACCTTTTTATTCAAGCAGCATTTTAAATGTTAATATTATTGAATTTTTCTGGCCAGGACGGCTTATTTTATATTGTATATTTGTAATTTATTTTAATGTATATATTTTTAAATGTTATGATGATTTAACTTATTTGTTGTAAGCTGCCCCGAGGCTTCGGCGACTGGGGCAGCATAAAAATGTTTTAATAAATAATAAATAAATATTTGCTTCACCATGCAGGAAAAGCATCTTAGGAAAACAAAATGTTTGGGAGATGGCAGGGCCAAATCCTTCTCTCTATATATGCTATAGGAATATTTTGGAGTGGGAAGCATCAGTATTTAAATATGTGACCTCCACATGCAACCTGAGTTGCCTTTCTCTGTACCAAAGATTCCCTTTTTGTGAATACAAGAGTACATATTATTAAGGCTTTTTTAAAAATGGAGGGAGGGAATAGCTGTACTCTCCTGCCACAGCAGCACAATCTTCCTATAGGAAAGCTGATCCCATTCATTAGGAATAGAGTTGCCACCACCACGTTGACTCTGAATTGGACACACAATGTCTTGCAAAACTAAAGTGCAATAGGGTCACACTTTGGATAAACCATCTGCAGGATAAGACCCCTGAAAATGCTGATCTGATATATCCAAATATAGTGCCTTAATATAGTGTTGAACACAGTTCATTGCTATAATAATTAACATTAATAACCACTTTGTTTAGACAGCTTCCTGTGTTATTCAAAGGTGTAGTTATGAAGCTACCATACACCACATTACTTGGATGTGGATTATGCTAAATGAAATGATCCATAAGAATACTTAACTATGTTGGGGGTGCAGAACCACTTTCAGCCCAAGGACCAAATTTCACTAGGAAACCTTCTGATTGCACAGTATTCCTGTGGTGGATAGGACTAAAGGCAAAAGAGGGTATACCAAAATATGGAATATATTTTAGCTTAAGATTCCTAGTGCCAGCAATAAATGTTTAGGAAAGCTACTTCAGCGTTTTAAAACAGTAAAACAAGTGTGCCAAAGTTTGGAAACCATTAAATGATCAGTAGTTGGGGAAAATGGGAGAAGGGAAAGGTATGTCCTGGGGGCAAGACTGGGACCCTAAGGGGGTTGATTTGATTTGGGCTAGATTTGATTTGGGTCTGGAGGTTCTACCATCCTGCATTATATAGTGTCTAGCTTTTCATCTTCTGTATGGGTGTACTTCATGCTTTGAATGAGAACTTACCATGGCACACCATGTGCTCTTAAACCATTGATGGTTAACTTCTTTAACTGGTACACAGGAAGAAAAGTCCACAGTAGGAACTATAATATAAGCTGCACATTTCTTGTGTTAGTTTTGTCTCTGATCTGCTGAGCCAGGGAGCAACCAGCAGCACAGAACTGAACAGGAGCACCATAAATTCGTACTGCCTAAGCTGCTTGTGGCAAATACATCATGGGTGATATGCATGTTTCAGACCAAGTAAAACAAGCAATTTCTTACTATGTCTGTGTTCAAGGCCATCATGCTGCTTGTACAGATCTTAACACAGTGCCTAGTATAGATACTTTTTCAGCATTGTACGTGCAGGGGTTTGATCGAAAAGGCTCATATAAAATGTACTGCATAAAATGGTTTCCTTTCTCTGTAAAGTGACTTCAATGTCTTTCCAGTATCGTGTTCTGCTGTTGTGGCAAATAGTTTGCTTTGACTCCATTTTGTTTGTAACGCTTTCACAAAGCAAGCTGTTCCGAACAGTAGAATACAGATAGTGTGTGTTTTATAATGCAGACAGTGTCGCCTGTTTTGTATTTCTCAAACAGCTAATCTTAAACTGGCTAGTACTGAAAAGGGAATCTCTTCTTAAGCCCTGTTCTTTTGGTATTCAACAGCTCGTTGAGCCCTTGACACCCAGTGGAGAGGCTCCAAACCAAGCACTTCTAAGAATTCTAAAGGAAACAGAATTTAAGAAGGTCAAAGTTCTTGGCTCTGGAGCATTCGGCACTGTTTACAAGGTAAAGTCACCACCTTTTTTTATACAGAGGTGGAATCCTATGTACATATGCTTGGGAGTAGGTCCACTGAAGTCTGAGGCCCTCAGTTCTAAGGAAGCCTTCACAGAACCAGGAAGCTGCAGAGTTGGATACTACTCGTGTCTGATTTTTTCAGATTCGTCTTTATAGAGCTACTGTGTCAGATTGCTTATTTGCCTGCTTATTGGCTGATGTGTTCACATCCTTTCTGAAGGCTCCCTATATGTAAACTTTGCACTTTATGTCTGAGTAAAATTTGTCCCTTTTGGGGGGGATTGTTTTTGTTTTACAGGGGCTCTGGATTCCAGAAGGAGAAAGCGTTAAAATTCCTGTGGCTATTAAGGAATTGAGAGAAGCCACATCTCCCAAAGCCAACAAAGAAATTCTCGATGTGAGCTTTCCATTTTATATTATTTTATTTTACAAAGTATTGAAACATTCACTCTTGGGATTTTATATTATGAAGACAAAAATAAAGGCAGCCTTGTTAAAGGAGTGTACTTACATAATTTTCCCAGCATTCCTGCAGCTTTTCTTCTGATTTGACTATATTCTCTAAAAATATACACAAGCTGGAAATGATTTTTATTTCATTGTGGGAGTCATCATTACATTTTCCAACAAACCACTTAGGCTTTTTCATCTGTAAATACTTGGCTCACTTTCCTTTGGATCAGCTGAACATTTTAGGTCAAAGAAAACAAATTCTAAATCTGGACAAAAGTGGAGGTGAGGTTAAGAAGTTGGCATTGGTTTGCTTTGTTTCAAATAGGCAGGTTGCTTATTAGTAATTCATTCGTGAATTACAAAAACTATAACATTTACTTTATCTTTCAGGTAAAGATATAAAGACCTAGTAACTACTACTAAAATAAATCTTCTATGTTGTCCAATAGGAGGTACTGGTACTGATTTCCCCACAGTTTTCACCATGCTTCTTCCTATTTGAAATGCTGATTTTATATAACTTTTATATAAGTTGCTTTAACACAGCATGTATGGCACAGCCATATTTCTCTGTAGATCAGAAAATGAAATATGTATTAAGGAAAAGGTGACACTGGAGTAACTTCAGTGGAATGACTATTGACCCGGGGTGATGTTATTGCTATGCAAATAGACTCAGTGTATGGGTTCACATGACATGGCAAGCCACTGTGTTTTTTGCCAGTACTGGTCTGCTGTGATGTCCAAACTCTGTTGTGGTATTTCAAGCATGATGTATTTGGCCTTTAAAAACCATAGACAGAAACAAAAGTCTGTTCTGTGGGTTCTCAGTGCCATGATTATTTGCTATGCCATCCAAACTGGGGGAATGCAACTCGTTGTGGCACCAAGTCCAGAACCAGAAAGGCACTTGGCAGGAGTGACGCATTGCTCCTCTTGTGAAGCAGTTAGCCAGAAAGCACCACTGTCCTTTTATGTGGTTGTCAGGGACATCCTGCCTACAGAGGATCAGATGTGCGGCTCTACCGAAAGGAGCAGAGCTGCTCAGGTTATTCCTACCATTTATTTATTTAAAACATTTTTGTACCACCCCATAGCCCATTGGGCTCTCTGAGAGGTTTACAGCGTAATTGAAAACAATCGGCAGTTAACAAGAAAATAGCATATAAAACAATAGCTTATAAATAACATAAGATATATAACCATAAGATATAACAATGGAAATGCATGCTTAGTAGGTGCTGAGTTGGGGGCACTTTTCTGGCCAGCAGGAGTGAGAAAGGGGGGCGAGTGCCTTTTCCCCCTCATCACTGCCAACTGGAAGGAGGTGCCTGGGTGGGCAATGGGTTAGAGGTGCATCTCTGGCAAACACAAGTGAGAAAGGGAGATGGGTGGTGTCAGCCCCCCACCACCAAATCTGTCAACCAAATCAAGGTAAAAAAAAACCATGAACAGTGATTTGTAACCTTTGGTCACAGACCTTAATGGAGAATAGCAGAGTTCCTAAATATTCTGTGAGCCCCCTGATTTTTTTTTTCTTCTGTTTCTGCTAACTCATTGTGATCTAGTAGATGACTCTTACCTATTGCAACACAATCTTGACCTTCAACTAGACTTGGGATGAGTCATTTATTTAAACTATTTATATCACATCTCCAAACCTTCTTTCATTAGGTAGCATACAAGGAAATTTCAAATTCCTTTCACGGATTAAAATAGCAGTAAAAATTTGCAAAAGGAAAATATCATAAAAATGATAGAATCAGAATGGTTGCAATCTATATCAAAAGCTTAATGTACATCTGATCCAGTAAAAAGATTCTAGACTCTATGTAAAGTGTGACTAAAAAGCAGCAGTTTAAATTGGCACCTGAAACCATTGAGGCAGAATGAATGAGCATGGGAGGATGCTGCAACCCAAAAGGCCTTGTCTCTTGCATAACACATCTCATTTCCAAGTTCAGTGCAGTCTGAGCAGGGCCCCGATGAAGAGCTTAATAGTGATTTGGAAGTAGGTGGACCCTCAAGGGCACAGGGGCTAAGCTGCTTCCATCCAGCTTGTGAACTGCCAGATTTTCACAGTGATATCCATGACCCTGATGGCCCAAAACACTGCCACTGCAGCCCTGGGCTTGGATATGTGTGCATAGCCTGATTCCAGAGGTCTACACATTTCAGCTTCAAACTGCTAGCCAGCCAAAGCTGGGCTTGCCAAGTGTCCTGACCCTGAGGGGCACATTACTGTTCAGCATTAAGAGAGCCTCTGAGAGCTCAGTGCTACATGGGCAAGGCCTCACCCCTACTCCCCCAAATCTGAACTGTGGGAGGGATAAGAGAGCTCTCTGTATTAGCTTCAGAGATGTGCGACAGGCAGTGCATCTATTGGGCCCAACACAATATGAGAAGAACCTTTTTCAGAGCCAGGACAAGTGTGTGATCTCTCCTTGATAACTTGAAGGGACTTGGAAATGTTTGGAAAGAAACAAGGCATGTTGCTAGTTTGTGGGTGCCTCCAGAACTTAGTATAATGACAAGGAAAGCCTCTTTTCTTTCCCAACCTCCAGTGAGGTTTGAATTAGATTAAAATAAATACTTGTTGGAGATGAACTGATGCATGCAATCATGGAACCTCTACCTTTTTTGCACCAAAATTTCACCATTCAGCCTCCTACCCAGGAGGGTTCCCCCAGAGAAACTTTAAAAAATGCCCTTTCACATGTGGAACCATCCCACAACATCAACATGCAGTAATATATGGACTTATTTCTTATAGATATACTCAGTGTGACTTTGAAGCCGTTTATGAGCTTATAAATTTATGAAGAAGTAACTCTGCATTACTTAAGTGTCTCATGCTTATGTATTTTGGTTTCTGTGTGTAAATTTTAAACACAATAAAGAGAGGCTGGATGTATAAGTGACTGTATAATTTTTATACATGTTCCAAATACAGAATTATTGTTTTGTGGCCTCTCCAGTCCTACCTGCTCAGGCCAGAGTGAAGAATCTTTCTAGAAGTATCTAATCTTACTAAGAATACCTAATCCCATCTCAGTGGTGTATGTGTAGCACTTCTGTCATAGAGCAGGGATAGCATTCATCCCTTATTCATCCTTTTCTTCTGTCACTTAGAGGATCAGGATCTCCCATTAGTGCTGCTGCTTAAGATTTTTTGTGTGCTGCAAATATTAGCAGTAACCTGATCCAGTGCATTCTCCAACCACAGCTCCCAATGGCTTTATTAGGATAAGAGCTAATTCAGGAGATTTGCTGCCAAATGCCAAGCATATTTGCAGCAGGTCATGGTGTACCTCAGAGATTTCCAAGATAAAGTTTAAAAACAAAAGAGTTGCTGTAATTTCTCAAAGCATTTAATGAACATAGGACTGCACAATAGCTTCATTATTCTTTCCTCAATAATAATGAATAATGATTGTTTCACTTTGCAGTATCAAATTTAATAGCTTCTGTCAAATGCTAGAACAGCTCAATATTCTGTGTGGCCAACATACAACACACAGTCCATACAGTCAAATGCCCAGTTTGGCAGACTTCTATTGATTTAGCTGAAAATTAGTAAAATGTGTCTCTGCCATAACAGGAAGCAGAACAAATAGGCATGCTGACCATTACGAATAAAATGTTATTTATGTAAGCATGTGTGATATAAATATGAGACATTTTACATGCATACCTGCACACCTTACCTTTTTTATTTTCTCCATACCCCTATATCTACTCTGATCTATTCTTTACCAAACGAAATACTGTTTAAGGTGTATAAGTAGTCTTTGGCCAAAAGAGTCTCTACTTTCCTGCCAATGCATCACAGAACATTGCAATGGTTAAGGGGAATTTATTGTTGTAAGCCGCCCCGAGGCTTCGGCGAATGGGGCGGCATAAAAATGTTTTAATAAATAAATAAATAAATAAAAATATTACTAAAAATGCCTTTGCTAGCATAAGAAATCTCCCCTGTCACAGGCATTATCCATAAAGATACTTCTGATGGGGATCAGACCATTGTGAATCTCCACATTCACTCACTTTTAGAGAGGGGCTCCAAGACTGGCATGAAGATTCATTTTCATGCATGTTATAAATAAGGCCAGATATCATTACTCACTAGACAGGCACTGGCAGTTATAACCCCTGTATTAATTTCGCCTAATTGCATCAGAGAAGGAGGTGAGGCTGTGAGGTCCCCTTGGTGTGGACCCATTGCCATTTTGGCTTCTTCCAGAACTGTGTCCATCAGCAGGCGTTCCAGCAAATATTAACAAATACTGTCTGAGTACTGGTATATGAATTTGCATATCCCCTTTTTCCATCTGTATCTTTACACAGTTATTGTATTCAGTTGCAAACTGCCTTGAATCAATTGGTAGAAAGGTGATACATAAGTAAAATAAATACATGAAAATCCATGTGTTGGAGCTATTAGTTGAAGAGGTGAGAAATCACTTGCATAGCCAGATATTTAAAACATGGCCAAATCTCCTTGTGTTCTGCTTTATTACAATTATGCTACTTTGTTTTTAATTTAAAACGCACCATTCAGCCTAATATATTCAAAGGGACTTATGTGCAGGTAGGCTGTGGTGCAGGGGAGGAGCAGGGATCCCCCCAAATTGGGTGGAGGGGCTGTCTGTGAATAAAATGTGTCTCTTCTCATTTTTGAGGGATGCCCCTTTGCCCTGCACCATAGTCTCACCCCATTTAGTAGCTGCAGAGGGACAATCCCATGTGGCATTTCAAGGGGGCTGGGGAGGCTGCCACAGGGAGAAGGGCAGTGAAGTCTGCTTCCAGCAGCCCAGGTGCATACACCTGCATCTAGGTCCATTTCTAAGACCCTAATAGATTTGCTTGCTTATCTACTTGCATTCTGATACATTCAACATCTCCAAATTTGGGTTTCTCTCCTTTCTCTTCCACTTAGGAAGCATATGTAATGGCAAGTGTTGACAACCCCCATGTGTGCCGTCTGTTGGGAATTTGCCTCACGTCCACCGTCCAGCTTATCACCCAGCTTATGCCTTATGGCTGCCTTCTTGACTACGTTCGCGAGCATAAGGATAACATTGGATCCCAGTATCTTCTTAATTGGTGTGTGCAGATTGCCAAGGTAAATCAACAGCAAACCATCTAGTTGTTTGTCAGAAACCTGCATTAACTGACCTTAGCCTTGCCTATCTAATTTGGACCACAGTTTAGAGCTGGCTGAAATGTATGCAAAAGGATGGCTATACCTACCTAAAGGTCTTTCACGCTGCACTGCAAATTGTTTTATTTTATGTATTTATTCACTGAGATTTTATTTTTGAGAATTCAAATGAGTTTTTAAAATGTCTAGCTGTAGAGCATGGGTTTTTGCTTCATACTTATTTTGTTTTTAGGTTCAACTTAAGTGATGTTAGTCTTGAAGCTGCACTTCTCGGTGTCAGAAAAAAGCAACAGTGCTTATGTAGAAACCATAGAAAATCTTCTCATTTTTACTAACTCACAAACAGGAAACTAGATCCCAATGGTACTCTGTCAGAGTTCATTCACTTTCTTTGGCTTTGAAATACTAATTCTTTCTTCTGACTGAAGGTTGTTATCTTCAATTATCTGAAGCAAAGAATGTCTCAAGAGGCAGATCATAACCTTCCTAACTAAAAGAATAGGACTTTGAGGTGGGATTTTAGAGTACTGTGAAAATTTCCTGAGAATATATACTCTCCTCTTTATAGAGAAATGGCCAGAACTGATTTCAGTGACATTACTCATGCGGTAAAGGAAGTCCAACTGGTCATTATTAAAATGTATCAGACACACAGTTGCTTTCTATACGTTAGCAACACTGTTGGATCAGATGAAAATACACATCTTTCCAGGTATATTGTAGCATCAAAATATGTTCTTAATGGTAGGAGAAATAGCTGGTACTCTGTGAGGTCTTGGCAGATGAGGTTACTGTTAATAGGATTGCACTGTGGTTGTTGATTCCATTCATTTGATAGTAGCAGCACATTAAAGCTACATTTATTTAATGAAACAACTTTTATAGCGGCCTTCTGCCAGCTTACTGTGGTAATTTGTTTGGGAACATTGGAAGCCCTTAGCACATTGTGGGAGATCACCTGAAACCATTTAGTCAATGCTATGATGTTGGCCCAAGGTCAATGGAGAAAGAATCAAGGTGAGCAGTTGGGAGAAGAACATTTTCCCAAAGCTACATCATCATTATCACTATAAAAATGCATAAAAATGGTGGCTGGACTCACATGCTGCACTTTCCCCCCCACTGATGGGCTATATTACAAATTAAACCCGTTAGCAATTGTAGCTCTTTCATGACTAGGAAATCAGTCAGTGGTTTCATGTCTGTTTCCATACTATGCTCATAGGTATTAGGATTGGTGTACGAATGACAACTGCAAGCCAGAGGAGCTCTAGTTAGTGGAATGGCACTGATCAGTTTCCTCTGTCAGCAGTTTAAAGAGAAGAGAGTGCATTGTTGTGCTAATACTAATGAGTTAAATGCTAATATATTATTTTCATAAAGCCTGAGTTGCCTAATCCTGCTTAGTCTTGGAAGCTAAGCAGGGTCAGGCCTGGTTGAAATCTAGATGGGTGACTTAAAGTTGTGAACCACCCAGAGAGCTTTGGCTACAGGCAGTATAGAAATGCGGTGAAATGCTAGTGGTTATGATGTTATCTTAGCCATTTTTTTTACAATACTGGGATGAAGGCTACCTGCCTACACAGCTCACACTCGTCCCAAATAAGCAGTGTCTGCACCACCGATAGCACTTAAATTTGCTTTCCCAGCAGCACAGAGGGACTGCATTCAAACTAAATTACTCATACCTTAGCCTCACTGGAATCAAAGCATGCTAACTGTCTGGATTGTGTCTAGTGGTATGTCTGTATAACATTGTGCCTGTGCAAGATGAATTCATATCTTGAGGGTCATGTTCAGAAGGGTGATTGAGTAAACCCTGTGAAGACTTTTGGACATGGAGAAAAACCCCTATGACAGTTTTCCCAATATATCCAAAATTTAACACTATGTTTATCACCTCTGCTGGTATAAGCCTGTCAGAAGGATTGGTGGAACTTTAAATGGAATTGGAGTTGCAAACTTTTGAAGCAGTGGTAACGGGGCTGCATTTGCAAGAGCCTCCCTCTATACCGAACTCCACATAGTTGTTCACTTAATCCATATCCTCAAGTCACTGGTGTGATTATGTAATTGACGCCTTCTGTAGCACATATCATCATTTCAGGGCTGGAATAATTCCAGATGAGGTTCCTCATACAGGAAAATGGACTGATCCATGAGATGTAAAAGTTGCTAGTAAAATCCTGCCTTTATAGATGTTAGAGGAATCTTTGTAACAATACTAAATTAGGTGTGTCCAAATGGATATAATCATCTGCTGCTGCCAATGTAGCCAATTTCCCCTGTGGTAAAATTGCAGCAATTTTATTACAATTTTTCTTTAAAGATATCCTTTACCTCAGATTCTCTGTAATGTGATGAAGGGTGTAGGTTGGTGGGAAAAGATTCTCTAATTGTTCACTGTATGCATGCTGTAGGGGATGAATTATTTGGAGGAGCGTCGCTTGGTACACCGTGATTTGGCTGCCAGGAATGTCCTTGTCAAGACTCCTCAGCATGTGAAGATAACGGACTTTGGATTGGCCAAATTGCTGGGTGCAGAAGAGAAGGAGTACCACGCAGAAGGAGGAAAAGTAAGAAAGATAATACATGACTACCCCTTGTTTTGTTCGATTGGACGCAAATGCTTTCACACAATTAGCATCTCTCTGTATGGAGGAGCAAGAACTTCAGAATTCATATGGAGCAGGTCTTATTTATTTGCACCTGATCCACTTCCTTGAATGAGCTAAGAGTGTCCCTGTTCTACATCAGTATCAGTAGTAGCTGCCGTGGAAGTAGGGAAATTTCTAACTTCCATACCATACAGCAAATGTTTGAAGATGTTACACTGTGGTGCATATTTATATAAGAAAGTGGTTAGGGTACAGACAAACTGATATCTAGAGCAGTTCATAGCTCATATGAATAGAAACTGCATGCTGTAGCTACTTTCTTGTAAATTTCACCGTACTAGATCTCATGTATCTTTGCACCAAATGCCTTTGAGCCACTCCCAAACTGGCCCTGATTAAATCTATTGCTTCATCCCAGAAAGAAAACAAAGCATTGCATTTAGATTTAAACTGAAAATATTATGTTGACATAGTTTAAATGGTATCCACCCATCCTGGAAGCCACTTAAAACTGTTTTAAAATGTTCAATAATAGTAGCTATAAATAACAAGAACATACATTAAATTACCAGCATACATTGGTAACTATTTCCTCAAGTTTTCATGCTTGATTAGCAGCTGTATTTCAACTCTTTCTAGGTTCCTATTAAATGGATGGCTCTGGAATCTATTCTGCACCGCATTTATACCCACCAAAGTGATGTCTGGAGTTATGGTAAGTCTGAAAGAAATGTTGTGCTAACTCTGGACTTGCAATTGAGCTGATTTTCATTTATTTTTCACTCTTTCCTTTTATAACCTCCTTAAAAGAGCTCTTTTTCATGAAATTTGCAATAATAGCTTGAGCAACAAACTAAATGAACATAATTAGAAATACACCAAATGTTACAATCAATATAATCAATTGTTTATTGATTATAAACAATCAATTTCTCTTCAGTTGTATTTGTGTGGAAGGGTGTGGGAATGAAGATTCCTCAGACATTAATTATAACTGCATATTTGATACCATAACTCCAGGTGGTGCAGTGGTTTAAACTGCCGTGCTGCTGGGCTGGTTGATCAAAAGGTTGCCAGTTCGAATCTGCACAACGGGGTGAGTCCCCATTGCTCCGTCCCAGCTCCTGCCAACCTTGCAGTTCAAAAGCATGCAAATGCAAGTAGATAAAAAGGTACCACTTCAGTGGGCATGTAACAGCGTTCCATGCACTTCGGTGTTTAGTCATGCCGGCCACATGACCACAGAAACTGTCTGCGGACAAACACTGGCCCCCTCTGCTAGGAAACAGAGATGAGCACTGCCCCCTAGAGTCAGGCATGACTGAACTTAATGTCAAGGGGAAACCTTTACCTTTACCTTACCATAACTCAGCAAATGTTTGGTTTATTATTTGGTTTATTAGAGAGAATAGTTAAAATTAAGTTCATTATTGTCTTTTAATTTGCTCTCCAAAAATGCTTGTATTAGATGAAAGCAGTAACAATACATACTTCTTTAGGGGTTAAATAGTGCTGGAAGCAAATTAAGAGCAAGCAAAACTTTTGTAAAATTTGTCTTTGTTTAATTAACTATATCCTTAACAACCAACTTATTCTACTGTTGTGACCTGAGTGCAAGCAAGCAGCAAGGAATCTTCAGAAAAGTCCTGACTGCTCTGAAACCAAGATTAATAATGCCTCCAACTTCTGTTCCTCCACCAAACCAGCAAGGTTCTTTGTGTCCTGGGACTGTCCGACCTTCTAGTTTAATGGATGACTCTTTTAACATCCTCACCTGCTATGGCATTTCAGGTGTCACAGTTTGGGAATTAATGACATTTGGATCAAAACCATATGATGGCATCCCAGCCAGTGAAATTTCATCTGTCTTGGAGAAAGGAGAACGATTGCCTCAACCTCCCATTTGTACAATTGATGTCTACATGATCATGGTCAAATGTAAGTCAATTTCTTGTTCACATAAATTTGAGCAAGATGGAAAATTGGAGTACACCATTTTAAAATGCTTGTAGTCCATTTGGATATTGTGTCATCTGAATCCAGCAATGTTGCCATAGGGTGGTTTATAAACTACCCCATTTACCCATGGCTTGTGGAAGGGTGTAAATAACCACCATGGCTTAATGTTTCATGCAAACCCAGATGATACACTAAACCATGGTCAAGTTGCTCAAGGAAAGCAAGGAATGCAGCTGACCAGTACCAGCTTTCACTTTTTCTCAATGGGGAAAGAAGGAAATGGGGCAGGAGTATGATAGTCCCTTTCCTATCATACAAGGTGGAGTTGACTTGGGTTCAGAACATTGGTGCATCATGCTGAAGTGTCATTCCAGGACACTTTGGGAATAGAAAACCAGGAAGTGTCCCCTCTGCAGAGCTTAGCCACAACTTGTGGCACTGGAAAAAAAGTAAATAAAAAAGAGAAAATGGTGGCACCCTCTGCATCCCTAACGACTATGTATAGTGCTCTACATTAACTATATAAGAGTGTGTAGTATATAAGTATTTGTTGCACTAGATTCACTTAGATTTCATGTAAAAAGTTTTATTTCTTTTTTATTTTGGGTTTTGGATTTAATTTTGAAACTCAGTTAAAAATTATTAAAAACACAGCATTGTCTGAACCTTTCAGAGACCATTGTTACACTCCTATTTCCAATTTGATTTTTAAAAATGTTTTATACACATTTTCCACTGTATTGTGGTAAAGATGTAAAGCCAGGATTATAGCATCATGCAGCCACTTTGAAATTCAGTTTGTACAAGTATATTTTATAGCAGTATCCATATAATATAGTTCTGAATTTTGCCTCTTTTTCAAGAAGCCTTTCATTGCCATTTTGTTCTCTGTGCATTTAAAATAGCATATTTTAAGGGGGAACAAAATTTTAAGACTCCCAAGTATTTCTAACGTTTCTTCCAGAATATAAAAAGATATTTGTAAATAGTCCACCAGGTGGCACTAAAATACTTACTCTGAATTTCACTCAGCTTGTTTTGCTACCTGTACATTTCAAAGCTAAAGCTTCAGACTGGATTTGAGAGTTCCTGATGAGCTTAATAATTGTACTTGCAGTTCTATCGTCTAAATGGTGAGACATTAATAATCATATTAATTTTTAGCAGTTACAAATCATTTGACAGAAACAGCTTATGCTTCTCTACGTAGATGAATGCCCATCTCATTGCTGCCCCCTACCACAATGGCACACCTCTTGACTTGACTTAGGCCTGATTCATAAGTTGCCTGAACAACATCGAAGCCCTTTCCACATGACTCTTCCCTTATTGCCCTGGCAATACTGTACCAAAATATGAAGGCAAGCAGGCAGATAAATATTGGGTCTGATCATCTATCCTATTCTGGTTTTGCAAGGAGGAGTTTTTGTAAATTCTACAGGTTTGACAAGCAAGATTCCTAATGCTTTGATTTACATTTTCAATGCCATGCTCTACCTGCCACAGTTCTGTAGAGCATATACCTCACTGCCCCGTTCTAAGATTGTGAAGAAAGTGAAATATATGGTATGATGGTACAAATTATTGTATGGATCTCTGCATGGCTTCCATGAATAGGTGCAGACAAACAACAGCTGCATGGGAAAGATGACTTTCTAGAGGTCTCCCAATAGGGATAGCTCTGCACACAGTGACATTGGAAATTGCCCCTTGCCTAAGGGAAGGAGTTCATCCCAGGTTAATCTTTGCTTTAACACCTTCTGATGTTTCTTTCAAACTTTCAAATTGCTTTTCCACCAATAAAACTCCAGAGGAGCTTGATTGGCCCTGGGCTTTTTCTGTCCTGTTTCTCAGAGGAAAGGGAAGTGACCAGAATAAACACCTCTCTTCAAACCAGTCCAGACTTTTCCTATCTGGAGAAGGATAATCAAAGTATTCCACTTCCCACATGAGCAACTGTAACATGCTAAGCACTCGTGCAACTGCCTATTATTTCTGTGCAGGTACTTCTAGCGATAGCTTAGTGGTCAATAGTGGGTACCAGACTCTGAAGGTCTTTTGTAATGTACCATTTTACTAGCATGTTTTCCTGCTCTTGCAAGGTTATTTTAAACTCTCCTTTCACTTTTGCTTTCTGTGTTGCCACCTTCAGGCTGGATGATAGATGCAGACAGCCGTCCCAAATTTCGGGAACTGATGTCAGAATTCTCCAAAATGGCTCGGGACCCCCAGCGCTATTTGGTTATACAGGTACTGGTCATTCATAATAAAATGGTTACCTTTTTTCCAGGAAAACAATAATGGCAGAGCTACTTAGGAAGAAACCAGGTTGAAATTATTTGTTTATGTTTGAATGTATATAATGTTGCTCTGGACATTGAAAAATGGCCTGAGGATATCTGTAATAATATAAACCTGAAAGAAAGAAAATTAAATGCCCCAAATGTATATGAAACACAATTTTACATTAAACACAATGATAAAATCAAGTGACCTGATTTTGATGCATTAACTCTGCATTTTATAAAGCTGTGTTTTAGAATACTGATTAGTTTTTGTACAGTTTGAAGAACAGATATTATATAACACTGTATATCGGTCTAGCTACAAATAAAGGAATACTCACTTGCTAGGTCAGAAGTCAGATTTGGCCCACAAATCTCTTCCCACTCCCAATGGCCATACAACGTTTAATAAATTGTACAAAAAATGTGTTATAAAAGCTGTGTTTGAGGTAAAGCTATTAAATTCTTCTGAGTTCTTCCTCTTTCTCTCTTGTCTGGAATGAATATATAATACATGAGTATCTCTTACTGCTAAGCAGCACCTACTTTTTTATAGACACTGACCCTTTTCCGAAGGGTTCAAGTTAAGTAACAGAATTCATTTACCCTGATTAAAGTTGATATCAGTTGAATTTGGGGGTTTCTGCTCAGGCAACTTATTTTAGGAATGTGAAGGGAGGGAAAATAGTTTTATTAAGAATATTTCCTTAGATACCACACATTTCTACTTCTGAGTAGTGCCCTCTTCTACTCCAAGCTAGAAAGCTCAGACTTGGAAGGTGAGCTAGAAGAGGAGAGATTGAAATACATTACAGAAATGTCAAAGTTAATGTGCAAGATTAGACACTTGGCTAGTGAGAGCCAGACCCAGTCAGCTTCATCGGAGATGCTCTTGAACAAGGAGGGTCAAAGGGGTAGGGAGGTGAGTTCATCAACTAGTGGTTCATCCACAAGCCACATGAGTGGATCAAATAAGCAATGCCGAGCATTTCTGTTATCTGGCCCACAAGCATGTGAACCAATCTGAGGATGGATCCAACAGTGGGGATTCATTTTGGAATCAACTCTTGACATTGGCAAGTGTTAACTCCACCAGTCCAAGCATTCAATAGGTGCCATTTGTTATTAACTTTATTATTACTCAGGAAACATTATTACTCACTCTGTATTGCAAAGCCAGCCTAACTCCATAAAGGAATGTGTTTAGAAGTCCTTTCACTTTGATTTGTTGGAAAGGGAAGAGGGGAAAGAGGGGCTCATGGCAATCAGCAGCCTGGGGTGCAACACTGCAAGAAGGTTGTCTGTCTTTGCTAGCATCCAGCTGGAACTAGATGGATCTTTAATCCGGCAGGGCTCTTATGTACTGATGTGCTTATTGCTAAGTTGTTCCCAAGAATACAGAGTGTAGCCATTCCTCATTTATGAATTTATGGCTCATGCTGGAGGAAGAAATTGTTAAAGAGAAACTACCTGTGATAATGGTGTATTTTAGGATTGCAAATTCTTACCTTGATTTTCCTCTGGACAGGGAGATGAAAGAATGCACTTACCAAGCCCAACAGACTCGAAATTTTACCGGAGCCTGATGGAAGAAGAGGACATGGAGGACATTGTGGATGCAGATGAATACCTCATTCCGCATCAGGGATTTTTCAGCAGCCCATCAAATTCACGGACACCTCTCTTAAATTTACTGGTAAGGAATCGTTTCCCAAAATGTTGATAGATGACGGAAAGTTGCCATGCTAGATAGTTACTGCTTCAAAACCTACAGTGGGTCTGGTACCTCATTAAAGACATTCAAATACATTATGGTTTCCCCTTTCCCAGGCCATCAAACATGTTCCCCACCCCCTAAAAACATAAAATGCCATAAGATAATCTAGTATTCTACCTTTACTAAAGCAAAAATAATGAAACCCTTTTCCCTTCTCTTTCAGAGCACTACTAGCAATAATTCTACGGTTGTCACCTGCACTGACAGAAATGAGGTAATTTTGAACACTTCGGAATCACAGGCAACAACAGCTGAAATGTTTCGCGGCTCTCTTTACCATTAAGGAGAGCTTAAAAGAAACCCCTCTCCACAAGTCATCCAGGTTGAACTTTAGAATCTGAATGACTACATCTCGCTATGAGAAAGAGTGCACTATGCATTTTCCCTTTTTAATCTGTACTTTCTCTTAATGAGCAGGGACTTCCAATGAGAGAAGACAGCTTTATCCAGCGGTACAGTTCGGACCCAACTGTAGTTTCCCTAAATGATAGCCTGGATGATAGTTTTCTGCCTGCCCCAGGTTAGTACACTGAAATTTTTATTCATTCTCTAACAAACAAGCTTTGTCAAAGGGATGCCAGCTACTTTACTCTGGAGAATCATAGCAACAGTTGTGCAACTTTTTCCATGTCTCTTCTTGACAGTCTCCAAATATTTCATGGATTCCTTAGTTTCTATGGCAACTCAGTAAAAATGCAATAAGGAAGAGTAACATATCCTCTGCAGTGGACTAATACGTTACGTTTTAATATTCAGTGTCAGGATTAATTACTACTGAGAGGTGGACAGGCAATTTACATTTTTGCTTGGGGAATTTATGACTCACACTTCAGTAACATCTCTCAAGGAGAGTTCCACAAAAATAATAAAAACAAAATTAAATTACAGAATCTTTAGCAAACCCAAGCTATAAACAACTTTAAATAGGGTCTGAAATACACTGAATAAACCTTGGCAATTTATTTAAAGTATCTCTGGGGAAGGCATTCCATTCAGAAGGCCCCAAATCAGAAGACCTTCTTTATAGCCACCACTTAGTTAACTTCAGATATTGGGCTTAGGGATGACTGAGAATTTCATTTCTGATTAAGTTCAGAACTTTCTGTGTTTGCATCCACAAGTGGGAATGCAGGCACATTTTTCCAGCAAAGTTTTCACATTCCTGAGTTGTAGAACTAGTTCTCAAAATGCATTCTTTAGAAAAATGTACACTTAAAATCTGAATTTTGGGAAAATGTGCATTTTCAAACTTTAATCCATTGGGGGTGGGGAGTTCACATTTTGGTGTGCATTTAAATGTGTCCACCCAAATGCATAATTTGCCCAGTTCAAACCATGGGAGGAAGCTTGCTTTTGGAAATGGGAACAAGACTAATGGAACTTCAAGGTAGATATGTGCAAATCTTGTTGAGCCTTGTTGATTTCCTCATCCCTGGTAGGGGTTAGGGGAATTGGGAGGAGGGCTTTTGATGAAGAATGAAGGCTTTGGGAATTCTCGTGTTCCCTAAAGAATCACCCCAGGGAGTAACTAGCAGCCAGTTTTTGCAGTGTCTGTTCCTGGAAGTCAACTTTGGGTATATAGTAGTAAACCAAAGAGAGATGCCATTGAAATCCAGAACAAAAGCCCACCCCTTCAGTCAGATGGACCACTGCCCATCATCACCACTGCCATGTTATCCGTACTGCACCTCAGCTTATGAACTATCATTCAGTCTATTACTGGCTTGTGATGCTGGATTGCTGCTATGACATGATGATGATGCTATTGCATGAAATGATACGATTTATTCTTCCCTCAGTACAAGCCCTCTCAGCCTGTAATTTTTCGTCTGGGTCTTCTGAACCAGCCAGGTTTTTCCTCTCATGAACACCTTACAGTTAGTCAGATTTCTTCTGTGCCGTTCTGTAACCTTTAGTAAATCAGCTGTACTCTGCTCCAACAGCATGTCTTTGGGTCACAGAGGTTGTCTGGTTAATGTTGGAATTGGGCCATGCTGTACCTTACTGTTGCTTTCCAGGAGAACCTGATGCCTTCAGCAGTGAGAGGCCAGCCCTTCTGTGACGCAGGAGGAGCACTAAATTGCCCAGTTCCCTCCCTCTCCCCCACCACCTCCTCCAGCAGGTGCTCATGAACCTGTTAGTAGGGAGATCTTTGTTCTAATCTGGTACATTTGGTAGCATTAGGGAACATGTAAAATAATAATACAATCCTTTACGATACTGTGAAAAAGTAATTCAAAGAAGGAAGAAAACATCTTTACACAGTTGTAGTGTCCCTTGTATGAACCTGATTAATCTTGAAATGCAGTAAATGTGGTAAGCAAGCATGAACTCCTCAGTTGCTCTCTGGAAGACTCGATCAGCCTTCCACGGATTGCTGAGCCATGCCAGTTTGGTTAAAAGTAATTCTTAGCTTGACTCAGGTCAAGTATATAAGCATACTAATTTTTTTTTCTTTTCTTTTCTTACAACCATTTCAGAATACATGAACCAGCAAGTGTCCAAAAAACTACCTGCTTCTGCCATGCAAAATCCAGTCTACAACAGTTCCTCCCTTCCCACTGATCCGAACCCAGTGGCTGATTCAAACCACCAGAATTCCCATAACACAGCACTGGATAACCCAGAATATCTCAACACAAGCCTCTCCCCTTTTGCTAGCACATTTCTCAACAGTTACCCCTACTGGGACCAGCCAGCCAACCATCAAATAAATCTGGACAATCCGGATTATCAACAAGACTTCTTGCCCAGGGAGACCAAATCTAATGGCATCTCTAAACTTCCTGCCACTGAGAATCCAGAATACCTAAGGGTAGCACCACCAAAAAGTGAATACATTGAAGCCTCAGCATGACACTAAGAAGAGAGACCAATAACAAGACCAGGTGGTAGAGCTGGCTCCTGTAGAAATTGTGGGGAGATAAAAGAGAAGTTGCAATGCACCAGCATTCACTCTTTTTCCCTTTCAAGGTGTGTGCTGATTTCACCCAGCTTGCTTAGGACTTCTCTGAGCTATGGAAGATGCAATGGAGAACAAAGAGAAGGCATCCAGCAAGCAAGAAATACATTCATTCTTTCCTTAACAAGCTATATAGAACTTCAGCCTCTCTGAATGAATGTTTTCAGCTGTGATAAGCATTCACTTTAAATCTTTTTGATGCTCTGTATTTCATAAAACAGTTTGGATTATTTTAAAAAACTTTTATGACATCCAGATGACCAGCTATCGGACTATAGGTGCCATATGGATTAATGAGAACACAGAGAAAGAAATCAAGACCCAAGTTAGTTCTCTGTGTCTCTGGAGTAGAGTTGACCAGCCTCTTAAGTTTTAAAGAAAACCTTGTCCTATGCATTGGTCCAGCTCTTTAAACACAAGCATCATTTAATATTTTGTGGTATGAATAGGGTGAAAAGGGCATCTTGGAAAAAATGTGGGAATTCTGCTTCAGATATTTCTTGGAAAAACTGCATAGATTGGAGAGAATCTGGGTAGCCCTGGTGCATTTAGCAGCAGGACTTATCTAAAGCACTCACTGCCAACTGACCACTACTGTTAAGAAGCCAGAACTGCAAATGAGGCATTGTTCTTAAAGTACCCACTAGACTGTCTCTAAAATACTCTAAGCCCGAACAGCATTTTGTTGTTGTTTTCTGGCACCACTTTTTTCTCTAGAGTTGTCCAAACAAACAAAAATCCATTTTAAACATTTATCTAAAAGCCATACATGGAAAAGATGACAAAATAGCTTCTACCCCATTGACTCAATGGCATTTGAACCCATTATTGTGAATTTAAATAGTGTGGAAATGCAAAGATTGCCATTTGTCTATAAGTATGGACACAGCTGAACATAACAGTAGAATCTGTAAAATCCTACAAAAAGGTATGCTCTTGCTCAAATCCAATTTATTTCAATGGAGATTGTGCCTGAAAATTTCCCACTAATTTGGAGGAAGTGTAGGGGAAGGGTAGAATTCCAACTGAAATTCTGAAAGCTTTTACAACTAGAAAAAAATACATTCAGAACCAGCCCTACCGTGAGAATTGTCCTGATTAATAAATGTTAAATAAAATTCTAATCAATGTCCAGCAATCACATTGGGAAAGCAGGGTCAAAAAGAAGGATTAATCAGCAGTTCTTGATCACAATTAATCCACACATATGCCTGAGCATACCTTTCCAGAATAAACACCACCTATCCCAGGTAAGCAAATGTTGGGCTGTAGCCAATTCTGCATACATCTCGTCAGAAGTAGGCCCCATTGAACTTAATGGTAAATGGGTATTGATCTCCAGTCCTAGTCTTGTAAATGTGTGGATTGTATAATGCTGTTGAGTCATTTGAAAAACAGCAGCCTTGCTGTTAAAATTACCTCATCTCATAACACTTGGAAGATATTCTTGTAGGAAGTTTGGCAGCTCTGGAATCATGTGTCGGGCTTGCAGCATTATATCCTCAAATATGCACGTACAGGAAAGGCCATCAGGCAAGTATATGCAAGGCACCACGTGCAATATGGTCACTCTGCCTTGAGACCTAATGAGAACACTCTGTACCAAGTAGTGAACATGATGCAACTCACCTTAACACCACTGGGATGTGTTCATGCATGGCTTTCCTTCCATTGTATGATTTTCTGCAAACCTGTGATGATAAGATCAGGATGGAAACCAATTTTACGTAAGTCTGGCATGTGTTAAGGGTATGTGAGCCCCACAATCCAGCAAACCTAAGATAAAATGGCTAGGAGGGAAAAGTTGCATAAATCTATCCTCGGAAATCTGGTAACGTTCTAAAAGCTCTGTGTAAAGAGACCCGCTGTTTACACACACATACAGGAGCATTAACAGCATATGGGCACACATGGTCAAGCTATTACACATATAGTAACTCTCTTTGTTGATTGGGTGTCACTCTTTTTGCTATTGAGTGTATGAATTGTCTTGGTGCAATATTTAAGCAAATCCCAGATGTTTTACTCGACACCAAAGTAGGTCACTTATGCCCATTACTATTTTAATTACAGGCTTTGATGCACTTTTTAACACTAGCATCACACTGTATAGTATACAGTGTATATGATATACAGAAGGAGGACAAAATGCCTTCCTTTCCATGTTGAAAATGTCTGTATACTTTATCACCTCGCACTGTCCTGCTTGCAGATTTTCTGCTGTATTTTGCAAGTCAGCATAGCTTTCCCACTGTAGATTTGCCAACTCCATGCCAGGTGCATGAGACCAATTCAGTTTTACAAGTGAATGAAATATTGCCCAGGTATTGTAGGAGGTAAGCAACATAAAGACTGCATGCAATCTTTATCACATGCAGTAATTCCTACATTGGAATCTCTCATAATTCCTACCTTGAAAGTCTGTGTAGAATTTTAGCAGCCCTAAGTGTAAAACTCTTTGCATTTCCTGACAACATTTCATTTTGGAGATTTAGAAGTTCAGCATTGGCAATAATACAAACAGTGCTACCTACCTCTTCAATGTCAGCTGTTGTTAACATTGCTTTTGTTTTTCTATGATTTACATTTCTCTGTGAGAAGATATTGTAGTTTGGCCAAACTGAGAATTTTCATTTCTGTTTGCACCTCCTTGTACTTTTTAAAATATGTAGTAAAGGTATTGTGAACTAAATGGAATTCCACTGCCAGGGGTGATATTTTAAAGGTTTTATACTCTTAAATCACCATTAATTGTGATTTATTTTCTGTTTAAGCCCCATGAATCTATCTTTATTTTTCCAATAATTTCCCCTTTTTCCTTCATTTTTTTTCTTTCATTCTAACATCTGATGTTTTCAGGATTCTTTTTTAGAAAAAAAATGCATTTTAAACATCTTCACCTTATCTTTTTACATAAAAAGGGCTGCTAGGACCAAAGATATTTTCTCATTTTCTTATTTTAAACTCATAAATGAATTACAGTTTATCACAACTTTTATAGATTTTCTTCAGCATTACTGCACGTTTTTAAATAATGCCAATGGTGAACTGACATGGGGTCTAACTGCTTGGACCCTATTTAAAACAGTGAATGAAGGAACATCTGGGGCAACATCAACCACGGGGCAAAAGAGAAGCTCATTAAAGCATTTTCCCTGTTTGAGGGCTGCATGAATACAAATTTTGGCATTAGGATATGACCAATCTGCAAATCTGTAGGAACATGATATACTTGGATAAGAAGCCCTGTTAACTGTTTGTTTGAAATACTTCAAATCTGAATATTTGATCTCTGATAATGTTTGGCATAGCATACATACCTAGTTCAGCATCATATTCTTCATTGCCAATGGATTGTACATGTACACACATTTTTTACTTTTCTGCCCTTTAAGTCCCAGAAGTTCTGGTTGGGATTTCCCACTTGAGTAATAAAATTTCTGCCATACACGCAGGCTCCTCAATGACAATCTGTTTGTGAGCACAGGCTATCATTCTTAGGGCGTGTGAGATTCTTAAAGCACAACTAAACTTTCGTAGAGCCAAGGTTAAGGAAAGGGTTTCGTACGCACTGTTTCATTACACGAAGGGCACAGTACACGGGGCATTTCTTTTTTCCAGTATGTGGGACTGGAACAACAAAAGCATGACATACAAAGGTTGGCAGCATTCATTGAACTGAAACCATGAATACGTTTTGCTGCCTTTATAAACAGAAAGGTTGTTTCGAAATCTAACAAATGTTATCTCCTCAGAGATGGCATCCGGTACATGTCCTGTGGAGACAAGTGAGCACCATCCAGTGAGTCTGGGAGTAGATTTTAATTGAAAAGTGTTAAGTTGAAGGTTGTGCACCTTGGAGTGGGGGAAAAGCCCAAAAGAAATCTGCATGCAGGAGCAGATTTCCCCGCATGAAGATATAGAGGGCATTTAGGCCCCATTTAACTGGCTGACTGCATCTCTTGATGAAGAGGGGCTGCAAATACCTGGACACTGCCCTTACTTTGTTTACACAACTAGAGCTGAACTGGGGCCTGGGTGCAAAAAGATCCTGTGGAACTTGTGCCAAGTTTGTAATCAGGTTTCCGAAGTTGCAATCAATTTTATGTAGAGAAGAGTAAAATAGGTTGTATAAACAAATCAGTAATGTAACTTTAGTTATAGGGTTCAAACCACGAAGCACCATTCCTGTCTAGGCCCTACTAAACTCAATGGAGGTTATGCAGGGCACATGGGTCGTGTGTCTACACTAAAATAATTGCTTGAGCATTTTAAATGTAGTCATCTAAGCACAATTTGTACAAATAAATGCCACATTTTGTATTGCCAAACTGTTTTTAGTGTTTAAAAGATTTGTATATTAAGTGATGAAAAAATAAGATGTGCATAATTCTTTTACATTGTATGTTGTTCTTTAATGTTTTCAGGATACTAGATAATGTAATGTGTTACATTGAATAGAAAAAGACTCATTTTGACCAGCTTGTAAGCAGAATCGTAGCAGAAGTATTGGTGAGAAATGGTCTCTATTTTAACCCACTTCTTTTGAAATGTGTCAGTATGGGAACTGAACCAAAAATTAGGGAAATTGTTGCTTTTTTCCGCTAGTCACCTGGAAGCAGCTCCAGAAGAATGGTGCAGGCTTCCATGTATTAGGGTCAGAATAGTTGAAATAATTATTACTTATAGAGCACCACCCTACTTTCTAAGATCTTTAATCCTGTATGCAGTTATGTATCCATGTATACCAGTGTGTGAAATTTGCTTGCACCATCTTAAGAAATGTGTAACATTCCATGTACAGCTTCTGAATAGGCTGCATAAACATATGCCGGATGTTCCTGAAGATGCACTTGGCAATAGTTCCCACAGTGCAACTGTTGATAAAAGATGGA